TAATACATACAAACAATATCATCCCTCCCTCGCAACTTGGAAGAAGCACAATCAATCAAACCTGTATTATACACAACAAATGTACCAACGCAACTACCCCAATATTACCTACCCCCCCACTCAAAGAATGTAGCTACTACTTGATCTCAACAATCTTCCTCTCCTCCTCTGGCTCCTCCTCCACCTTCGGCACCTGAATCGACAACACCCCATCCGTCAACTTCGCATCCACATGCTCCCGATCCACCTTGGCCGGGAAACTAAACGAGCGACGAAACTCCCCCATCGTACGTTCCGAGAACCACCAGTTCCCATCCTCCCCCTCGGTGCTGCGCACACTGCGACCCCTGACATTCATCGTGCTGGGATCACTGAATTCAATAGTGACGTCTTCTTTCTTGACGCCGGGCAGGTCGCCGTCTAGGATGTATGCGTCTTTGGTTTCGCGGAGGTCAAAGCGCGGGGAATTAGGGAACAGGGAGTCTGCAGCGGTGGATGTACTAGTGAGGTAGTTGTCTAAATCGGTGAAGGCGCGCAGAAGGGAGGGGACGGGTCGGGGGTGGTGTGGTAGGAGGGACATTGTTCGAGGGGTTGTTGTTTGTAGGTTTCGTAGATGGTGGATTGGATATGTGGTGATGGTTGGGGTTTTTCTGAGGATGTGGGTGGTTTGTTTGAGCATTGTTGGGGGTCTTTGCTGTGGTGGGTGTGAATGTATTTTCTGAGTGATACTTTTATCTGCACATTATTGTATGCGGTGGAACGTGAAGGACGAGATGGTGTGGTCGAGAAACATGCTGTCATTTGTACCCCGGGTGGCTCGCGAGGAGTCTCTTCGGATAGAAACTACTAGAGGGTGCATGTTCCTTCCTTTGCTTTCTGAACATGCATCATGAGATGGGTCTTGAAGATCGGGTCCCAAAGTTAGTGGAAATCCGGGGATGCGTGGGGTTGGAAGTCAAGGTGGTCTTGGGGGGTGCCGTTCCATGGTTGAGGAACCACGCCTGGAAATCGATGCCGGATGGCATGATGGCGGGCTTGTGACTTGTCGTATCCAGAAGATTCTGGTGCGACAAAAGTGAAAAAGAGATTATCATGAGCCATAGGACTAGGTGGAATATGTACGAGGAGAAATGGAGGTACAGCGCCGAACACAACGTCAAATCAGCCAATCCTCATCGCCGCCTCCGCCAAACTCACACTCCCCAATTCCTGGTTTCTGATTACACTGACCAAATAGTTCACTCCATAATCTGACGCCGCATGCACCACCACATTCTCGCCAAATCCGCAATCCCGTTCCCCCTCCCCGGCCTCCACATACGCCGCATAACTGCCCTTCAGAATGCCATCTTTCTCCGACAACAAGACCTCCTTCGCGTATTTTCGGGCCTGCATGTAATCTGTAAATGTGCCCTGCACTATGACCTCCCGCACGGTACTTTCCCCTTCAATAGCATCATATTCCACATTCGCCTGCACGACGTAGAACAGCGGGATGGAGATGCGGCCATCGTCGAGATCGGTGGTCAGCTGGAGCTTGTTCGTGGTGGTATCGATGCGGACGCGGAAGGTAGTGCCGTCTGGCGCAACGGCGTAGATGGCGAGTCCTGTGCGATCGGGGAGGTTTTCTTGTTCGAAAATGTGGGCACTGGTTTCATAGGTTGGAAAGAAGTCACGCTCGTAGCCGGCGTCGTAGAGACAGCTGTGCGCCGCGGCTTTGGCGGCGAGTAGGCTGGTGTAAGTTCCAGGGATACGGAGGATTTCGACGAGGTTGTTGGGGTTCTTGTTGAGGCGAGTGATGGTTAAGAGGACGTGATAGAGGTGCTCAGGGATTTTGGTAGGCATTATGGGATCTGTGGTGGTTGAGCTGGAGGTGCAGTATTGAGAAAGGAATGAAGCAGTCGTTCGTCGCTTTGAAATATAGGGGTTCATTTGGTGGAAGACCATTCACGGGCCTGTCATGCTTTTAGAACTATCTGGTGAGGCCTAGACGTGACTATGGAAAGTCTAATTAGCGCGGTGCGTTTAGTTGCTGATATCGGAGATATTCCTCCAGATGCCTGGGACGATGATTTTACCATGTGGTCTGACTATTCTTGCACGCTGTGAATGCTCCACAACAGACTCCTACTGCATTGACAGCTGGAAATGGACGCGTCACTATGACCACCCCCCAGATTAATGCCATGATTAGTGGGATCAGAAACCAAAAGTTTATTTGTGATGCTCCCCTGGAAGCACAAGGCAGAAGGTACCCGGCTGGCTTTATTTCATGGTTGGCCCAATGCTCTTCCCCAGACACCCCCCGCATTTCCTCCTTCCTCTTTTCTCACGCAAATCTCGTGCGATTTCTCGAAATCCGGCATTCTTTCGGCCGCAAGACCATGTCCCCCGGGCCTGTTATATTGATGGACCTCCCTATGGAACGATATATCCCTCGCTCCCATCCCCTTGAAGACGCCCTCAGCAATTCCTACTATACAGGGTAGAGATCCCCAGAAGGGGAGCGAGGAAGAACAATGACGGAGCCAGGCTCGCAAGAGACTCCATACCCAGAACCAGGAGAACCACCAGTCCCCGATAAAGCCCTTCAACTCCAAATCCTCCTGATTCTCTGTCTGAGTGTTTACATAATCACTGCAATCTGGTATAACTCCAGCTTCTATCTCGCTCCTCCTATCTGATAGAAGCTGTACTAAAATTGGATAACATGGTGCTATAGTCTTCTCCTCAAATCCTACTGCATCGCATATGGCACCCTCGACTTCACCTCGACGCCTGCCACAACTCCGGACCATACAGCCGCATGGAACTCCCTCCAGCGCCTGAAGTCTCTTAATCGCGTCGCACCCCTCAAGCGTTATGATTCGTGGTATATCTCAGCTGTTTGTCATGAACGGAGCCCGTTACTAAGTAGGGATTGGGAGAATAGCATCTGGTTGGTCCATTCTTCACGTTGGCTTTTTGACTATGGTTGTGATTGAACGTGACTTTATTCAAGCGGACACTAACAGATATCATGCTTGTCATTATAGTGCAATATGCCTCGAAACTGTGAACAAAGATGATGTGATACATGCACTGCCCTGTAAGCATGTCTTTCATAGACAGTGCCTTGAAACCTGGTTTCTCGAGTATCACAATGCGTGTCCTGTTTGCTGGAGGGTATTTTTTGCTTGAACATTACCAATGAGTGGCTGTGACCCTGAAACTTGCCTGATGGACGATCCGCAAGGGTGGTTGAGCTGTATTCTTTCATATATTATCGGGCATGTGCATAGGCATCATGATGTATTTGCATTTGATTATAGTAACTACAGTGGTTCAAGTACTATATGAAATCAGTTGCGCCATGGGATAAATCTACCATCCACAAAGTTGTTTCAGGACCAACTGAGCCGAGTCCAGGTATACTCGTAGCTACATCCAGGCCTTAATGCCGACCAGTTTCGTTGGAGTGCTGGCAATAGAAATGATCAAGCAAGCAATAATAAGGTGTAAGTAGTGCACTTCCTATTTGAAAACAGAACGTGACCTTGACTCTCGATCCTCACTTCTCACGCTTTCCCTCCTTTACCCCGAGAATTACATCTCATCCAGCGCGCTCTCTGCTCTCCACAGTATCGTTCGATTTGTATTTGGTGATTCTATTTTACTACCCAAGAAACACCTAACGAGATGATGGAAGATGCCCAGAGCTACTCGCACTGCAAGGGCAGCAATTAACTTGTGCCATTTTCCAAAGATTATAGGCCCATATAAGTAATTGATTTGACGATTCACTGTTGGTAAGCTCCTTAAAAATCTTCATAACGCCCGAATATATGCTCATTGAAGACCTAAATAATAAGACCCTACTAGTTTCGTTTCTAGAAGCACTTCCCGTGGTGGAGAACATAACACGCTGGTTAATCTGCTTGACGAACGCGTTGTCTCCAGGTCAGAGCATGACTCCCTCTCAATATAGCTGGCTTCTACAACCTTGAAAATAGGGGTAATGGAGCGAATCCGGCTAGAAGAGGGTAATGAACGGGACAATATGGTTCACCTGCCATGATGGAATAGTGTGCGCACTGGTGGCTTCCGATGCACCAGACTCAGACATAAACCGTTTTGCGCCAGCACTACTTTGTCCTCCTGCCCCGAGGAATGAATCCAATAGGAGGAATGTTGATATTCGCGCTCGATAGCATCACTCGGATATCGAGAATACCGGGCTGAGGTTGTTGCAGGTGGAAAGATTTGCTCAATCTGTATCGAAAAAACGTAACTTGATGAATGACCTTTCAACAACTAACCGCCCCTATCCACTGCTGTGACCAGTATAGTCCACCGGATTCGCTCACCGTTAGCCAGTGGCTTCCTCCTTTTTCGTCATCTTTTCCTCTTCTTGACTGGCCCCACTCCAGGTTGCTTGTTGCCGGCAAGCTTTCGACCCTGATTAGCGAGCTTTGCGCACTATTCCTGATTTAGCTGTCGAAGGAACGGATGGACGCTGCGCTAGTTTCATCTCGAATCTCTGATATTAACATTGGCTACAGACTAGCCGATTACGCTCCGGAATCTGGCACACAGGGAGTTTATGGACCGTTCATTGGTGGAACTAGCAAAGCACCATAATTGCCGCGGACCCTGCATTTCAGGCTGCAGCCTTACTAGGATTAGTATAGCTGTCTTCTCGTACTCGTACACTGCAGTACCGGCCTGGAATCTCGGGATCAACGATGGCATCCGCTTCCTCCAGGACTTACGGCTGCTTGTGAAGGCCAATTATAGTGTTGCTTGTTTACGTGCCAATTCAGCGGTACATACAAACGCTTCTCTATCTTGCCCTTTTTGACAATAGGTTTACCCTCGGGAGCGGAGCTTTGCCTTCTTTCCACCGACATGCGCATCCGTTCCATCACCCGCGGAACCCGTCGGCTGATCAGCCACGCACGGCTGGTATAAATTAATCGGCCACTCATGTCGAACTGAGGTTCACGGGAAAACGCAATATTTGAGACAACACCTCAATATGAAACGAGGATCCAGGGTCCTACATTTCCTCCAGGGGCTGTCGGCAGTTATGAACTTTTCGACCGGAAAAGATTCGCAATAGTCGTGAGTATAAGAACCTCGTACCTGCTCACACTGATGTCTACTTGCTCATCATTCCACACTCATTCAAAATCTTACCAACAACACTCCTTCTGTCATTCTTTTCTATTGTTAACAATTAATCATGCACTCGTTTGCTTCTCTTCTCGCCTACGGCCTGGTCGCCGGCGCCACCTTCGCTTCTGCCTCTCCTATCGAAGCTCGAGACAGCTGCACGTTCACCACCGCTGCCGCTGCTAAAGCGGGCAAGGCGAAATGCTCTACTATCACCCTTAACAACATCGAAGTTCCAGCTGGAACCACCCTCGACCTGACCGGTCTCACCAGCGGTACCAAGGTCATCTTCGAGGGCACCACGACCTTCCAGTACGAAGAATGGGCAGGCCCCTTGATCTCCATGAGTGGCGAACATATCACCGTCACTGGTGCCTCCGGCCACCTCATCAATTGCGATGGTGCGCGCTGGTGGGATGGCAAGGGAACCAGCGGAAAGAAGAAGCCCAAGTTCTTTTACGCCCATGGCCTTGACTCCTCGTCTATTACTGGATTAAACATCAAAAACACCCCCCTTATGGCGTTTAGTGTCCAGGCGAATGACATTACGTTTACCGATGTTACCATCAATAATGCGGATGGCGACACCCAGGGTGGACACAACACTGATGCGTTCGATGTTGGCAACTCGGTCGGGGTGAATATCATTAAGCCTTGGGTCCATAACCAGGATGACTGTCTTGCGGTTAACTCTGGCGAGGTAAGCAGCTCTGCATATATGCTTGATTCGTAATTATATTGATATTCTATAGAACATCTGGTTCACCGGCGGCACCTGCATTGGCGGCCACGGTCTCTCCATCGGCTCTGTCGGCGACCGCTCCAACAACGTCGTCAAGAACGTCACCATCGAACACTCCACCGTGAGCAATTCCGAAAACGCCGTCCGAATTAAGACCATCTCTGGCGCCACTGGCTCCGTGTCCGAGATTACGTACTCCAACATCGTCATGTCTGGCATCTCCGATTACGGCGTGGTCATTCAGCAGGATTACGAAGACGGCAAGCCTACGGGTAAGCCGACGAACGGTGTCACTATTCAGGATGTTAAGCTGGAGAGCGTGACTGGTAGCGTGGATAGTGGGGCTACTGAGATCTATCTTCTTTGCGGGTCTGGTAGCTGCTCGGACTGGACCTGGGACGATGTGAAAGTTACCGGGGGGAAGAAGTCCACCGCTTGCAAGAACTTCCCTTCGGTGGCCTCTTGTTAGGCTGCTAGGTTGGTGAGTTGTAGCCCTAGCTGAAATTCGTCTGCTTCGTCTGCTTCGTCTGCTTCGTCTGCTTCGTCTGCTTCGTCTGCTTCGTCTGCTTCGTCTGCTTTGTCTGCTTTGTCTGCTTCGTCCACTTCGTCCACTTCGTCCACTTCGTCCACTTCGACTGGTTAGATGGGCCTTGTAATAGTTTTTAGAGAGAACAGAATATGTACAGTAAGCCTTAGAGGTGGTACCGAGTTGTATATTTATTTAAAATGTTACCTATCGCGTGTCTTTATATTTATAGCCTTTTACATATATACGGAGCTACAGTGGATTATCTTACAGCCCACACTCATCGTGCTGGGAACTACGTGAATGAATGCTCGGTTAGAAGGCCTTGCTCACTGCCACAACCAACCAGGAACCTTGGCAGGTACCATGCTTTGGGCATTTTTGTCTGGCCCTATCTCTTTCCAGATGGTGGTCTGGATGAGTCACGGCACGAGTAGATTGACCGCTACTCCAACCCGCGCATAAAGCATACGCCAGAAGTGCAAGGGATACAAGACAGCCAGCTGTAGAAAGACCATTGGCTATACAAATCGACAAGTACTAAGTAATCGAAACATGACACGAAGATAATAAACACGAATATCAGACAAGATACCTATGAATGTTCGACCATATAATTATTTCGTATCGTTCTGCGCTGGAATGAGACACCACACTGCACAGTCTCCGAGCAAACATTTATTTGTAACCAGTCTCTAACATAGATACCCCGATCCCTCTTTTACACCTTCGCAAACTCCCTCTCCATAAACTCCCTCACAGTAATAAGCGTCTCCCTCCCCTTGCCCCCCTTCGCCTTAAACGCCGCCTTCTTCAACGCCGCAGCCGTCTGGATCTCCGTAGGCCCGTTCCCAAAATACTCCCCATCCCGAAACTGCGAATAAACAAACACATCCCGCTCCTGCTCGCGCCAATACTCCCCTTTCGTATTCATATCATTCGGGTCCGCCAGAACCTCATAGCGGGCCTTTTTGCCAGTGACTATCACCATCACCGTTAGCACCTACCCCATCCACTCATCAGGGTATCAACTCACCAGAAACAAACGTATTCACCACCTCCGCCGACGAAACAATATCACTCGACCCCTGAATCAGGCGTCTATTCCACCGAAGCGGATTAACAAACACCCCATGAACCAAATCTCCAAAGTCATCCTTCATGCTGATCCAGGGGAAATCTTCTTTCCCGCCCCAAAAGGGCGTCTTGTATGTCAGATATCCCTCGGAGTCAGGGAATGTGGGCCATCCGCCGAACAGGTCGGCATAGTCTGGCTCGAGCCAGTTCTCCATGAACCAGGCGGCTACGATGGGGGTTACGGATTTGAAGCTCTTTGTGGTGTAGGCCTGTCGCTCGACTTGGATTTTTACTGTTTTTGTCTCTGTTAGTCAAGTGAGATATAGAATGGGCTATCGAATAAGTAAGGATGTACGTGATACTAACAATCAAGTCCAGGACATTGCACCGCCCCGTTCGTCATTTCCGTGATCGCAAGACCGGAACTATACACTAGATGCTGGACGCCAGATAAGGCGGCGTATTCGATGATGTTGCTGCCTAGGTCGGCGTCGTTGAGGCCTTTGGATAATAGTTCCTAGGAAAGAACAAATCAATACTACTGCCCAGGTGGTTAGATGACAAGGAGAGAGAGAGGGGATACGCACAGGATCTTCCGAGTTCGTATTCACAAACGCCCCCCAACTACCCGAAAACGCATGCTGGAGTTCCTGTCGGTTGAATCCATCGGCCTTGACTAGCTCTGCTCCTAGGGAAGCGAGTTCTTTGGCTTTGCTCGACGATGGGTTCCTGGTTATGGCGCGGACGTGAAAAGTAGGGTTTTGCACGAGGGAGCGGACGACGGAGCTGCCTTGGCGGCCTGACCGAATATATAGATATTTAGTTATGTGTGAAATGAGGGGGTGAGGGAGGTTAAGCACCGGTTGCACCGAAGACGGTGATGATTTTGGTGGAGAGTGTCATGGTGGGGTTGTGTGTCTTGCGATAGCTAAACAATGCGCGGGAGCTGAGATCAATTACTACTACATGAGATGTATATATATATTTATCTTAGCTACTATTCACCAGATGAGTGGTTATGCTACTTGAGTCTAGAACTTTTCACCGCCGTTGTTTTGTGCATACTTCTAGAATGTTGGATTGTCTCACTACGGGTCTAGCCAGTTCAGTGATTTGGCATTTGGGGTTCATGTCTATGCGGGATAAAGCATCGGGGTTCTATCATCATATGACAATGTGCTTGTTATGTGAGGGGGGAGTGACAAGCCTGCTAGACTTAGTCTACTCCGTACTTACGGAGTACAATGTCAACAGTCTTGCGCACAAAAACCGGGTAATAGTTTCTTGCGTGGCAACCAAAGCAAACTTAACCTCCTTGCATGAGAGTGGAGTGTAGATCATTGGATGTATCGTGTGGCTATGTTTGCAGAGTAGCCACCCTAACAAATTGTCCTCAGCCGGGATCTCGCTGTCTGTGCGTCTGGGTAAAGTGTTAGAAGAGGAACTGAGGGTAATGCTTTCCCAGTAATGTACATTAATTGCTTTGCTTTATGATCGAAAATCCGCTCCATCTATATACACCAGTATAGATAATATAAGTACCAAAATAAGACCACGCATTAAATCGCTCAATATGTATCTCAAAAAATAATAATGTAACAAGTATAAGTGTTGTGCAATGGACGGTGAGTATCCAAGTATGGCTTGATAAAGAAAAAGGGGAAAAAGTGACAAGAACAACAAATCGACGTGTGCTTCACCCATCGTAAAAATTCCGCACAACACCACCGGCAAATAACAGTGTTGAGGCTATTGACCCACTGCTTGGTACCCACGACGGGTCGTCCAGTCGCTCTGCCTCCATTGCTTTTTGTACGTTTCCATCTCGGTCGGGTCCACGGCAGCACCCCCCTGACCCTCACCAAGAGCGCGCTCAAGGCGACCTTGGCGGCGTTGGCGCAGGAAGTACAGCACAAAGCCGGCAATACAGAGGGCAGCGAATGCGGCAGCACCGCAGTAGACGCCAATGTGGGCTGCTGTGCCCAGGTCGTCCCATTTCTGGGAGAGCGACTTGGCGGGTGCCTTCGAGATTTCTTTGGCGGCAGTGGAATTTCCACTAGAGATAAGGGCAGTTAGAATGAATATTCCTTTACTCATCTGATGCAGCATCAATGATAGATAACTTACCTAACAACCTTGATACTGTCGTAAGAGCCATTGTGGCCAATGTATTCGTACTCCTTGCCCGAGGAAAAGTCCTGGACACGGATCTTCTGCACCGTCATAGTGAAGGGGAGGTTGGTCCAGTTGACCAAACCACCACCCCATTCGATATTTCCTACCGACTGGGACGGAATACCCACAGGCCAATTGCTGACCTTGACTCTGCACGGCGTTTGGGGATAGTTCTTGCCATAGACGGTGAGGGGTTCGGAGTAGTTGACCGTGCGCCTCAATTCGCCATCAATCCACCACTCCAGACGATCCTTGTCCCAGTATGAAGTGTAGTTGTGGAATTCGGTATCCGCGTTTTCGACGGCATGGTAGCCACCGCGATCACTCGTCGTTGTGTTTCCCTTTCCGAAGAAGTCTGATTGCACCTGACTGGTGTTGTATCCCACCCACTCCCAATCGATCTCGTCCAGATCATCTGATTGCAAAATCACGCTGCTGATGATTCCTGCACCCTTGGCCATCTTGACATGTGCTTCCATGACGCCGAAAAAGATGTAAAAGTTCGACACCAACAAGGTGGAGGCGTTTTCGGTCTTGATGCTAAAGTCTGCTCCCTCCGATGTGTATTCTATTTCCCCCGTCTGCATGTCCCAAAGCTTGTCATCTAGCGTCTCGTTGAACCACCATGTGTGCTCTGTAGACAGCGCCGCGTCGGCGGGGCATGTGGTGTTGAGGGGGTTGCAATCGGTTTCATCGGCGGCCACCAGGTTGGCTAGCGCCCCCAGGAGCCAGGCATGGCGAAGATAGAGCATGACGGCGGATTTGTGAGGAGCGCGTGGTAGGAGTAATGGTGGTATGAGCCGTCTGGGGTGACCCGACTCAGGTGGTGGTGGTGGGTTTGGATGCGGGATGGGGATGGGCGGGTTCGTGGCTGTTCTGGGGGAGGAATGACAGGAAGGGTTTCAGGTTCATGGCTCGTGGCAGGCAGGAAGGAGGAGGAGGAGCCCATTGACGGAGTTATAGCGCTGGAGATAAAAAAAAAAAGTGCCTCTTTGGCTTCTAGCGAGCAAGCTATCGATAGCACAGAAGCAAAGATGGCCGCAGCCAATCAAGGAGCGAGTCGGCACTTAGTCTCCGAGGCATCGGCGGGGGCTAATCCCACTATAGGCAGCTTTCAGGGGCAAGGGCCCAAACCCAACTTTTAAAAATAGGGGCAATCTGCCATTTGTCCCTGAAAAAGGGACACCAGACGGTGTCTCTCGTTCAGCCTGGCTATTGGTAGCCACGATAGATCCACCTGGGACTTTCTTTACCCTTGAAAACTGGTTCTTGCTCGTGTCGCGGAGGACGAAGAGTTTTCCTTCCGTCTCTGCTCAGGAGACAGCTGAGCGGTTGGTCCGAGCCATCCGATGATAATGTTGTTGCAGCCGAGTTGGGGATCTGCTGACATGCAGTCGGACGATCCAATTAAAGCAACACAACTCCATGGCAGCAAGATTACAGGAGTTCGCAATTAAACTTGGGGTCCCTGGGGGCGAGTTGACTCGGAATCAACACTAATGATAACTGGCTGTCGAGGGTTTTTCGGGTCAGTAACTTCTCCCCCGGGGATGGTTGCCCTTTCGAGTCATTTGGATCCATCGCACCAGCCCCTATTGGGACTAGCAAGCAAAACATTTTCCGGAGCCATTCCCAGACAGGAAGTTGAATTTCCTGATTAGTCAGAGCTTGGCGGGCTAGTGCGCAAAGCTTGACCGGGATAGGGTTAGTCGATCTGCCACTTTCCGGGAAGCGGTTTTTGATAGGGTCGGATCTAATTTCGCTGATTACAATTGTTGGCCGACCAGGGGCTGCATGGAAATGTGGGAGCCTGATCCTGAATGCTTGTCTCTCAAGTTGGAGCGCTGTCAGCCTGCGGTTCTTGCACAAGCATATACCAGAAGGCTTGGCTCTTCTGGAACGTTGACTTGGTGAAACATCCGCTTCAGCAGGCAGGTTCTGTTCTTGCAGTACAAATAATTTGGATTAGATTAAGAGGGCGTTCCTACTACTGAGTGTACTACAAAAATGTCCGAAGCAGCCATCTGCTAGGTGACTATAGACACTTAAGATGTTACTGACCGGTGTAATGCTCGACAAAGACAAACAATGCCCTGTCTGACGGGACCAGTGGGAACAACGAAGAACGAGACAGGTCTAATTTTGGAGAGCCACTCTGTGTGATTTCTTTTTTGTGAAATTATGAATTGTAAAGCCATCATTTTCCATGATACTAGTAAGCACCGGGGATATTATATATTCTGACGCCCTTCAAATTCACACGCAAGTCGGCACGAAGATCGTGTAGTACTCATGGCATTCTAAACCTGTGATGGCTAGAAGAACAATCATGATGCTTTCATAGCATTCGGTAATTACTCTAAATGACCAAGCTTCCAAAGACAAACTAGACGCACAGAGATGGGTACATAGAAAGCTTTGGGTACATTGCACCCTCACTCAGATACCCCACCAGATCTGCCCAGGGATATCCGGGTTATCTTCTGTCCAACCTTCATATCTTTAATATCGCCCCAATCCACCTTGACCTGTGGCTCAAAAATAAGACAATGCGTACTTTCTCCAAAATGAAACATTCCAATCTCCAGGCCTTTCTCTCCATAGTCCCCAGGTAACACCGACGTCTCGCACGACCCACGTTCCAAGATCCCCCCAAAACCAGCAACACACGTTACCCGGGTTATCTGGCTCCGCAATCGGTCGGGCGCCTTCGCGGAGTTTTCTGTTTAAGAACCCCTCCTATGAATCGAACTCCCAGTGGGGTTTGCTGGGGTCGCATATGAAGGTTTTCTCGAAATTGCGCATGTTGGAAAGAGCATCGGGGCTGAACCAGCCATTAGGCTCGTCCTTTAGGACAGCTGCTAATTCTGTAGTGTGGAGAAGTCCGCCCCAGTCCTTGAGAGCGTCATGGAAGGCATTGCTGACCTTTGAGTTGAGGAAGAACCGTACCCGGATGGCGTGCGAATGTATGGCTCATGAATCTGGTTTAGGGACTGCTGGCCCAGCGTTGGGTAGATATTGCGGGCGCACTTCGAAAAAGACTGTCTAGTTAGACGATGGAGGTCGCAAGGTCGCTAGGGATGGTTGGATCTCCAGGGCGAGTTTGTGTGAACGTCTCTGTCGACAGTTTGTAGAGATTGGGATCGCTCTCGATCAAGGACTTCAACACGTTGATGCTCGAGTTTATGTTGGTGGATGTGACCTGATATGCAACATTATTGATGAGTCCCTGATGTAGTAATGCGAGCACAGGTGTGTTTGCTATGGCTCAGATATTCAGCCAGCATATAAAAACTTGAACGCGTTAGCTGAGCATTTTCCAGGGCGCCCATGGACTTTTGTGATGTTGATGCTTCCCCTCTTTCTACCCATGAATGAACACGGTTTGAGGCAAGACAGCAGACGCATTGGAGGTCAAGTCCTACAGCGGCGGTAATATTTACCAATTGACTGTTATTCTTGACCAACCCTCTGCAACAATGCAAGATTCACCGGAAACCAAGAAAACAGGCAATCGCCAGCCTATCATCCGAGCCGGGTCCGATGACATGATGGTATGCTTTGGCTTCTGATATTTTAGCTTCTTATTGTGGAACATCCCATTGAGCGCCGAACCTGAAAACAACAAGTCGGAGACTATGGTGACATCAGAACCTAGGCTGGCTGACTCAATGTACAGGAATTTCTGGAACACAAATGACATTTTCTGTGGTCTGATTCTATCATGACCCTACGTCATTTTGCATATTTCCATCAAAGACCGCATAGCTCGAAAGGACTTGGACATGTTTGCTTTAAAAAAGCATGAAAATATGCGGTGAGCTGCACCAAATTCAATGGACGTCCTCGTTGGTATAATGATAAGAACAGATTATCTGAGCAGGTGCCGTGTTACAGTGTTGTAGATGGTATCTGAAGGCCCTTTGATATTAAGTGATCTCTAAGTAGCCAACTTATCATCCTGGCTCGACAGCCAAGACACTCAGTCTCGTTTCCAGACGATAGGTAAATGGCCCTCTTTCCCATAAACGGGATCAAGAACCGGCGTAGATACCGATTCACAGATTAAACGTTTCCTATTTGTTTCCTCCGGTGAGTCAAGTGCCTCCTCGTAGTCCCAAGGCTGAGCTCGGGAATTTTTGTCGTTCTATCACGCCGTCAGTCCAACTAAAGCGAGAACACAATAATATGCTGCTATCAACAGTAGCATTAACGACTTACTAGCGAATACCACCCGATAATCTCATAGTTATCCGAGGTACTAGTGACACAATGTGTAACACCAGCCTGCGTAGACGTAAGTCCGTTAAGAACACCAGCATTTTACTTTATAGTTATATCTTTCCATATAGAGAGAAGAGAGATCATAACGTACAGGAAACACAAACACATCTCCCGCGCGAGCAGTGAACACCACACCAACCTCCTCACCATTGGCATCAAATCCGGGATCGAGGGATGACTTTCCCAGGCGGTATGTACCCGTCCCATGGAGGACTGTATATGCCTCATGGGTGATGGAGTGGTAATGAGGGACGGCTGCCAGTGTATTTTCTGCTATTATCCAGTGGCCTCCATATATCCATTCAGACTGTTCTATGGCATCTGCGGCTCCTTGGGGTGTCTTGTCGATCAAGGCATTCCTGTAGACGAGGACGGGACGAGTTGAGTTGGGGGAGTGGGCTGTTGGAGGGACGGTGAGGGTTTCGGGTGGTACTTTGTTGACGAGCATTCTTGTTTATCCTCGGTGGGAGGGAGGGGTTGATGTAAAAGTGCTAACTAGGTTGTTCTTAGGGAACGATAGAGAAGCAGTGATTCTGATATTACTTTGATATAATAGCAAATATTCTGGAGAAGAGAAGCAGAAAGTGGGATGTACGAGCAGTCATTCTCCCATATCGGATGGGGGTCAATAGGGGTCAGCGGGTGAACTAACCCCAGTATACAAAACTCGCTAGTTGGACTTTTCTGGGACTTAGGAGCCCTGTAGTCCATTCCGATATGCGGAATGTCTTTCCGATTGTTCCACTTAGGGTTTGCAGTGTCTTTAATCATATAAGCTTACAACGCTACGGATGCCATTCCCGAGCCGTGAGAGTACCCCGCATGTAGGGATCCGAACGTGGATAGCATCAGCCGGTGCAGTATATCGCATATATGAGAGAATTACTCCAGGGGCTTTTGTGATTTTTGATATCACCTTAACGTAAAAATAGAGAGGTTAAAGCGAATGCGTTTGAAGGAGGGCATGAAATGAGGTCGTTATTCTGGGGACCGTTCGGATATACCTGTGCCGCACCATATGTCTTTCGATCATGAGTTGGAATGTAAGATCACAAGAGAATTTTTTTTTTTTTACGTTTGAGCTTATTTCGTCTAACTTTTGCTAACCTGCGCGCTTATGCCAGGCTCAAAGCATCACTAACAGGCATAACATACTCTTCCCAGTCATTTAAATCCGTGATAGACGCTGGTGACCTTTCTCGGGAAGACTTTGACAAACAAAAATCGCGGGACTTCCACACCTGCTCGACGACGACACGCGCCCGAGTCACACTAGAAACACTGCTTTTACTCATCTTCATAAGCAGTTCCAAGACAAGCCTTCGTCCGTCCGTCATTTTCCCAGTATCCGGATCTAACATGATCGCAAGGTCAAGAGGATCTAGTTCCACGGCAGCAACAAAAAGAGGCCAGACGACCTGACAAGATGGCTCCATTGCGAGTAGTTCAACAATATCTTTCAATATTTTGCGCACGTAGGTCTTGGTTATGGAATCGGATGGTGTCAAGCCATACAATGCGCAGTTTAGATAGACAATTGAAGTCACTCTCTTTAGCTCGGCAATTCTCTGAATGACCTGGCTGTCTCCATCGATTCGCATCTCCTGTTTGATATCCTTCAATCTGTTGATCAGGGCGGAAGCTCTAACATTAAAAGCTTCGTGACCTTCATCGGCGATGACATGCCGTCTAGACCGACTCAGATCCATGATTGAGAATAAGACAGAGACAAGAGCAGGGCTGCAACCCATCCAAGGATTTATGGTCGTATCTTCTTCACGCCAATAGGTCGATCCAAAAAGCTCCGCTTTTCCACAGGCAGTCCGCCCCATCACGTCCTGGAAAGCGAAGAAAAGCTCCGTGAAAGACGATACTGGGTCTTGCTGTACACCTTGCGTTGCACCTTTCAATAAAATCTGCTGTCGTCGGCGAAGTCGAATGATATCTTTTGCCCCCTGAAGATGTATAATCCACTGCTGATTGCAGTCATCAACAATGTCATATAAACATAAAAACATCATAATGACCAATATTTCAGGGTCTTCTGTGACTATATCCTGGGGATGCGTATTGATACGATGTCGGAGATGGTTCAGAACTCGAGCCTTTAGTTGCAGAGAAAGTTCGCTATACCTTGGGTCGCTCTGGGACCAGTGACAGGCGGCCAGCGCCTGTATTGCCTGCAGAACTGTGGGCGGAGCGGATACACAATAGGGAAGAATGACTGAGGCAAAGGGTGACATGGATAGAGGACTCTGTACTGTTCGAGGACATATCTGGTTCACGTAATAGTCGAACAGTACTTGATTTCCCAGATCATCTAGGGATGGAAATGGTGAGAGGGGTGATTGTAAGTTCTGTAACATTGCTTCTTTTATATCCATTAATTGAGCGGTATCGGGTGGCGATGTTGTGAAAGACGATGCTGGCTCACGAGGCCCCAGCTCCCCAAGGGCCGTTCTAGCATCGACGGCCGGGAGAAGATGTGGTTCGGTGTATCCTTGCTCCTCGGCATAAAGTCGTCGAATCAAGGAAGTATCGTTATTCACGAATGCCCAAGACTGAACCGTCGGGATCGCAACCCATGTAGTGTCTTTGGGGAAAGTCGAATCCCGTCCCGGAGCACCAGTTGGGTGATCAGGAGACTTCCTATTCAGCCTCGACCTGCCAAAGGCGATACCTCGATCACGATAATTTGACTCCCATTTCAGCCGGAATATTGTCTGGCATTGTAGATCCTTTTGCCAGCATCGGGTGCAGATTGGCTTTTTCTCGTCGCATTTAAGCCTGCTCCGTCGGCAGTTTGTGCATCCTTGTTGAGAGCGGGAAGATGTTTTACTGCTGCGTTTGTTCGTCTCCAGGTCCATAGTGGTCAGTCACAGATATCCAACGGTAACTGTTAAGTGCTCATATTGTAATTGTACGACTTTCTGCTTTTAAAGCAAGCTCTGGCGAGCAAAGAGTTCCAGTGCCGGGCACTACGGCAGGTCGATGCGATATTAGAGTTCAGGGTGGGACCGGGGCAGTGGATCTCATTTGCTGGACCCCGTGGGAGTTAAGTGAATTATTCATAAAGAACAGCTTTGCATGGTTCTGATTCATGATGAAAAGGGGAGATTTGTAAGACATGGAAAGGCTTAATAAGCATGCCTTGCTGCCCGTTAACTAAGTTGTAACTAGATGCAAGTTCTTCATCATCACAGTATCCAGGTGGGCGCAATTCATAACCGCAGCTACGGTCGCCCACCGAGCAAACAATACTGGACTGATGCATTGGTCCCACGACAATACATGGTTTAACTTAGGCAGGATAGTGTATACTAATTCCACCAAGCAATCGTGAGACTAGTATAGTTATGAATAGTTGACTTTCCTTTCGGACCTAGCACTTGCATTCCACCCCAGTCGACCCAGACAAGATTGATAGATATCTTACAAGACGAAAGTTCCGTGCCGCCTTCTAAGGAGCACATTCACGAGCGTTGTTTGAAAAGTCCAAATGAGACTACAGTAGCTGATTGTGTCGATAGCGCACGCATCCATTCTGTTATTTACTTGTGTGGGGGCACAGATGCAGGCTCTAATTTGGCTTCACGGGTGGGTACTAGACTAGACAGATCTAGATAGCATTGGGGAGGTATGTTTGACAGCCTTTGTTAAACACCAGAACAAGACGAAAAGGTCTTCTCACAGCAAATTTCTGTATGTTGATTAGTCTGTGGGTAATGGATAAGTCGTCCGAAGTAATGGCTTGATATTGAAGCTACCCTCTATGAACACTCAGCAAGTCCACAGGTCTTGAGCATGTTCAATGAATAGACTCCCTATGAGGTGGTAAAGATGTGACCATGCTTGTCTCTTATACGGAGAGTGCCTCTATGACCTCTAGGAGGCATGCGTAAGCACAGCTCCGACCATGGTCGGGATGGCTATAAACGGATCGTCGTTATCGACATGAAGGACAGAGAAGACGGCCAAGAGGCTAGGCAAAGCTTGTCCCAACCAAATCTATAGCTAAAGATAGGGGCATTAGCGGGGTATATGTGCGATAAGGCTGAACAACTCTTGTGTTCTGAGCGTCGGGTTAAACCATCCGGAGAAATGAGGAAGTCACGGTTGTCCAATACAGTGGTGGTGAGGTGACACTCCATGTGCCTGAGATATGAAGAGTATTAACGCTCGATATTAAATTGATAAGAAATGACCTGGTGACTCATGGTGACAAGGTGATGAAGGCGCAGCAGGGGGACGTGCGCTGAGTTGGAAAGAGGTGGTGCTGACGACGGTATGCCGTGGTTTGATAGCGAGACGTGACACCGGATGTTGTGTGAGGTGTGATGCTCGGATGAACTGTGCTACTTGGCTAGTTTTGCCAAACTCGTCCTTGGATATAATGGAGGTTTGCCCCCTCGAAGCTTAGCGCCATTGAAGGTTCCCATTGCGAATATGCTGACCGCCTCAGGCAGCGAGGAGAACACGCAACGGACGCGAGCTGGCCAATCAGGGGGGTTCCATCACATGGCCGGCCAGAATCCCGGCATTTTTCTATTGTTTCCCGTTCGATCTCCGCGTCTGCCTCACTTTCCATCAGAGTCCAGATCCTGTCCATTCATTTGACAGGTTCCAATCATCTTCATCCATTCTGAGTCATGCAGGCCAACTTCAATTTCTTATCGGCTTCCTTCGGACGCGTTGAGTCACGTCTGCTCCGTCGGGCTCCCGGACAGGCATCGCGCGGGGGAGCGGCTTATCACTGGCAGACTAATCGTATTCGCTGACTGCAGTAGCGCCGTCCGTTCGCCATGCACGATAAATTAGCTCGCCATCTTCTGTTCATCTTTTTAAATCCCAGGGCCCTTCTTTTTGCCATTCTCGACACAGAGAAAACACCAATTTCAACAGTCCTGTCCGAACGATGGTGCCTTCCATCGCCCCTGGAGAGGCAGCTGTTGTTCTCTTTGTCTTGATTTCGTTGGGGACCATCCCGCCGGCCAAGAGATTGATCAAGGCGAGATGGAAACACGCGAACCCGGACGACATCCGGTATGAGGATAAAGATGGAATTGCCACAAAAGAATCCACCTCTCAGTTGTCAAACCAGCGCCCTTTCGTTGCTATTTTTTTGCTCGGTCTTTGTGGATTAGGTCTGTCTTTTGCAAACTTGATCATTGCGGCAATTAGCATCCATGGGAGAAAGGGACCTGCCTCACTAGGAATCTGGCTGCTGCCGCCAGCATGGGTGCGTGCGTCGACACTCTCCCACCACCGGAGAGGTCACATTGGGAATGGACTGCTGACAATTCATAGCTATTTCTGTTGGTGCAATTCACAGACTCAATTACCCAGACACACCCAGTTGCGAGATTCGAGAGCGTGATATGGAAGCAGGCAACCATTGTTCTGATTGGGGGTATTGCTCTCTCCGTTCTCGCAAGCGAAAATGTCCCCGGCGGGAGTCGACCTAGCATTACAGCTATCCTGACTGGGGTACAGGTGCCTACTCTTCTGGCCCTGGTTGGTGCTATATGGTGCGTGGAACGGCGCCCGGCTGTCTTTAGCCCTGACAGCAAGGAAATCGACCGAGAGATGACCGTCAACCTCTGGAACCGATTGACATTCCGATGGGCTCCTGAGATCATGTCCGAAGGCGCCAAAGAAGCATTAGAATCTGAAGCTCTTCCGACTATGAATCATGCTGTCCGTTCCAAAGAAGCCTCGGACGAATTTAGTGCCATGGCCTTGACAGACGCCCAGCCACTGTGGATCCGCATCTTTTGGCAGTTTCGGGTACAGCTTCTGCGGCAATGGATCGCAGTTCTCGTTTCAAACTTTTTCGACGTCGGCCCATCTTTCGCAACTTTACAACTCCTTCAATACCTCGAGTCACGAGAGAATTCGGACGTACGTGATCCATCTGCCTGGAGATATGTCATGTTGATTGCACTGGCTGCTATGGGCACCAATTTGGTGGACTCGCGTATCATGTGGTGGGAAAAAGGCTATATCGTCGTTGCTCTGCGGTCGACCTTGACATCATTAGTGTATCGTAAATTGTTGCGAAAGAAATTGAGTACCGACCCTGCGAAGGTTGAAGAGATTGGAACTGAAGAGGTATCAGACCCCCGGCCCCTGTGCCTATGTCTTACTAATCTTGCTTCACCCATAGGCTGGCCAGGATGGTCCCTCCAAGTCAGAACAAGACGTCATCAATATGTTTGCAGTCGACTGTAACCAAATCGCCATATTTGCGTCCGAAAGCTCCCAGTGTGTAAACATTGTGGGTAAAATGCTGGTGACAGTGGCATTTTTGTGGCTGCTCATCGGCTGGCAAAGCTTGTGTGCTGGTCTACTGGGTATTGCGGTTCTTTTCCCTATCAACCGAGCTTTAGCGGAGAGGTATGGGAGAAAGCAGAAGGCCCTGATGGAAATCCGGGATAAACGAACTACAATGACCACAGAAGCTCTGCATGGTATCCGACAAATCAAATTCTCCGCTGCCGAAGATGTGTGGTCGGAGAAGCTCGAACGTGTTCGTGAAGAGGAGTTGTCGGTTCTGTGGAGCAGCAGGCTCGATAATATCTACATGACGATCGGCTCGGAGTTTACCCCCATCGTTCTAACAGCATTGTCTCTGACGACATACTCTTACATCCACGGAAGCTTACTGCCTTCTGTAGCCTTTACAGCGATCAGTCTATTCATTCAGCTTGAAGGCATTGTTGGGCAGATTCCTTACTTATTGGTATCAGTCATCACCGCCAAGGTGAGTTCCGACAGAATCGACGGATTTCTCCGCACACCAGAGCAAGAGGAAAACACCCATCCGGGTGAGGTCATTTCATTCCATAATGCCTCTGTGAGCTTCCCCTGCGATGCTAAGGATGCATCAGCGGACCGTTTCGCATTGCGCAATCTCAACTTGGTATTCCCCAACAATGCGCTCAGTGTTATCTCGGGGCCGACAGGATCAGGAAAGTCTTTACTGCTGGCGGCTATTTTGGGAGAGGTAGAGGTGTTGGGCGGCTACGTCCATGTCCCGCGAGATGCCTCTCCCATTGAGCACTTCGATAACAAGGCAAATGCGGCCAACTGGATTTTGCCAACGGCTATTGCCTTTGTTGCCCAAACTCCCTGGATTGAGAATGCCACGATCAAGAACAATATCCTCTTTGGTTTACCCTTTGATCCGGTCAGATATGAGCAGGTACTACAAGCATGCGCATTGACTACTGACCTGGCCTTGTTCGAGGATGGTGATGAGACAGAAGTGGGCGCTCAGGGAATCAGTCTCAGCGGCGGACAAAAATGGCGGTTGAGTCTGGCACGTGCCATCTATTCACGCGCAGGAATCATCATCATGGACGACGTTTTCAGCGCTCTCGACGCTCACGTAGGCAAGCATGTCTATGAAAACGCAGTCATGGGCAAGCTTGCAGAGGGCAGAACTCGGATACTCGCCACCCACCATGTGTCGCTGTGTTTGTCTGGAGCGAAGTATGCGGTCAGTCTCTCCGCTGACGGAACGCTTAAGCACGCAGGTTCCGTGGAGCAGCTAGAGGCGGAAGGGGAGCTCGATTCTCTCCAAGAATCTGCTAATAGGGAGATCTTGATTGAGGAAGAAGAAGGACTGACGGTGCCGACTGACTCTGCCACTATTGCGCCCAAGGCTCCCCCAAAGAAGCTTATTGAGGCGGAAAAGAGAGCGACCGGTCGCGTCGAGATGTCAGTCTATTCTGGTTATCTCAAAGCAACCGGAGGGTGGCCATTTTGGATCCTACTTTCTTTTCTATTTGCATTATTTCAGGCATTGATTTTGTCTCGAAACTACTGGATACGAATTTGGGCGGATGCGTTTGGCGATGAGCAGGGAGTCGCTCAATATACGGCATGCCCACACCACAACAGCCTGCAGATGCAGCTGGCAGGCTATTCAACATCAACGCACAAACTTTGCATGAACACCTCCAGTAGTCTCCCAATCAACGTTCAGAACAGAAGCTTGTGGTTTTACCTGGGGATGTATTGCGCCATCTCCGTCGTGTCAGTGATGGTCGCGGTCACCCGGTTATTCAACCTATATTCTGGAGCCGTCCGCGCATCACGGAGAATATTCCACGATATGCTTCACAGTGTTTTCCACGCGCCACTTCGATGGTTCGACACAGTTCCCACGGGAAGAATTCTAAACCGTTTTACAGGAGACTTCACCCTCTTGGACTCCCAGCTCCCGCAGATGTTCTATTACTTTGCCGCTACGCTCTGGGAATTGGTCGGTATATTGGTTGCAGCCATCTTCATTTCCCGGTTTATGGTCTTGGTTGCGATCATACTATTGGCATCTTGCGCCTTTATAGCACGGAGCTACATTGCTGCTGCACGAAACATCAGGCGCATCGAATCCAACAGCAAGTCGCCGGTCATATCACATTTTGCTGCATCCTTAACTGGGCTCTCCACTATTCGAGCATTTTCCAAAACCGAAGAATTTACTCGACGAATGTACAATCTCATCGACACGTACGCTGCTTGTACATGGTATGCTTGCTATATGGGCAGCTGGCTCCATCTTCATGTGGGACTTGTGGCCGCTTTGTTCCCAGTCACCGTGGCTGCCTTCGTGATAAACACCCCTGGCATCGACGCTAGCTTGGCTGGGTTCGCCCTCTCCTTCTCGCTAAGCTTCACCTTTTTGACTTCCTTTACTATTCAAATTTCCACAAGAGTTGAGCTGTTCATGAATGCAACAGAGCGCATCTTCGAGTATCGAGACTTGCGGATCGAGAACCCAGACGGGACCAGCGTTAGGGCTAGCTGGCCCGAGACGGGTAGAATAGAGGTAAATGAGCTAGAGGTCGGTTACGCAGAAGGGCTACCATCGATCCTGAAGGGCCTGACTTTCACTGCGGAGCCAAACCAAAGGATTGGGGTCGTCGGTCGGACGGGTGCTGGTAAGTTGCCTGCAGCATTCCCTGTTCTTCTTCTTATACTAACAATGACAGGCAAATCCACTTTATCGCTTGCACTTTTCCGTTTCTTGGACACCCGTAAGGGCAGTGTCGTCATCGACGGAGTTGACATTGCCAACATTCGACTGCACGACCTCCGTACCCGCCTAGCCATCATTCCCCAAGACCCTGTCCTTTTCTCTGGCACCATCCGGTCCAACCTCGACCCTTTAAATCAATACAGCGACCAGGAAGTGCGAGAAGCTTTAGCGCGTGTCCACCTCATCCCCTCCGGAAGCAGCACGCCACTGTTGAAGAACGACGAGGATGACCACTCTGGTGCTAGTTCCACCATTGCCGCTTCCGAGCAGAACGGAAACACCAACATATTCCAGTCCTTATCCTCGCCAGTTTCTTCGGGTGGATCGAACCTGTCACAGGGACAGAAACAGCTGCTCTGTCTGGCGCGCGCTATTCTGTCCCGACCCAAGATTCTGATTCTCGATGAGGCTACTTCCGCGGTGGATATGGAGACTGACATCCTGATCCAGCGGTCGATTCGAGAGGCGTTCACGAACACTACGCTGCTAGTGATTGCACACCGTCTCAGTACCGTGGCCGACTTTGACCGCATCCTGGTCATGAAGGATGGCGTTGCAGCGGAATTTGGAAGTCCTGGAGAGTTGGTGGAAAAGGATGAAGGCCTATTTCAGGATATGGTCAATAAAAGTGGCGAAGCGGAAGAGTTGAGGCGGATGATGTTGGCGTCATAAACCATAAGCATCATATTGTAGATTGTTGATGCTTTTCACTCCCTAGAGTTATTCGCGCATTTTCACAGTACGCTACCCTTGAAGTTTCTTGCATTCACAAAAAAGAGATACACATTTGAAGTTCGAAGTACCTTGTCCAATTCAATTTTGCAATGAAGATTCGTTAGCCGCGCATATGACTAAATGGCACCATAGCAATGTAGGAATCAGTGAATATGGGGTAATAGTAGCGCATTTAGGCATTCGGAATGCATTTGAATGTTGATAGGAAAACATGGGCGGGTCTAAGGATGAACGGTGCCAGACTGCCTATACAGACAAGATATCTTGTAAAGAAATCCACGACCGAGAAGATAAGTAGGATAAACGAGATGATTCCAGGATCAATCATGCCTGGATATGTTTTCAAAGTCCATAAATACATCCATTATGTTACTTGAGCTCAGTCATGGAGCATATTATGGTTGCTTGCAATTGACTGAACTCACACATCAACCCGGGAGGTGTTCGGTAAGCTTGATAATATTGACATCTCTTCCCCACTTTCTTTGAGAAGCTCAGCTACTTGTTTGTACCTCAGGCAATCTTATCATGTGTAAGGGCGGTGAAAGAGACCCCTTGCATGGCCACTGACTGGGCGATATAATGCAATCATTATTGGCCTCTCTGGCTCGTATATATAAATTAATACGTCTTCTATATCCCCAAATGTACTCTTCAATAATCATCCACAGGCACCAACTAATAAAGGGCTTTGCACTCAAAATTGGCCGCATCATCAATGTCTCCTGACCCCACGTACTGGGCCAATTTGGGATAAGCGCATATCGGCCGTTGTTTGTCAATGGTCCTGGAGGTATACTCAACGCTACTATTGAAGCGAGACCCAATAATATAGTCGGGTGCAGTGCCGTTCTCAACCCAGTTGATTAAGGCCAGAAAAATGTCGTGCTTTGCATCTTGGTAGCCTGGGACACTGTAAAGAGACGAGCTCAGCGTGCTCGCCTGCGTCGGCCCGGCGATGTACCACGGCGCGCCCATTGTGGATGGTGTATGATAGCAGTGTCTGGAGAAGTCAGCTCGTAATCCCATGTTGGTCTAATGTGCACTCACTCCATGCCAGGGATTGCGAAGAAGCGATAGAAGTCATCGATATCAATGCCCTGCGGGGCAAGCGTGGCGGCCATGTGGTCGCGGTAATAGAGGCCGATACCGGGAGGTACAATGGCGTCGGAGTGACCATGGTAGTGAATGAGCTTCCCTCCGTGGCGGTAGAACTCGGCCAGGTCATAGCTGTTGGCGGACGAATTACCCGGGTCAGTCTGATCGGCGTACTGCACCACGCTATAATCGAAGTCCTGCACAGTAAAGTTGGCGAGGCCAAGGATATGTTGAGGATACCACAGCTGCGAGTCTTCGTTGCCGACACTGCCGTTGCCGATGACGCCGCTCTCGTTCCACATTGCTTCGCTGCCGTAATGCGGATGCGTGTACACAAAAGTTTGATTTGTTTCCACCCAGTCGTTGTAGATCTTATGCAGTGTTTCTATCTGGGGTCCTGTCAAGCAACTGGTGTTCTTCGTCTCAGTACAGAGCAAAGGCAGGTAGTCGAAATGACAGCCTAGTGGATCGGAAATGATGTTGTCGACCAGTCCGTCTTGAGGATCGCACTGACGGATTGCCTCTGCTCCGATGACTGCGAACATCTCCATTGGGATTGTATGATCTGATCCCTGAGGTGCCTGATAGGTCGTCTGCTTGAGATTGTATAGCTGTTGGTGGGTAGTCCACCATGCCGGGCAGGCAGCAATCACCCCGTCATAGTCCCGCGGAAACTTCTGTGTCTCTTTCATGGCCTGGCGGCCACCGGTGGAGCAGCCGGCGAAGTAGTTATATTTGGGCTTTTGACCATAGAACCTCTCGACGAGGAACTTGCCCAGCACGCTAGTGAGATGGTTGGCACGCCAGGCCCAGTCGTTGATAGACTCTGGATTCTTCCACCAGTCTCCATCCATGTCGGAGCCCGTGTGGCCCGTGTCAGTGGCTACAGAGGCGAAGCCATACCGTAGTCCCACAGCCTAGTAGTTCGATCAATCTACGATCTACTTGTAATTGAGGACGAAGCTGTTACATACCATATCAACCCAGTTGATGTCTTCGCCTTCCTGCGCAGCGTGACTGTTCGGGTTAAGTTAGTACTGGATATCCTCTCAATAGGTCAGAGTCACTTACAAGAATCTTTCATTCCATGTGTCAGGCAGAAAGACGCCAAAGCTAAAGTGGGTGTTCACATCTGTGGTCGCATTGACCTGGATGGCACAGGCCGCTGGCAACTGCGTGGGATTGGTGACGGAGCTGATGTTGGGGTTCACAAACGTCGAATTCTCCGCATAGTGTCGGGCGTAAACTACGCGTGCAGCGGTACCATTGGCGTCCAAGAAGGCTTGAAAGGTCTCAATGGAGCAGTTATTCCTAGCCAAGGTAGGTGGGAGAACGGCGAGAAGGAAAGTAACAAGATATAGGAACTGTAGTGCCATGGTCACGATTCATATAATAATGAAGCTTGCAGATGATCTAGAGGTTAGAACCACCTCCATTTGTTGAACATTATATACTTGCCCTGTTTCTCACTGTGACGACACAGTCCATTCCCCATTGTTGACATCCCGACTGGTACATCAGCCCATTTCCGTATTGCGGGGATACTCCGGGGAAACTCTGCAGGACGGAAACGCATGCATGATCCTGTTGGATGTTTGCCCGCAAAATGAGGGCCTCTGCGGCCGCCAACCTGCGGAGTCTTTCCCGCATTGGGATTCACAGATCAACAGTGCGGACGCAGACAACATATAAGGCAGCAACTGGGACGGGAAAGCAACAGCTTCCATGCATCTCAACCCACAGCAGTCACTACAGAATGAGGCATTCCCCGCTCAGGATGGCTGCCATGGCGTCACTGCTGCTGCTGGCTCTTCCGGCCGGGGCAAAAGCTTCATCCGCTCCGACAAGCCTTTTGTTTCAGAACGACGGAAACTGGACTGCTCATGGGGAGCGACCAAGTGCTCTGCTAGTGCACACACCTGCCGGCCGTCGTCAGGCAGAAACAGTCTGTGCCGAATATGAGGAGCAACTGCTGCGATGCGATGATGTACACCATTTCCGCCAGTCCTTCCAGTACCAGCAGTATCTAGGTACTCTAACTAACGATACGCTGCTCTGGACTGCTTGCAGTACACCAGTCACTCTTTCTGGTACCTCTGCCACCGATAATGTCTCTTCGGATGGAGAGTGGCCTTTCGTCTGCACAAACTCGGCTCCACTGGTTGATCGTGTCGACACCGATTACTCCTCCTTCCCTCGGGTTAATGTCACGGCAGGTAACATTACCTTCGAAGGCCTCCGTGATCATTTGACTTTTCGATTTGCTGGTATTCCGTTTGCGCAGCCGCCAATTGGCACACGCCGCTTCCAGTATGCCGAAGCTTGGGATGCGACCAATGTAAGTTACGTCAATGCAACTCAATACAGCCCCGCCTGTCTGCAGTTCGGTTACTTTGACGGAAATAGCTATGATTTGAACCCCTGGGGTAATGATGAGAATTGCCTTTATTTGAATGTATATACTCCCTTTCTTCCGGGCGATACGGACGTGCCCGAGGATCAACTGAAGCCTGTCCTCTTCTGGATCCATGGCGGTGGCTTCTCTCAAGGCACCGGCTCGGACCTAACCTTCGATGGAGGAAGTCTAACTTCACGCTCGGATGTGGTCATCGTCACCTCTAACTACCGCTTGAATATTTTCGGGTACTTATCACTCGATGATGGCACCATCCCTGGAAACTACTGGATGTCCGATAACATCGCTGCTCTTCGGTGGGTGCAACAATATATCCGCGGGTTCGGGGGAAACCCAAACAATGTTACCATCTTTGGGCAGTCAGCTGGTGGCGCCAACTGCATCGAGCTTGTTGCTTCTCCTCAAGCTGCTGGTTTATTTCAGGGCAGTATCCAGCAGTCAGCAGGCAACGGTCGCTTTAGCACCCAGAGCGCAATAGCCGAGCTAGCTGAGCCCTACCTTAGCCCATACTGCAACGAGACAGGCGCTGCCCGGCTTGCCTGCCTGCAGCGACTGCCTTCATCAGTGCTCCTGAACGCCAGCGCCGACATCTTCTTCACTCCAGTGATCGATCCTGTATATCTACCAGATGCACCTATGGCTCTAGTCGCCCAAGGAAGCTCTTACATTAACTCCGTACGGATGATGTCCACCCTGATGCCCGAGGAATGTCAGTCGCTGACCACAACCACTCTCGCACCCAATATGACCGACTTTCAGACCGCGCTCGACCTGCTCATCCCAGGGGGCTGGATCGATCAAGAACAGGCAGATCACATTATCCCCTCAGGCCTGTGGCTTATTAGCAACGAGACCTTTCACAACGGGTCAACTTCATACTCCAGCGTATACAACGCTAGTGTCAAGATCGCCACCGAAAATAACCAAGAGTGCCCGAATGGCGCCTACGCTATGGTGGGTGCCGCCACGGTCGCTTTCCCTAGTATGCACGTGGCCTATCATCAGCGCGGATACGCTCTCTCCTACTATGATTTCTATGACCTGTGCACGTTTCCTGTCGGAAAGCCGGACACACCATATTATCGGTGCCACTCTAGTGACTTGTACGAGGTATTTGGGACTTACTACATTTACGATCAGCCGATTCGGGTTCCCGAGGATATCTACTATACCAATGCGGTGCAGGACATGTGGGGGTCGTTTGCGCGAACGGGTGATCCTAATGTTGCGAGGGAGTATCTGATAGCGCGCGGTTACAACACCACCTTAGAGTTCTTTGCAGGCTGGCGTTGGCCGGAGTTTACGGCGTCAAATATGGTCCTGGCTGATTTGCAATATCCGCGGCCAGGGTATACGGATGTGCCCGATCTGGAGCATTGTCGGTATCTAGCTAGTGTGCAGTATTGATTCAGAGATAAGTAACATGTCCCTACACTATGCAGTATGAATCTCGACTAGGCTTGCGGTCAGCTGTGAAACGGGGTGTGGTCCCTGGGCAGGCTTCGAAAATGTGGCAAGTTAGATCGCACTCCAGAGGGGGCTGCCAGAGGGGTTTCCTAAGAATGTTAAGCTCAGATAGGCCAATTGAGCTACAAGAGCCATCTAGTGATTTGATGTCTCATTTCCTAGGTCCACGGAGTAAAACCCAAAGGCTGTGCTGGGCACTCTTGGTCCAGAGTAGTTCACAGCACAAGTGAGGTACGCTACTCCGTAGTGCATCTGTCATGAACGTTAGCAGCCTATCATAACGAACCACATCTTAGCTATGCCTGCATACCCCACTCTAGCAAGAAAACCAAGCAATGGCAAGGGCGATGAGGAATATTGCTTTTTCTATAGAAAACTAATTGTTGGCATATCCCCGCCCGTGGCCGGCATTGCGCTGACCAGAGTTTTCTTTCTCTTTTGCCTGTCCAATTCCACTCTGTTACTCTACTATAGCACCCGATGATGACCCGTTCATCATGATAGCATATACATATTCAGCACTTCCACCAGGGTCGTTCACTCGCATGATCCGTCTCTTGCCACAAAGAGAAAGAAATGCCCCCATCGAGTGCATACTTATCAACTACGATCTTTCAGTGTCAGAAAGCCGAAACCATCTTTACGAGGCACTTTCCTATACGTGGGGTAGCAATGATAAGCCGCAAGCAGTTCTGATTGGTGGAAGTCTTCTGCCTGTGACTGAGAATCTTCACACTGCATTGTCGTACCTTCGGGACCACCAATTGGAGAGAACATTGTGGGTTGATGCGATCTGCATCAACCAAGAAGACGAAGATGAGAAGAATACACATATTCCGCTTATGAGAGCCATCTACGCACAGGCCGATCGAGTCATTGTCTGGCTTGGGGAGCCAGACCATGCTGGCCCCAATGCACTTGACACGATCCATCAACTCGCAGAGAACAAAGTGTTGCTTTATGCAGGTACCGAAAGCGTTGATTTGTCAGAAGCGGATCATGTGGCCTGTATGAGACTGCTAAGACATGATTGGTTTCGCCGTATCTGGGTAAGCTGGGGTTTGAACGTTTTCACAAGTTAGTGCACAACTAATTCCCAGCAGGTGCTACAAGAAGTTGGTGTTGCTCGATCAATTATGTTTCGGTGTGGCCTAGTTCAGGTCAACGGCTATTCGTTCTGTGAAGGCCTTAGCAGACTAAAGCTGTCACTACTACCAGACCACGTGCTCACAGTCATCCCTCTTGTCCGAAGTTCAATTATTCGGCCACGCAACTCACGAAAACTGCCAGGTAATCTCCCTTTAGGAGAGCTGATCGACATGTATCATACCCACTTCGCAACAGTTCCACACGACAAGATATATGCGTTGCTAGGGTTGTGCTCGGATGATCTTAAAACACCCTGCTTAAGACCAAACTATCGGCTTGCATTCAGTGCTGTTGTTAAGCAGATCGTAAACTATATCTTCATGGGAAATCATACTGTGGCAGTTCTGCCTGACACTAACATAGCTGTGATCAAAGGCAAAGGGTGGATTTTGGGCCATATCGTGTCAGTCGAAAGAAGCACACCCCTTCATGACTACCAGACTATTGGTATTGGCTTCCATGAGAATGCCTTGGGGATGTTCTTTGAAACTCAGTGGGGAAATAAATGGGTAATTCACGCTTCAGCAACATTAATTCAGGTCTATGATATTGTGTGCTTCTTGCATAATGCTCCAAAGCCAACAATCATTAGACTGGGGAAAGGGAAAATCAGTGTTGTCGTGAGTATGGCAACACCAGACATGGTCAAAAAGAAAACCGGATACGAATCCTTTCGTCGACACTCCAAGACGAAGATATCAGACCTACGGAAGCAATTCCAACTCATATATGCGCCACCTATTGACCTTTTCTTCACTTGGGACATCAGTCCACCTGCCAGAGAGAGCAGGAGTGAATTAACTAGTCTGAAAGTGCCAACCTCTACTACTTCTAGCAGCCTAGGACAGACATTGGAGGGAAAAGAGCAGGAATACGGATGTCTGAAACTCATTTTAGAAGACATTATTGTGAATATACTGAAATCTGATGACTTTGAAGCGCAGTTCGAACCGATGAAGCGACTTTTGTGTCAGACTCAGGTCCAAATACCGGTCAGTGAAAGAGTGCTCGAGGCAGCAGCAGCACGTTATGACATCGCATATAAACTCCTAAAGATTCTTCTTGACGACCAACGGAAGAGAGCATCAATAATAGAAATTTCAGTCAGAAATGCAACAAGCATCTATGAGCTCATGGGTATTCTTTTTCTCCGCACGGCCGATTCTTACATCACTGAACGGGTGATCGATGAAACAAGTCAAAATCCACAAGGAAATTCGATTATCAAACTTTTTTACCAGTATCAAAAGAGCCTTCCAGTCTCTGAACATGCAGTCGAGAATGCAGTGAAACATACCTTTGGACTTGATATTATTTTACTGTTTTACTACTACCATCAGAACAGCCTTCCAATCTCTGAACGTGCAGTTCAAAATGCAGTAGAACACATTGATGGACTTGATATCCTTCGTCTGTTCTACCAACATCAAACGTGTCTACCAATCTCTGAACATGCAGTCCAAAATGTAGTGGAACATGTCAAAGGACTTGATATCCTTTGTCTGTTCTACCAACACCAAGACAATCTACCTATCTCTGAACATGCAGTCCAAAATGTAGTGGGACATGTTAAAGGACTTGATATCCTTCGTTTGTTCTACCAACATCAAACGTGTCTACCCATCTCTGAAGAGGCAGTTGAAACTGCAGTGCACTATCCTAACGGGATTGAGATCCTTCGTCTGTTTTACCAACACCAAGACAATCTACCAATCTCTGAGGAGGCTGTTGAAACCGCAGTGCACTATCCTGATGGAATTGAGATCCTTCGTCTATTTTACCAACATCAAACGTGTCTACCCATCTCTGAAGAGGCAGTTGAAACTGCAGTGCACTATCCTGATGGGATTGAGATCCTTCGTCTGTTTTATCAACACCAACACAACCTACCAATCTCTGAAGAGGTCATCGAAGCTGCAGTCAAGTACAACGATCGACTTGAGATCCTTCGTCTGTTTTACCAACACCAAGACACTCTACCATTCTCTGAAGATCTGTTGAATGCGGTAGTACAACTCCCCGACGGAACCGAACTTTTGCAGTTTTTGTTCAAGCAACAAAGCTGTCCACCCATCTCTGCAAGTACAATCCAAAACGCAATCTTATCACCACATGCACTTAAAAAAGTACATCTTCTACAGCAGTACTATCAAGAGAGATTCCCGATTTCTGAGGCGGTGGTCACTGCAGTAATGAACCATACTGACGGACCAAATTCTGTGAGGCAGCGCTACCAGCAAGACAAAGGCTTACCGATTTCTAAGGAAACGGTTAGTACAGCTATTATGGATTCAAATTGCTTCGAAAATTTAAATTTTCTTTACAAATTGCAGAAGAGCCTCCCGATCAATAAAGCGGCGGTAGAGTTCATAGTAATGGAGCTCTTGGAACCTGGAGATGAAGGATCACGTTTGCGGGATTTGACGGGCGACAACACGGAGTATGAATATCGTAGGAAGTGTCTAAAGCTTATCTATCAGCATCAAAGTGATGTGGTTCTTAGGGCGGCAAAGGACTCCATAGTCAAGGATAAAATTATACACATGCTGCGCGAATTTGACGAGCAAGAAAATGAGTGACCATGTCGCCCGTGAAGGACGAGTTTAGTGCGAGCCACAAGATGAACAGATAGAATGGATGGAATGTGACACGCAGAAGAATAGTGGGATATGTTTCCTCCTAACTATTCCTTATAATCTCGCCCGTCCCTGTTCTTAGTTTTCTTTTTCTTTTCTCTTTATTCTTGAACGAGGACGTATGCTGCCATGCCACTGGCACCTGTACCTTAGTCTCAATATGCCCACTAACAAATTTTATAATTCGCATTACTGAAGCCACTATCTTACTGCTTATCGCTAGAAACTCATAGAAATATGACCCGAAATCACCTCCATACTGGAAACATTATACGACGAAACCATCCTTCCTTCTTCAAAGCTAAAATATACTATGCCCCCTTTAACAATGCGCCCCCATCACTCCCAAGTCTTTGTCCCGTGACGAACCCATCCTTCATACACCAAATATACGCCTCTGCAACATCCTCTGGTCTCCCCACCTTCCCAGTCAACGTCCCCCTCCTAAAAGCCTCCATATATGCTTCTCTCGCAGGTCCTAACCTTTCAAATATCTCCGTCTCGACAGCACCCGGTGCAACCACGTTCACACGGATAGGGGCCAACTCCACCGCCAATCCCCTTGTCAAGCCTTCGAGCGCTGAACCCACTGCCGCACCACCCACCGCCAACCCCGCCGCGGGTCTGGCCGCCATTAACCCTGAGGTGAAGGTTATGGATGAGGTATGATGATTAACCAAGTATTTCTTCGCATGTTTACCAATCAACATTGGGGCAAGTAGCCGGAGAGTGCTCAAGGCTAAGAAACTAGAGGCGGTGGTTTCGGAAGAAGCAATAGGAATCCGTGGGGGTGGAGTACCAGCGGTGTAGATTATATGGTTTAGTAATACTCGCTCAATAGTATCATCATTACTTCTAGCAGGAGAAGTGGTATTGGGGAAGAGCAAAGGTGACGTAGCGTAGTCGAGGAGGGAAAGAAGGTTCTGTTTGTGTGTGGCTTGGTCGCCTAGGTCACAGGGTCTGCCGGTGATGTGGTCGGTGTAGACATTGTCTGGATAGAGAGTTTGGAGACGAGAGATGGTGGATGAGACTCTCTGGGAATTTGAGCTGGAGATGATGATATAGGCGCCGTGTTCCAGGGCTGCACGGGCGACTGAGAAGCCGATGCCGGACGTGCCGCCGATTATGAGGACACGGGTGTTGGCGAGCTTGTTGATGGAGATGAGGCTTGGGGTTGCCATATTATTATATAGAGAGAATCTTACGGACTGATTAAATGCATGAAGTCAGGGGAATGAATGGGGGCAGGATTCCTTGTATCGGTGTGGGCTTTATATGCTTCGAATGTATGACAGACACGTCGGCGGGACTCGGGTTCTTTTTGCGGAGGTCTACGCGGGCCCGGTGGGTTCTACCATATGCAGAGTAACTTTAAGGTTACATTTTGACTATTGATACAGGAGTTATTCCTTCAACATTGAGTGTTTGCCTTTCTGCATGACATTTGTATAGGGATAGGTGAATCCCGGTTCATGTGCTCAAACCAGTAAATGCAGGCTGATGTGTTTCCCCAAGGATCTGCGGGCTTTGAACATATCACATGGTGATTTCTCTTCGAAATTCGTGTCAGGGGCGGAATCCCAGCTATGGAGTGGGAGATATCGCGCCTATAATGGAAAAAATCAATCGGCCTCAACGCATGATTTTTCCTTAGCCCCAGCGGAAGGCGCTTCCCCGAACTCTTAGTACTCTCAAAGAATCAGGGGCCAAGTGGTGTCTAGACTCGCTACTGACGAGGCTGACGAGGCTGAGGGTGGGGTGGCGCTTAGAGGAAATGGAGGTGGAGTCACGGCTATCTTTTTTCCTGCTCTTGAAAGATGATTGCCCTGAAAATCATGAGCAACAACAGCAGGACATTGTTGACACAAGCTTCTTGGTGGACCTTTCTACTTGCTGCTTCTCTTCACGTTGTTCACTTCTGATGTCGTCCCCGATCGGTCTGTGTCCTCCGGCTCTTCCTCATCCTCATCCACCTTGGCATCATGGCCTCCCCAACGTAACCACGTCTCAGGAGCCTGCAACTGGCTGTAGCGTCCTTCGCGTTAAGTGGGATAGCAGTATGCCATGCTGTAACTGCCGTAACCGTGGGTGCCCCTGCACCAGGAAGCGCTCCGTCGAGCCACGGATTTTGTCGCATGCCATGATATCCATGCCTCGGGTGTCTGTTGTCTGTTGGACTTGACCATGAGAGTGGAAGGCAAACGTCAGGTATGGAGCAGCGAGTGGCCAATATCCTGAAGGCATATGAGAATGTCTCAAAGCTAATGGCCCGTTTTCACGACAGGATGAAACTATCCGCATGTCCGTCCATATGCTCAGTGTTCTTTTCGTCGTACATCGCTCGGCGCCTCATATTCATGTCACATATAATCGTTTCTACTTCTATTTTTCAAATGAAACAATTAGCTTTGGCTAACCGCAAGCCCGCCACGGGACTTAAACTGTGTCAACTCTCGCGTCCGGGGAACTGTCCTGACGATCTTCTGCGGGTCCAGATATCGGTAATTCGCGGTCCCACCGTAAAAGATCTTATTATTTCCCGAATATTATCCAATAGCTTCGGAGATAGCGGCTAAATGAGGCCAGATAGAGAGAAAGAAACCGAATTCGTTGCAGCAATGCTTTGTCACGGGAGGGCTAATCAGTGGCCATCGGCTTGGAATTCCTGTTGCGGGAAACAACACCGAGCATGCCAGGAAGACACTTTAGCTTCTGCACCGGCGGTAGACTTTGTAGAGTAGTTTAATATCCAGCCTAGTGACAGGACTGCGGGTCTTTTATATATTTAAGAATCCTCCTATTGCACCATGCTCACGTCATTAGCCCAGTCTGTTTCCGCGGGCCCCCATACCCAGTGGAACTGATCTAAGATCAGATAATGACTCGTAATGGAGTGCGTGAAGATGCCCACTTCCTTCCTGCTTGGAAGCAGATCATTGTACCTGCGTAGGGCAGGGCCACGTATAATCTTCAACGCTAGCTAAGGAGGTCGCCTATACTATACTCCTATAAAATTGAGAGGTGTCTACTATATCTAATGAGATCGTCCGCTCCTTCAATCTGATTCTCCACACGCTTCCTCAGCCTCCGAATGCTTCTCCCTCATTAGTACTACGCTCAGTTGCTTGTCCAAATCATGAAAATCCATCCATCCCTCCTAGGCACCCTTGCTCTCAGTGCAAGTACCCTAGTCTCCGCCGAGCTGAACGTTCGAACGATTTACCAATTCGCCTCCAACGACACCTGGCTCGAGAACCTTGCCGTCCGATCCAACGGCCTCATCCTCGCAACCGAGATCGGTCCCCCAGCCAGCCTCCTCTCCTTCGATCCCCGCTCCTCAAGCCCAAAGAAGAACGTCATCCACACCTTTCCCAGCGTTCTCGGTCTCTCCGGCATCACCGAAGCAGCCCACGACGTCTTCTACGTTACCGGCGCCAACACCACCAGTGACAACATCTCCGACCCTCCCAAGAACGCCACGCACATCTGGCGCGTCGACTTCACCGCCAATTCCGACACCCCAGACATCAAACTCATCGCCCGACCCACCGCACCAACAGGCTTCAACGGACTAGCCGCATTCAACGAGACCATTATCCTCGCCTCAGCCTCGTACCAAGATTCCATCTTCGCCGTCGACACAACAACCGGCCGCACCTGGGAAGCCATCAAGGATGCGAACCTGATGAGCAGCATCAATGGAATCAAGGTTCAAGATGGATTCGTGTACTGGACCGCCGGCGGCGACTTTTGCAGAGCGAAGCTGTACTCCAATGTGACTGCTGGTCCTGGAGAGGTTATTGCCGAGGCTATTGCGTTTGATGATTTCGCCGTTTCCCCGGATGGGTTCCGTGCTGGGAGTGGACGGAAGTTTGCATATGCGGCTACGGCGGCAGAGAATACAATTATGCAGATTAGCTTTGATTTGCAGGGCGGGAGGAATCTGACGAGTGTTATTGCGGGCAGTTTGGATTCTACGGAGATTGCGGAGCCGACGGGGTGTGCGTTTGGCAGGGGTGAGGGAGAGATGGATTGGTTGTATGTTACCACGGGTGGTGGGAGTGGTGTTGGTGTTGATGTTGATGGCGTGGAGGTTGCTGTTGGGGCACAGTTGTTGGGGATCAAGCTTAATTAATTAGCTTATTTTAATGAGGGAGGAATGGAAACTGGCGACCATTAGGGGCATTGTTGGGTCATTGTGGTGCAGAAGAAGGTCCAGGAAAAGAGCTGTCTGTGTGTGTATGTGTGGCTCAAAGGTCTTTACTAGTAGCATGGTCTCGGTCTTGTGCGAACTATATGCACTGTTAAGGCAGTCATACTACTATGTAGTAGGCTTGGTCGCACAGTTAGCTGGCACTACACTAGACGCGTCTTCACACGCCTCTCACTACGGAACCTCTAAATAGTAATATAGTATATATTTTTCTCTATATTTCTTGTTTCTATACTTGCAGCTGTCTGAACAGGTTGTAAGCCCTGTCTTTGTATTATAAGATCATCTAAATGATTATAATTTGTAATAGCTGGTGGGAGCCAGACTGGATAAGTTTTACATATTCAAAATGTATAATAATGTCTGACAGTTTTACTATTGATACTTGTATGTTTACCTCTCTGATGGGCAAGCCATGGGACGTCAGCTGTTCGCAGTTCCTAAGGCAGGTCTCGCTTAATGGATTGGGTTGCAATAGAACAACAATCTTATGCAATATCGAGTAAGATTGTATTGGAGACCGAAAGGAGTTTATAAATAGGAATGGAACAGAAGCCCTCGATTCAAACCTGGAGGGAGTATTCCGCAGCCTACATATTGACTTGGTGAGACACTCGCACACAGAAGCCATGAACAAATGATGTTGACCATAGCGAAAGCTGGCGGGTGATCCCTCGTAATGGATGCAGACTCTGGCGCTTAGCCTCGCAACCCATCAAACTGACCGAGGAGAATCATAAGCAAATTGCCCAAGGCTAGTAAGCCTTGGAAGCAATGAATTTTGCAACTGGTTCAAGCTCGCGCTCGCTTTTCGGTACAAAATGACCCCCAGGATGCCAGACAACCACCGGCTCAGATCCCACACACGACCGACAGCTCTCAACGAGTCTCCACGATGCCTCTTTGCTCACCTCAGGGTCCGAGCATTCGAGAACATGAAGAGAGGAAGTAACAATGTTGTGCTCATAAAAGCCGCGGTACATAGGATGCGATGAGGCGTACCCAGAAAACCAGACTATGAACTTGAGCGGAGGGTGTTTTAGTGAGGTGGATGCGTCAGGATATGGCATCCCGCCTTCAGCCTGGAAGTGAGCAAAAGACTGCGATTTCTTTCGAGTAGCGATGCGACCATCCCGGCCATTGCGCCACCCTGACTAAAACCGACTATTCCAACAAATAAACCAAGGTCCTCGATGGTAGAGAGTACAGCCTCTATACCATCCCGCAATCTCGGATACACTCCATCAACGTTGTCGGCTCCCCACCAGCAGTATTTTCTGCAATTCTCGCTATTGTTGATGAGGCAATCTTCCGAAGCACACTCGAAAGAACCGGTTGGATAGAGATTTTCGATACTGTCAGGTCCCAGAGCTGGCTTAATGAGCTTTCTAGCCCAGGGGCTTCTATTCGGAAGTCATTTACCGCCTGCTGCGCCCCTGTAACCATCAGGTCAGGTACGAGATTTCTTTGGGAGATGCGAAGCTTACCATGCATCACCAGGATCTTCATCTTTCCTTTCAGACTTGTTTTCAGGTCGGTAGAGAACTGTTCTGACAAGTATTTACTGACGTGCTGGTGAAGCGCACACTTTGTGTAGCAGACAATCCTAAGTTTGTGGCAAGTATTGGAATTGTGGGAGATGCAAGGCGGATTAGAGTTAACAAGCATCATTCTACTCCCAAAGAAGTTTTGACGAAATCTTTGACCATTCCGTGACTGCCCGCCCCCTTGTGGAGATATCGCTGGAGCGTTATGTAATGAAAGCAGAGCAGCAGAAATAGACCGGATATTGGCATGGTACAAATTATGATGCAAGATTGATGCCACCGACGGTCTCGGAATGATGGGACTACTGGGACGGTAGGGAAGGATGAATGTGCAAAAGTGCAGAAAACGAAGCCTACAACTACTTAGCTACAGTAATCTTGATCATGGCCCTCGTGGACAGTTCACACGTCCACTGTGGCCAGCAGGAAATGGAAATTACTATTGAAGAGGGATCAGGACGTTCGCCGCAGGATCTCGCTGCAGCTGAGGGGCTATGAAGTATTAACTGGATCAGACAAGAATCGCTTATTACCAGGTTGCACGGAACAGGATTCTTCTTCCCCTCTCATTTCGGGATTAGCGACTCCGTCACTGCAAAGTCAGCTGTATGTTAGGAGGCAGCCACCCAATAGAAACGCAATGCGCTTCCCGACTCTCACGGTTTGACCATGTTGACCCGTACATTTCCTAATTTTCACCAGTGCACTGTATGTGGCTGCCTCGCTTTGTTTGTTCGTCCTACGTAGGCAAATGGTCCGAATCCGTGACGAGTGCACGCACATAAGCAAGCCCGGCACGGTTGAACTTAGTTCTGGAATGTCCAAAGTTTGAGAAAAAGAATATAAATTCTTGTGTAAGATATGACCGTCCGCATGTATATCAATAACGCTTTTCTCTCCATCGAATTGGATTACCATGATGTATGGAGGAAAGGGGAAGGAGTATAAAGACGGAAAACTAAACAACCTAAATGCCGGCTACAGCCGAGACCAAATCTCCACTTTGCCTTCACGCGGAGTATTCGCAAAACTCCGAAGTTAGTAAGCAGACCCATACGACTGTGCCCCATTATGTCATGTGTACTCGGTATTTCTGAATTTGTCTCACTTGTAATAGTAATACTGTGCTGTAAGTATATGGGTAATTTGAAAGCTTCATTGAATCATTTGACCCAGTGTATCTGTTGCGCCTTCCCGCGACACCACACCCGTTGACAAGCCCCATCGGGGTATTTAAGATGCTGTCCGATCCACTACTTGTTGGGTAGTTGCCACCTACCTAACTGCAGCATAACTACAACCGCTATTCATCAACAGGCCAAGCCGTAAATATTAACATTCGCCTCTTCACACATTCATTCTCACTATGTCTTCTTCCCCCGTCGACGCCCCCGCACACATCCTCGACCTCCTCTCCAGACTCCATCGCATCTCCCTCGAGCAAGAAGCCGCCATCTCCCGCACCGACAAAGGGAAAGTATTCTCCGCTGATGTCCTCGGCGACCTCGAAGATAAATCCCTGGAGCAGAACCCCAGAGATGCTTTCGATCAGCTCATGCTGGACAAATTCATCGCTCTCGACGAGGACAAGTGCCAGTTTGTCTATCAACTCATCAATGCCATGGGAGCCTTGAATGTTGTTGAAGCCGGGACGAGCTTTGGCGTTAGTACCATTTACTTGGCGCTTGCTGTTGCGAAGACAAAGGCTGCTACAGGGAAGGAGGGGGTTGTTATTGCCACTGAGAAGGAAAAGGAGAAAGCTGAGATTGCACGGAAGTACTGGGCAGAATGTGGTGCTGTAGTAACTGATCAGATTGACTTGAGAGAGGGAAACCTGCTCGAGACGCTTGCACAAGGATTGCCGCAGGTTGACCTTTTACTTCTGGATAGTAAGTCTACGCTTTATGTCATTTGGGATGTTTAGAGGTAAGCTCCGAGCTAACATGTGGCTCCTGTATAGTCTGGTCTGCACTCTCTCTTCCAACCCTTAAGATAGTCCAGCCTCACCTTCGTTATGGTGCAGTTGTTCTCACCGATAATACTATTTCCGGTGCCAAGGGGTATGCTGACTTGCTGGCATACATGCGAAACCCGGAGAACGGGTTCCGGAACATGACTCTGCCTTTTACTAATGGCTTTGAGATGAGTGTGTATATGCCCGATGCCAAATAATGTGCTTGCTTCGAAGGCAGGCGTTTGGTAGTCGAATCATTCTCTAAACCTTCCATTACGACAACCTGTACTGGCAAAAGACATGCGAAATAAGTGATTAAATAGACTTCACTTTGGATTTGCCACATTGTTGATACATGTACGTACATACTACCGATACTACGGGCTAGCGACAGTAGGCAAATATTAACACCTCGTAGAAGTAGATACCACAATCGCTAACAGCGTCAGCCCCAACTCAATTCATCTCTACGCAGGTATGATCATTAAAGTCTCCTCGCACTTAAATTGCAGACTCGCTAAGAGAAAGCCTGTGAATGGCGGGCGGTAAAACGACGGGAAGGGGGAAATGTTACGTCACCATTGGAATTCTCAACCACCGCATCAATCACGGCAGGTGATAGAGTTGCCATAAGGGAAACGCAAGGACTAAAGGTTCCTTAACTGCCTATATTCTGAGGGATATATAGAATGATTGATAATTCACTACTTCTATGTTAGATCAAGGTTATTGTAGTTACCTTTATATAGTAGGTTGTATGTATACTACACATTTATGATACTTGAAACAAGCGAAGCTTGGTATTTGTAATAAGTAGTCAAACGAAAGATTTGGTGTTTGCTCTTGCAATTTCTTGCAATTAAGAACTGCTCTTCTTACTATCACTGCGTAGAGCCTGCCAGGCTTTACGGTTTATGCTCGAAATTCATGGCCGTTCAATTTGCCCGATCTTGATGTCGTATTTTTCATACGGGTACTATGTGATGAATGTATCTTAAACCAAATTAGGTAAATTTCGGCCTACAGTGATTACTGAAAATCTGAATAGTAAGCAGAGCCCTATGTTTATATGCTTGTGTTTATTGGCTGTATCACAACTTCAAAACCGCATTTGCCCGATACCATGATCAGCATATTATCGTATGCTAACTAGATTCCGTTAGCATCGTTCCCACCCACCCTATCCGGGAAAGCTCCTTCCCAACGAGGTGAAGCTTTGGCCCTGCCAGATACTGCTCAATTCGGGTTTCTCGCACCTAAAAAGCATTATGCCCACTTGACGGATGACTTTGGCCTCCCGTAGTCCCCGGAATGTCATTGCATCCATCAGCAAACAAACAAACGTGCAACTATGCGTTGAAAATTGCCGTCATCGTGGGTTGAAAGTTTCACGTCTTATGCAACCTTGTGCCTGCCCGATAAATGAGGACTGCTTGGACTACAGGCCCAATAAACCCACCCTCTTATCGTCTTTTTATTGCGTAAGGCATCAAGTTTCCTGATCCTATACACCTGTCTATGTGTATTGCCTAACTATATGCTGCTGGTGAGTATTCTGTAGGCTGGGTGACATGGAATAACATAAGGGTCACAGGAATGATAATGACTGGCATAAAGCAGCCATTATAGTTATGGACTGATGGGGGGCTCTCTCATAACTAGTATAGAATTACAACTTGGTACGCCTCTGCTACTTCTGAGACCATACTCGCAGCAGAGTCGCGCTATTTATGGATATGGTTCCCTGAATGATTTTCCTACAGGGGTTAACGTTGGGGAACTCGCCATGGAAACTCTATCAGTGCTGCAGAGTTGCTAGGTACACTACCTGGAGACGTTTAGAGGTGAGGTATCTTCACGATGCATCGTTTACTGACTTCAAAAATGTTAACAAGCCCAGTGAATTTGTTTTTAGTCGATGAAATCTTTTTAGCAAATTTCTTGTGTGTAATTGTCTACTGGAGGCCAACACTATGCTTAACTATCTGTTGCAACCGTCTTCTTGATCTTCAATAGCCCATACCTGGGGTTACCTAAGGATGGACAACTTTATCATCCATCTCTCTACTGAAAAAATGGTGTGCCGCCATGCTCCGACACCTGCAGGAATGTCATAAAGCAAGCTAATGAGAGTGCCTATCAGCCACATTACGGATAGAATGCAGTGTGCCTCTAGCCGCCGATGCTTAGCCTTGTGATCCCTTTCCAAATTCTGTTTTTTTCTTGTATATTGATAGAGGGACGCACAGTTTGTTCGATAGACCGTACGACATTAGGCCAATGTACAATACTCTCCATAGATGGACAAAAAGAGGGATGTGCATCTTTGAGTTTCCGGAGCGTCGTGGTTACCTTCGACCTGAATCATGTCTGGCTTGGTTCATACGCGTCATACTAAACATGGCCACACCAAGGAAGCTACACGATTTTCCTTCCCGTCACCCAGTCAAAAGCCATGGACAAGCTGCTTGTTTGATGTAACAACAACTTCTAATAGGCTCAATTGTTCTGTAACACCTTATAGGGTATAATAATTACATCGGTAGCGAGCGATCAAGCCTGTAAGTAGTATAGGTGATAGTGATGCTCGAATTATACATTTTTAAGGCGAGTATCTAGTTAAATCATAGCTTTATAATCGGAGTCTCCCATAAAAAAAAGCCATTCTAGGCTTAATCTCCCCAATTATTGCCATTGTGTTGAGGTTGTGAATTTGCAGCCCCAAGGCCTAGATCCATGGAGGTGCTTGATAACCATCACGTGACTTGCCACCCCTCCCCCCTCATGGACAAATTTTATAGAGTCAGACGACACATTCCATTATCTTACCGTATTCGATCCTTTCGAATGGAGATTCCCTGGTAGTATATACAATGTATCTCCCTGTCAGACCTAGACCCAAGAAAACCGATATTATCCGGTCACGCAATGGGTGCAAGAGTTGTAGGCAGAGGCGAACCAAAGTACTTCCCCCTGGGTATGTTTGACTTGGCTGTTCTGAAGACTGACATAAGGCTAGTGTGATGAAAAACAGCCCACGTGTGGGACTTGCGCCAGGTTAGGCAAAACATGCGAGCGCTTTTCTGAGGATTTGCAATTCCGTGTTGTGACTTCCTCAGATCCTCGAATGCCAAAGAGGCTGAGAGGGAAAGACCGCTCTCATACACGCCTAGGGCTAAGTCACGTAGAACCTGAGGGCGTTTCTTGCGGCAGTATGGATCTGATAAGGTCGCTACAACATACAGAACGGGACGTTTTCTACCTTACGTATTGGGAAGATCAGTGCCTGCCAACTCTGCATCCCATCCTCCGCTTCTTTACCCAGTCAGCAGCAGCAAACGTGATGTTGAAGAACACAATGCTAGCCCTGTCAGCTTGTAATCTCAGCCGCCTCAACCCAGAAGTCAGAATGCGCTCAGAGAGCTTCCACATGGGGAAGTTCAGACCCAACTTAATCCATCAGACCAGAAGTCAGCTTTACTATTCAGCTGCAATAAGCAGACTTGTCAACTCGGATCAACTTCATGACCAGCGGGTAGCGATAACTGTGTTAGCCGTTATTGTTATCCTTTCGTATATGGAGTCTTCAATGTCTAATTTTACGGCCTTTTACTGTCATACGGATGGGCTCTTTCGCTTTCTCACAAATCTGAATGACTATGCTCAAGATGAGACAGTTCGGGGTCTTCTAACCACATGGATGCAAAGCCGGCTTTCGGTTTGGTGGATGCGCTCCTACTTTAGCTCGGTAAAGCTGCAGCGGCTTCTGCCATCGATCCCTCTGCCACGCATCCTCCAAGGGCAGCCAAAGTCCTTGCATGAGCGCCGTGTCGAGATTATGAGTATAATGTGTGACTCGCATTATCTGAGTAACTCTTGCATACTCCGACACTGGGATTGTGAACAAAGCACAGAGACCGTAATTCCTGAACCATCAGACGCACCCGGCACTGATGCATTGCATTTCCACGTGCTCCTCGCCCACCAAGTCCAGCGTCTAGATCGCTGGATCCAGCACCTCTCACCCGCCGAACAGCCATTGATGGATTCAGCCTCAACAGGAGATATTACCACTCCACTGCGCTTCACCTCCCACGACGCCGCGCTAAACTACGCTTATTACCTCACCAGTTGTATCCTACAATGCCAGACTATTTTCTGCACCCTTCCTCCAACATGCCCTACTATTGCAACAAGGGAAGGCCAAACAGCAGACCCCTACGTTGGGCTACTCCTCCGCATTGCTAAAGCCTCGCCGCCAGCCCATCACCTCAAGCAAAACATATACACAATCGGATTCACAAACCTTCTTCTCACCGCCCTCCTCCGCACCACGTCTGTTTCCCTTGCCATCGAGATCGAGAATTTTGTACAGAGCTTGGCCGACACCCTACCAACAGAAGAAGGCGGGTTCCCAATTTACCAAGCCCTAGCGGTAATCAAGTTGATCAATGTGCGGAAAATGGCAGGGAAGGATGTGGTTGCCGTTTCGCAGCCGGTAGATGATCATGGCGGGGAACCAAAATTCCAATCTTATAACAGCCAGGCTATACGGGATCTATTCTTCCATGGGAAGGAACGCACGGGAGGCGCTTTATTCAAAGAGCGAGTAGTTATTGGCCGTGCGGGCAAGTTGAATGGAGGAGAGTGGAGATGGGGGAGAGGAAGAAGACGGCCTGTTATCTATGTGTCGAGGTTCGATGGGTTCTGATCTTAACTAGTATACTTTGTAATTCTACTCCCAGCTCTTTTGTTGTCGACAGCATGATGGTAACATGAACTTGTAGAACCACGAGTTAAGGTTTTGTTTCAAAATTTGCAACAACTTTCATGTTTGGTTTATGAAGCCCTGACCAGTTGGATAAGTGTAATGGAAACGTCAGTAGAAGGAAATTGCATTCTTGACACAAGTCTCGGCCCGGTGATCACTTTCAGCTATCTGTGTACAGGTTTCCTCGAACATACTTCAGACCAGTATCACACCCCACAGTCACCACTGTTTTCCCAGGACCCAGTTCCTTAGCCAACTGTATCGCGGCGACCACATTAAGACCCGAAGAAGTGCCAACCAAAAGACCCTCCTCCCTCGCTAGTCGTCGACACATGGAACGCCCTTCCCTCTCATCAATCGCCCGTGCCTCGTCATACCAGTCTTTGTTCAGTAGAGGAGGAGGGAATCCAATACCGATTCCTTCCACCGAGTGCTCGCCGCCATGGCCCTTAGTCAAGGCAGGCGCCGAAGCAGGCTCAAGCACAGCTACATGGCACGCCGGCCAGCTCTGCTTCAGAGTTTTCCCGACACCCATCACCATCCCTGCGCCCCCAACCGCGCCACAAAAGGCGTCAATAGGTTCTCCAACCTGTGCTAGTATCTCACGACCAAGGGTTTCATAACCTGGAAAGACATCTGGATTGCTAAATTGGTCGGCGTAGTAATAAGAAGAAGGATCTTTATCCTCTGTGGCAATACGGCGTGCTCGCTCTCGCATAGAGGGAATCAGTTGCGGTGTGATTTTCCCATTCTCACTCGGCACGATGTCCAGGTGCGCCCCAAACGCAGTCATGGTGTTAAGCTTCTCCTTCGCAAAGGCATCGGAGGAGACTACACGGAAGGTGTAGCCCTTGACGGCGCAGACGAAGGCGAGGGACGACCCGGTGCTGCCGCCGGTGGCTTCCACGACTGTCATTCCCGGACGAAGGTCATTACGACGCTCCGCTTCCTCGATGACAGAGAGAGCCATGCGGTCCTTGTACGAGCCGGTAGGATTCAAGCTTTCTAGCTTTATGAACACTCGAGCGCAGTCCTGAGGTACTACGCGGGTCAATTGAACACATGGTGTGTTTCCAATTGCGTCGAGAGCACTGTCAACGCTTGGTATGAGTGACATTTTGTGGTATGTTGGAGCTGGTGAGGACAGAGAGAAAGGAAGATGCTGGAATGAATTGGGATGCTTAGAGGAACTGGGAAGTGAGAAGATGATGTCGAGTGACTCAAATCTTAGTGTGGACGGCTCTGCTTGACTGTCTCTAGCCCTAGGGGTTAAACGGATTACCAAGAGGGTGACTATTGCGACTTGAGGTTACAATGCGATCCAGGGTATGGAATGTTACGGAACTCTACCGGAAAAGTTCTTCCCACTTGCCACATGACCCCATATTTTACCGACTGGATATGGAAGGTCCAACCAGGTATCATATCAGGTACATGACTCTAGAGTATCTAAGACCAGCAATTCTGTCCGAGCTCCGAGTGGTTGCAGACCGGGTTGCACCTTTACTCTCATTAGACTAGCTATAGATAGTTAGCGGAGAAGAAATGGTAACAATCCCAAACTGCCAAGTCGGCGATTCACTACCGAGCCTAGCCCTTTCGGGAGTACCTGAACGAGGCTAACCAGATATGGTATAGCGTTGCGAATCCAAAAGCGCCACCTGCAAAAACTGTCGAGTGTGTAATTTTCAGGGACCGCATCCCTTCTCCACTTCCCCGCCTGGAACAATGAGGCAAAATCAGATGGCCGACGGCAACCGTGGCACATAGGCCCAGAAAATGACAGTAATATACTGTATTGCAGTTGGATCTCTCAGTCTTTTCGTGAAAGGCCGAGGTTTCAGTCATTCAAATAGTTTTCGGGCAACAAAAAAGACAGAACTGTGGGTGCGGTGGCACTCTGGATCCCCAGTACCTTGCTTGGGTCCACGTTGCATGACCTGGTGGCGGCCAAGGGCTGCTTCATTGTTTTCACCATTTTCTACGGTCTCTTCGCTAGTGCCTATATTGGGCTGTTCTCGCCGGCTCTCGTGGAACTCTTTGGTTTGCAGGAGATGCCCCGTATCACGGGTATCATGTACATGGTGCAGGGAGCGGCTGGGTTGGTGGGCACCCCGGTGGCTGGAGTCATGGTACGCACGTACAATGGCGAGACTACCTCGCGTAGCTATTTGGATATGGCTATCTTTGTCAGTGCGTTGATGGTGGCATCTACCATGACGGTTGCCTGGGCACGAATGGAACAGGGATTCGACCGTGTTAGTGGCCATCTTACCTGGAAGTGGAAGCTCTAGGCTTCCGTGATAATGTGCATAATACCAATATTTGTAACTTAAATGAGTATACCTTCTAGTTTGGGTAATTTTTATCCCAGCACAGGGCGTAGCCAGCAGATGATGCTGGTGCGCTCATGGGGCCTTTTATGCCCCACGAAAACTCTAAGATAGAAGCACCATCGCTTCGGTTTCTAAGCTCATAAGGCAAGATTAACAGTCTATGCTGTGAACTACGCGGCTTCATATGACCTAGACAGATACACGCGCCGACAAAGTCACCAGTGGAACCTTATGACATTAAATATGTTATCTGGGAGAGAAGTGCTGCAACTATTCGAAGCCCTAAAGGTTGGAACCATCCACCACTGTCGGTAGGACTCGGCTCGGCTGTGGAAATGGCGGCCCGCATACACAGTGTGTGTTGCAAAACTCCGAGTGAGAAATCCGACTAGAAACTAAGAGGCAGACAAAAGCGTAAGGCTGATCATTACTGAGTGGCTATCAGAAATACGCAAGCGGCTTGCCACGGCTCACGGTGGGAAGGAAACGCGGCTAACTACTAGTAAGTTATGGCTGTTACTGGCAAGACAAGGTTCCCTCGGTCCACATCCAGGTCCTATCGGCCGAAAAGGTCTGTCTAGTGGTTTCCAAGTGCCGCAGTGTATTTTCCGAGATTGGTTGATGAATGGGGCCAAGGGAAAGCCAAGAATTTCCAAACGTGCATGCTCACTCTGAGGAACTCTCTGCGATTTGATGAACCACTCCACGTCCACTTTTACGGTAAGCACGGCGCCGATTGTCACAGGCTGTGGAGGTTCATGTGACAATGATTCATCATTTTCCAGAGCCCTGGGCATGCCTATCGCGAGCGACCAAAATTGCTCAGCACCACAATGTCCAGAACATGCTGGTCATTGAACTGTTTAGAACAGTAGTTGCTAATTCTGACTAAACAGTTTTAGCTACCCAGTGCATTATCTTCTACTCTGTAACATTACTGGTAACAGCAGGATCATCCGCACAACTCCTATATAGTTTTAGTTTTGTATAATGTGCTGAGGTATTCTGACACAGCCTTCTTTACACTACAGAGGTCTGCTATCATCCGACCTATCAATGTGAAACACCATTATTTCTAGTTATATGAAATTGATCACATTCAGTACGAAACTTATAGCGAACGACCCTACTCCGATCTCTTCGAAATCGCAGGCAAAAAGCACCAACAAACAACCATCGCTGCATAGAGCGCCAAACAAATTGGATGCAGGACTATCGTTCCCACCTCTTGTGACAGAATACCCGTCAGAAAGGGAAATACTGCACCCCCGCTACTTCCCAGCGCAGTGATGAAGCTCATGCTAGTCAGCTGAATGCTCCGGGGTAGTAGTTTCGCAAACACGGCCGTCGAGCATGGATACATGGGCCCTAGCAGCAAGCCCACGACCGCCACCGCCACCGCTTCGCCGACAATGTTGGGGATCAGCCAAGTCATGAGCTGGAACGCTATCGCTCCGACAACCAGCAGTCCTACGGCAAGCTCCTCACCAATTCGGTTTGCCGGGTATACAAGGAGGAAGCGCCCGAGGGTAATTCCGGCCCAGAAGCCAGCGCTCACGTAGCCGACACGTCGCGAATCACCTCCTCGGTAGTTGATGAGGAATGAGACGATCCAGCCGGAAATAGAGACTTCGGCTCCTTGGTATGCGAAGATAAAGAGTGATCCTAGGATCGTTGTGAGATTCCGGATGGCTCGTTTCAGGGTTTGGAGGCGAGTGTGGGAGTTATGGGAATCATTCTCGTTTGGCTGGGCCGTCTGAGAAGCAAGGGAGGGGGATGTTTGCTGAGTGGGCGCCCTCGAAGCGGCACCTTCGTCCTTATAATTGCGAAAGACGACAGCCGCAAGCAACATATTCAACGTCGAAATCACCAGTGTGATGAAGTAGAAGTATGTCCAGCGGATGCCGTGTGACACCATGGCCGTGGCCAATAGTGGGGAGATCACCCCACCGATGCCATACGCACCGGAGAAAAAGCCCAGTGCTGTGGCATAGCTGTTTAGGTTTGCGCAGAAGACATTGTTAAGCGCGATGCTTAACGCCATCCCGAAGCCGAGGAGGAGAAACGCCGTGACAACGACCGGAAAGGGCGGGTGGCATACGATGGCAACGTAGCCCGCTGTGACGAGACTCATCGAGAGAGCATAGCTTTTGGCGTGGCCGATTCGGGCTTGGATTGTGTGAGTAAGGGGCGCGGCAAGAACGAATCCGACGGCGTTGGCGATGAAGATCAGTGAGATGATGGCGTAGCCAATCCCGTAATCATCCTCAATATAAGGGATTAGGGCACCGGGTGCACTGTCGTTCATTCCGTTGCCAAAGTTCATCAGGCACGCGCTAGCTAGTCGCCAGATCGTGTTCCTGCGCGGGTGTATCGAGGCTGTTTTCCTATTTGTGTCTTGAGCTCCATAGTTCTCTGCTGCTGCTGACTGCACGACGTTGAACATCTCGTCGACTTCGGAGGGTTTTGTTGACCCGGCATGCCTTGTGCGCCTACTATGCGGCGTATTGGCCCCTATCGGTTCAATGGAATGCAACTCCAGACTTGACAATGGGGACGAGGCATCGTCTTGCGGGACTAGGGCGACACGTGGAATTTGTGGAAATATCGGTTCGGCTGCGGAGAGCCCGGCAGACTTGCTGGTCATGGTCAGTTGAGCAAGCACGGATATGCCCTTCTGGAAGAATATATAAGGTGTATGTCCTCTGAATCACATTAATGGAAAGAGAACAGCCCGACGCGACATAGAGGAAGACCAGGCTTATGCTCTAGGAGGATATCGCCAGGGAAGTTCCTCATGCGGTGGATTACAAATCAACCGGCTCGTCCAGCAGATCCACTGGGTATTATCCGGGAAATGGGAAGGTCTGAACCTACGAGTGCTGCTGTGTGGCGCTAGGAAGAAGGCTGTTGGTACAATACAGAAGGATTTTACGGTGATGTCCAATGAAAGATGAATTCGCAGGATGAGGAAAACGTAAGGGGAAACCAGAGAAGCCAGAGAGAATAGCTGGGTATAGATACATCTTACGGCCCATTACCCAAGAGATCAGCACCTGGCTAATACTTCAGATCTAACTGCTTGGTTCAGATCAGACCCTAGGGAAAAATTGGTTAGCGTCGCTCTTGTTCACTGCATTCGGTCGTCCCCGCTTCTCCGCAACAAAAGAGATTACCCCCTGGCTCATTGTAGACGGAGTCATTAGTATTGTATTCCTTTTTTTTTTTTTTTTTTTTTTTTTGAGGACTACCCTCCCGAACAAAGTGTTGCGCCTTTCTTCTAAAACTTCAGCTGGGTTCCTCTGGCGCTTTAGGCACGATGAAATTTTCAACCTTGTAAGGGCAGTAAGCGCTCCCTAGTTAGTTAAGTGACTGTTGCTAGCTTACTATATAACAGGCTTTATGCAACCATCCCCTCATCTATATGTCCAATAGTGTATATAAACCAGACATGATATTCTCTCCCACTGTTTGCCTGCTCTTCGTTGTTCAATGTTCTCCTGCCCAGATCATCCTGCGAAGACTGATGGACACTTGAGAGTCTACGGTCGCAACTTTACCGAAACTCTTCCACGAATGCCCAAAGCGCAGAATTATACGAGAAAGCCAGCTCAGCCGCGAGTTTGAGCGGGCAAGGCATGTAGGTGATGTAACTAGAAGCGCATCAGATGTGATGCTCAGCATCGAATTCCCTTTATAAATTGCGCTTAGAGTGATAAATTTATTGCAGTCCCCGCAAGATCAGGCGGGGCACATATACCCGAAAGCTACGTCCTCGCAATGTCGACCACCACGGTCACTTCATGCAACACGCCGCTACTGTCGCCCCCGTCCAGACTCCCATATCCCACCAGACAACTACTGCAGCAGCGTCAAATCCTCAGTTTTGGAAATGCACTATACTTACTGTGTTAACCAATGTCAATCAGGGATTATTCTCTTCCGCTGAATAGTGCTGGACTTGCCGATTCACCGTTCTAACAGCCCTCTGGAGGCTTGGATAAATATTACTATATTTTATAGAGGTATCTCCTGTTCTGCCATGTTCGACCACTTCCTGAATAGCCACAAAGATAGTACGGAATGTAATTGATGAATACTGGATTTTTTTTACCTTGGAGAATCCTTTCCTTTGGCTATGGTACTGGGCGATTTGAGTAAGGCCCGACTAAATCTGTATTATCCGGGACCTCCTTCTCGGCAAAGGAGCACCAGCCCGATTTCTTTTAATTTTCTGCAGCTAAGACATATTCTGCCTGAAGATCTGGAGCATTTGCGTATCCAAGGGGTGTTTAAATGCCCTGATAAAGTCCATCTGGACACCTTCCTGACTGTTTCCTTAGAATATGTTGTATCCTGCCTATCATCCCACGAACCGTCAAGAGCTTCTCCGGCAGCATGCAAATGGAACCATTCACTAACCTTACTCCATTCCATCTGCTTTGTTGAGGACGTGTCCAGACTTCCTTGAAAGCTTGCGCCAACAAACATACGCGCAGTACCAGATTAAGATTGCCAGGCTCTCGCTAGTTTTGCGTCATGAACAAAACCTGTACTCGGGCTTGCTAAAACCAAAGGAAACATCACAATGAAGACGGCTCCTTAAGTGGCCCTTTCCAGCTTGCTCCTCCAGGCTAGCCGCACATATTTTTAACGTTACTTTAAGTGGAGGATGCCCTATATCAGTGGTTGCTTGTATAGGTGTTTTACTGTGATAGTAAACAAAAAAAAATGACACTGACAAAGGGAGTATTTGGCTTTTAGTCAGCACCAACCAATGCCAACCAACGAGCATGTCATTTGATTTGCCAGCGGCAAAAGCTTGCTGGAGCAAAAAGATGTGAAGAATAGTCAAAAGCAAAAAAGAGATGGTCCCAGAGGGGCTCGAACCCTCGACTTTGACGTTATTAGCGTCACGCTCTAACCAACTGAGCTATGGGACCGAGTTGTTGAAACTGGCCGCTTGAATGAATCTGAAGACGCCCCGCAGTGGCCCATCGTCCGCAAATGGAGCCGTGGCAGACAAAGCTAATCCTGTCCGCCCTTCAGAGCGCGGCAGAAAATGGTCGCTGCGGTGACGCCCACATAGTAGTACTTGTAAGTACTCATTCCGCAGTAATGTACTCGCTACTTTTGTATTCTAATCATTATCTCTTTCAATCGAGCCATAACAATGATTCCATTCCTGTTGTTCCATTTTTCTGACACGTTAGGAATTGTGCAGTTGTCGCGGGCAATAGTCCGCAGTGCAGGGCTGCCATTTATTTTGCCAGATCATCCATGATATATTTTTCTCAACCTCGATACATCCGCCACGACTTGCTAGTACTAAGTAAGTACTAAGTCAAGCACTATCCGAAATGCTTAAATGAAGTGTTGACGAAAGTTTTCATTGGCATGAGGTATGACGATCGTGCTTCAGCACGCGGTCAGATAATAACAATGTCTTGAAAGAATATTCTCTATATCACACTTTCATGCTCTGGGCATCCTGCAAGGTAACTAGTTGTGTTTGGCCCGCTTTGACCCAGATTGCGTTATGCGCGGGGTTATTAAGCAATTACCTTGAACCTCACTGCGTCAGCCGTTCATCTGCTTTGAAATTGAAGCCCGCAAACTCATACTATACTAGCAATATGCGAAGTCTGGTGTATCTGTTAGCCCTGGCTGGGCTTACTACGAAATCGCTAGGGCAGCAGAAGCAGCAACAGCCGCTTTCTGCGACCGCCAAGCCCAACGTCGTCTTCATATTAACCGATGATCAAGACGCCCATCTCGCCTCTTTGGATTACATGCCTTATGTACAAAAGCACCTCCTAGACAAAGGAACACACTATCGCAGTCATTACTGTACAACCAGTGTCTGTTGTCCATCGCGTGTGACCCTTTGGACGGGAAAGCTGGCCCACAATACGAACGTCACGGATGTCAATCCTCCGCATGGTGAGTGTACTACACATCGTCACTTATATCGGGGGATATTCTCATACGCTTTCAGGCGGCTATCCAAAATTCATCTCTCAAGGTCTAAATGACAATTATCTCCCTGTTTGGCTGCAGGAAGCGGGGTACAACACCTACTACACTGGTAAACTGTTCAACGTCCACACGGTCGACAACTACAACGCCCCCTTCCCAGCTGGGTTCACCGGCAACGTGAGTCATCCAGCAGACTTTCTATTCAGTCGGCACTCTAATCTGTCATGTAGGACTTCCTCCTCGATCCATTCACATACGACTACCTTAACAGTACCTTCCAACGAGACCACGAAATACCCCAAAGCTACGAAGGCGAATACAGCACTGATGTCCTCGCACAAAAGGCATATCGCCTCCTCAACGAAGCAGTCACGGCCCAAAAGCCCTTCTTTCTCACGGTTGCTCCAATTGCACCGCATTGCAACGTTTTCATGAATGGAACTGGCTTAGACGCCAACCCTAAATTCAGCTTCAGCGCACCTATCCCCGCGAAGCGACACGAGCACCTATTCCCAGATGTCAAAGTTCCCCGCACCCCCTCCTTCAATCCGGAAATCCCTTCAGGCGCCAACTGGATTAAGACTCTCAAGCGACAAAACGATACTAATGTTGACTACAACGATCATTTTTACCGCCAGCGTCTACGCACCCTCCAGGCCGTTGACGAGCTGGTTGATGGCTTATTTACACGTTTGAAGGAATACAATATCCTTGACAATACATATATAGTCTATAGTAGTGACAATGGATACCACATTGGTCAACACCGACTTCAGCCAGGCAAGTCGTGTGGATACGAGGAAGACATCAATGTTCCTTTGATTATTCGTGGTCCCGATATCGCGCAGAATGTATCTACGGATATTGTCACCACGCATACGGATCTTGCTCCCACTTTTCTCGAGCTGCTGGGTATTCCCCTTCGAGAGGACTTCGATGGCAACCCTATTTCGTTGACGAGGAGCCAGATCGAGAGGGCCCAAGAAGAGAGACAGGAACATGTCACGGTTGAATATTGGAGATATGCGGCGGGCGAGGGTATATACGACTGTGCGTACTCTACTCCTACACCCCACTCTTTGACCATGGCTGAGCTAATCTTGATAATGAAAGTTGACCTATCGGCATACAACAACACATACAAAGCCCTCCGCATCAAGGGAATTGGATATAATCTTTACTATTCCGTTTGGTGTAACAATGAGCATGAACTCTATGATATGACTGTATTGGCCCCTCCCAAACCCATTTCTCTTGGGAAATCTGACCAAAGAGACAGACTGACCCTCATCAACTTCATAATCTCCTTTCCGCAATTGAACAACCCAGTGCGACCTCTCACACCATCTTAAACGTTGATCTTTCCAAAGTCGTTCAGCGACTCGACTCCCTTCTTCTCGTGCTCAAGTCCTGCAAGGCCCAAGTATGCGTCAAGCCATGGGACGCCTTGCATCCGCGTGGGGAGGTTATGACGTTGAAAGACGCGTTGGATGTGCACTACGATCATTTCTATGAGGTGGAGCAGACGACGCGGGTCCAGTTTAACGAGTGTGCGCGTGGATATTTCCTAGATGCGGAGGGCCCGCAATTTGACTCAGGGACAGATTATGAGGTTCTTCGAGATGGTTTGCCGTGGTATGAGTGGGTTTAAATCTGTGGAGTGTGGAAATATTGAGGGAAATAGTTGTTACACATGTGACGACATTCAGCTGCATGGGTGAGTGTTATGTGACCATCATATCCTACATCTAAGTTTTGTGGCTACTTATAAATATGCGAAATGATGGGGAATCGGGGTCTTTTCTTGAGAGACGCAATATTATAAACGTAGGAACCTTTCAAACGCGGACTAGCCGTTGAGGAGCCTCGAATTCTGTTGAACCATTCGCAAGAAGGAGGTGTTGACGCGTTGTTTGTGTAGATTGCGAGGCCTCAGGCAGCAAACTATTATATCCACAGGGCAAGTCGGATATGCTAGGGGCTAATACCTGCATCGCAGAATTGAACTTTGAAGAGAGCGAGTATCGCCTTTGAGACTAAATTGGCTTAGTTTATACAAGCAAAACATCGTTTTTGAGCAACTTTGAAATTGTCCAGGAGATTCATACCTTGTTCAACGCCAATGCCAAGACTGGGGATAGAAGCCGAGCCAGCCCCGTCCGGAACGGTCGGGTAAGCCCATCAGGCGGTCCAAAATGTATTCCAGGTGCCTGTAATGACTTCACCCTCTTAGGCACTTGGTTGACGGGATCAAGTGGGGATATAGGTTCAAAATTGGCTACATCATCCCGTATGCAAAACTGTAATTGTCTTCAACCCCGGAAACCGTGCAGGAACAAGGCCTGCTAAGCACGGGAGACACGAGTGGGTCACCGTCGCGGTGGAGTTCCCGAAGGAGCCGATTTATTATTATTCCAGCCCGTCTGCCAATCTCCCCATTCTTTCTCATTCCCAACTCCCCCATATTGATCGCCAGGAACGCTCGCGACAATGGCTTCCGCGATTTCGCCTTTCTGGGGTGCCCCGACCTCTTATTTGAAGTATGTCAATTAATTAATAGCCAATTGAAGTATACGTCGGAGACTAACCAATGTCGACAGCTTCTGTGAAGAGGTCCGTCTACAGCAAGCGCAATCTGGTCTTTTCTTGGCCCACAACAATAATCGCTGATTTGTCCTCTAGGACTATGTAATTACGCGATATGTTGCGGAGTTTATTAATACTCTTAGCAGCTTTGTCTATAGTGCGTTTATTCCCCCCTTACAGTAGTCCACAAATTAACACTCTTCTCTAGTTCTATATGGCATCTACGGTCTCTGGCAGCTCCACAGCAGACGCCAAACCGGGCCACGCTCAATCACATACTGCGGATTGATTGGCGTCGGTGTTTGCTCTGCCGGTTACCATATGACTCTGAAATATCACACCCAGATGTGTACTGCCTCCCTCTATTCTTCAGCTTACTCGGAATGATAATTATCGTGATCTGAGCTGATCCGTCTCAACAGCGGATGAACTTTCCATGCACCTCTTGACTACACCACTCCTCTACCGCATTCTATCTTTCCAGGCCACCCCTCAGTACACAAAGACAGTAGGAATCATTCTCTCTGTACTGTTCACGATCGTCATGGTCGTCCACATGGTCATGGATGAGTTCCTGCTTCACGCCGTGACATTCGGGGCCGCAGTGTGTCTGATCACGACTCGCACGCTCAAGATCATTCCTCGCGAGATCCCGGACGTTGAGGCCCGTAAAAGGATTCAGTCCGTGGCGCTGTTTGGATGTGGTATGTTATCTACACTCTTATTATTGGCTTACCTACTAGGTGAATGAGATGAGAATGTAGTTAATTCTAACATGTATGCAGCAAGCTTCATCTTCGGATATCTCGTCTGGCTGATTGACGAGTTTGTGTGTCAATCCTTGATCGTAGCCAGACACGCGGTCGGGCTACCCGTGGCGTTCTTGCTTGAGCTGCATGGCTGGTATGTAGATCTTTCCCCATGGTCCGGGATAAACTTGAACTTGGCTAACAAGTCATACAAGGTGGCATGTCTTCACTGCCATTGGTGGATATATCGCCGTGGCGGTCATTGATTTGATTACTTCCGGGGAAGTGCAACGGGACTCGGTTGCACAGCTCGCGTGGCCGCTGCCGACTGTTGCGAGGTTGCTTGGGCCTGCTGCAGGAGAGACGAAGCGGGAGTAGAATTGTGCAGGGATTAGTGTTGGGGAAAGGGGGGCGGGGGTAAGAATATAGTACGAATAGAAGAACAGTGGCATGGATGGATAGTTGAGGCGGAGTGGTTGATAGAGAGACGAGTCCCATTGATGTTTATAGAATGATATGGATTTATTGTGCTCTCCACTCGGGACATGATTTGTAGATGATTGCAAGTAAACGAGGAGGGTGTGTCCAGAAACAACTAACACTTGCACATAGAAAACCATGTTCTATTGTGTCGCTGAGTGCACGGTCTCTAAACTGAAACTAGGATACTCTGTTTCAATCCTTCGCAGTAAATACCGCCTGCTCTAATGTACTGTATACTTAGTAGATCTTGTATGTACTTTGGGGTCCCTATGGTATCCCGATAGGACTGGGGCATCAGAAACAATAGAAAACCCACTTAAGGTGCGCTAAGACAAAATAGACACCAAGAACTGGGACAAATGTGTTAGCTCGGCAATATAGAACGACGTGAATCATTTTGTCCAAACTTCGGTGGATGACGGTGGAGACGAGCTTTTCGACCAAAACACCCGTATGACTCTTTCATCGCCAAGCATGATGTTACATATCATCTGGCTAACAAAGTCAGATGGACTGAGATGGAATGGGCTGTTCTTTGGCCAATGAAACTTACCCAAATGTCAAGTTTGCTTGGATCTGAAAGGTGTCAAATCCAAAACCGGGCACTAGGTTAAATGATCCTTGACGTCAACCTGATACCTTCAAATGAAAGTCAAAGGATTTATACCAAGCCAGTCATGCGGTTAACAGACAAGGTGGCTTCCCAGCAATGAGTGGGCTGATGCACCGACTGCAGGCGTCTCGGAAGCGCTGAATCATTGCTTATGTCCTCGGGATAGGAAGTTTACGTGGGGACAATTCATGCATGAAGCCTATACCAGATTTAGACTAGTTCAAACGTCTACGCGTATATCTTATGCAGAAGGGACGATTTGAACCGAAGCATACTGATATTCTCTTGTGGTTGGGCTCAGTCGTTTTCGATTGGAAGTGGATAGTGATGACGACTCTGCGTGGGCTGGACAAGGAACCAAAAACACGCGGCCAATCAGTTAGGGCTGATTTGACATTCCCCGCAACTCAGGTAGAGTAACTCAATGCAGCTATCCACAGGAGTAACAGCTTCTGTTCAATTATGTGTGGTTGTGGTTCATATTGCGAGTCTTGTTCCTTGTGAACAACACTATCTTAGGGATGGAAATTTCACCTAAACTTAGCAGTTGCTTTCATCCTGTGCTTACCACTTCAGAGGCATATCGATTATTCGATGCATCGTCTACTACGAGTATTATGTCTCGGATAAATAATGTCCTGCATTGGAGTCGAGACCGACAGATCAAACATACTGGCGCATCAATGCGTTCAATGCCAGTGCACAAACTCTCTTATTCATGGTAAATGATGAATGATCCTAATGGATGACGAGACACTTCCTGCTATGCCCGTATGCAATGCATAACCGCTGAATCAGTGGGGTTCCACCCTGACGGCGCTTCTTGCAGATCAAGCGGGAAATGCGGCATACTAACGAGGCATTGTTTCAACTACATCCTGGCCATCTCAACGCCTAAAGCCCCTCACAATTTGGAAGTATTTAAGTAAGTATCGATAGGCGTCTATCCTCATCCGTTGTTGGAATTGATGCCGCTACCCTATCTCATCTTTTTTGTTAGCACTACTACGTTATGTTCTTTACAGACACCCCTTTTAGGCCCTTGCGTGCAAGCATGGAGAACATGCTGGGTTATACCTCGATGCCAGTACCCGTCCTTGTATCGCTGGCTTTAGGCCTCGCGTTTCTCCTACTTCAAAGCTTCAGATACAAGGACCCGGCCCTGAATCCAAAGAAGCCCTTCGAGCTCACGTCTACTAGAGTAAAGCAAGAATACTTCTCCAATGCGCGAAGACTGCTATGGGATTGGTTTACAACTCATTCAAATACGCCAGTGCTCTTGCATACCGACACTGGGAAAGTGACAATTCTCCCTCCGAGTATGGCGAATGAGATCAGGAATGACGACCGCCTGAGCTTCTCTCGCTGGACATTCGAAGTGTGTTCCGACTTTCATGTGTTTTATGTTTGATCCGGAGCTCGTGTGAAAGTAGCTGACAAGATGCCAGGCATTTCATGGCAATCTACCTGGATTTGACGGATTCCGCGAAGGTAGTCAAGACTCGGGGATTGTCCAGGCTGTTATCGGAAACGACTTGACAAAATACCCGAGTTAGTTATCGGACTTCACGGCACTGGTGGCATGACTGTATACTAACTCACAATTCGGCATCTTGGCAGACAAGGTCACCGAGCCCCTTGCCAACGAGACATCTGTCGCCGTCCGTGAACTGTTGACAGATAATGAAGGTAGACAATCTCATACTTTCCAATTCGACGATAGGAATGCTAATGTGTGTCATGATTAGAATGGCACACGATCCAGTTGAGAACTGTGATGGTGGCTCTTATTTCCCGCATTTCCTCCCGTGTCTTCCTTGGGGAAAAGTTGTGCCGGAATGAAGAATGGCTGCGAGTCACTCAAGACTATACTACTGATGGATTCTTAGCGGCGGAAGAGCTTCGCATGTGGCCTGCAGCTATTCGACCCATCGTACACTGGTTCTTGCCCCGATGCCGTAAGCTTAGGGCCCAGGTGAAAGTAGCTAGGAAAGTCATGGGACCAATACTAGAGGAGAGGCGTCAATTTAAGAAACACCTTCATGCAGAGGGTAAACAATCACAAGGGTTCGATGATGCTATCGAATGGTTTGAGAAGGCCGCCAAAGGTCGTCCCTATGACCCTGTCAGCGCGCAGCTTATCCTTTCCGTGGCGGCCATCCACACAACTTCCGACCTGACATCTCAGACAATGACCCATCTCGTGCAAAATCCGGAGATTTTGGAGCCTTTACGCAAGGAAATTGTTGACACTCTCCAACAGCATGGTTGGAAAAAGACCGCTCTGTATAACATGAAACTGCTGGATAGTGTTATCCGGGAGAGCCAAAGGCTGAAACCAATCAACAACGGTGAGCAGAGCATAAACCCATCTGTTTTGATACCTTCCACTGGTTTGGCTAAATAAATTGTCAACAGCCTCAATGCGCCGGGTAGCTCTCAAGGAAGTGAAGCTCTCCGACGGGACGGTCATCCCCAAGAATGGCATGCTTGCGGTATCGGCCCACAAGCTCTGGGATGATGACACCTACGAAAATGCAGCTGCCTGGGACGGGTACCGGTTCTACAAGATGCGCGAAGACCCTGAGCGACAGACCAAGGCGCAGCTGGTCACAACGGCTCCGGAAAATTTGGCTTTTGGACATGGCAAACATGCTTGTCCGGGACGCTTCTTCGCCGCCAATGAGGTTAAGATTGCCTTGATCTATCTCCTACTGCGGTACGACTGGAAGCTATTGGAAGGGACGGTACCAAAGATTCGCTATGGTGGGTTTAGTATGGCAGTTGACCCGAGTCTGAAAATGGAGGTTAAAAGGCGTCGAGAGGAGATGGGAATATAAAGCCCGCAGTCGGTATCCATCACAGAGACCTTTTTATTCGCTATACAAATGTACAGATCATGAAGGGAGAAAACAATGGCTATGCAGATACCAGGCATGGAATGGAGATATGCATGTAGCAAGAGGAAACAGAACCCACAATTACTGGACGAGTTGTTGCCGAGAATCCACCGACGTAAAACCGGAATTTCCCCGGGCAGGCTGCAAAGGCAGTGGAGTGGGCCAACGCCCCCTGAAGCCCTTCTGGAACCAACGTTATTCGCTCTGTTTAAAATTTAAGCATGCCGCTGGTGTCTACGCCGCATTCCTCAACTAGTTATCTAGCCTTCCAGGCGTGCCAGTGACCAAACTCCACCTCATCCACCTTAATCAAAGCACCTGTACTGTGAGATAATGGGCGCTTCCCTCACTCCATACACCCAAACGCTATCGCGGAAAAGCCATCGCAAATCCCGTCTGGGATGTAAGAACTGTAAGAGGCGTAGAATTAAAGTCAGTTCCCGACGCCTTCTCCACTCTGGGCGCTTCAATGAGTGAGAGATACTAACCGATCCCCAGTGCGATGAGATCAAGCCACACTGCACCAACTGCCTCCGCCATTCAATAGAGTGCGACTACAGTTTCAAACCCCAAACTAACTCCAGCTCCTCTCCACAATCACAGCAATCAGACTCGGTATCACCACCCTCACAGGGCCCCAGCACAGATAGCTACACCTTCTACACATCCTCATCCGTCAACTTTCAACCCCCAAAACGAGGCCATGGCACACCTCTCACATCAGGACCAGACACAACCCAACCATCACCCCCATCAAACAACGACCTAGCCAAGCGCCCCTTCCAATACACAGCCCTGGACATGCTCCTCTTTCACCACTTCTCCACTTCCCCTGAACTAACCGGCGCCCAACCAAAAGCCCGTCAGCAATTATCTCAAATCGCTTTTTCCCACCACTACGTCATGCACATCCTCCTCGCCTTCTCCGGCTTCCACCTCGTGCGACGATCAGACGATCAGCAATGGTCCCAATCCATGGGTTTCACAGAAGCAGAAATATACACTGAAGCCGAACGCCACTTTAACGTTGCTATTCGAGATGTCTCAGCCACCTTACCGCACCTTGACCGCGACAACAGTCCCGCGATGTATGCCTCCGCAATATTCATCTTCATCTCAAGTCTCGCCCGTGGCCCTCAACCGGGGGAGTACCTCGCGTTCCGGAGCGATGGCACCCCAGGCCACTTGTCTTTGTTCCTCGGTGTGCGGTCTGTATTCGAGCTATGTAGCGGAGATATGCCAACGAGCGTTTTCTCCATCCATGGAGAGGGCGATGATTCTTCTTCTCGCACCACACCTCAAACCGAACATGAAAACTCCCATATCGCATCACAAAACAAAACCAAGTTAGAAGATTACCCGCACCACCTAGAAACTTACCGCGCCCTCCTTACCACAACCATCCCCATCGACGACCCACGGCTCTCAATCTATCTGCAAACACTAGACCGACTAGGCCACAGCCTCGACGCCATCATGGGTCCCGATCCGCAGGGTACAATGGGAATGGCTCTCTTCCCGCTTGTCTTTGCGTGGTTGTATCAGTTGCCGGACGCAGTGGTGGGTGATTTGCAGCGGAGGGAGCCGGTGGCGTTGATTCTGTTTGCGTTCTTTTTGTATCCGCTTGATCGGCTGGATCATGTTTGGTTTATTTGTGGGTGGCCGCGGCATATTCTCGAGGGGATTCAGTGGCATTTGGATGGCAGGTATCGGGGGTATATTCAGTGGGCAGTGGATCATGTTGGGGGTGGTAGATTATCAGAGGGTTTGGGGGTAGGTATGGAGGTTGTTAGTAGATGAATGTCGTCTGTATACTTGTTGGGATAATATGTAATGGACATTAGCAAGATGAGGGTGTAAATAAACTACTTCCTTTATGATATCAGTCTATAGAGTACTAAGAAGAGTAGTACTCAATGTGGGTAAATATCACACACCCACCGCCCCCTCAACTACCGACCTCGCCAACAACGCTAGACTCATCCTCGCATCCATCAACTCCAACATACTCACCCCCCTCCCAAACGCCCCCTGGAACCAATTGCGAAACTCCGCCGCCAGCAAACTATCAATGCCATGCTCCGCCACCGTCTTGTTGGGATTCACGCTTCCCACATCCACAAACAACATGCCTGCCACGGTGGCCTGGATGGCCTCAGTCACGAATTTGATGGTCTCCGTCCATGCATCCTCCTTGGAATCTTTACCTCCCGCACGGAGCGTCGCAACGGAGTGGTCGAATTGTCGTCTCAGTTGGGCAGTAGGTGATGCGTCTGAGGCATGGATGTCCGAGCTACTGAGAGAAGAGGTAGCGGACGAGGCGTCTTCTAGGGCACGCAACATTAAGGAGACACGAGAGTCGTGGTACCATCTGGGAATGGTAGAAGAGGCGAGGGAGGCAGCTGATGACCGGGCCATCTTGGCGAGGACGGCTGGGTCGATGCCAGTGACTATGTGGGATGCGGAGAGGGGGTCATCGGTATGGCCGAGCCAGAGGGCATTGGGTTGCTCATTCACAAAGGCTGGCTCGAGCATGCGCACGACCTGAGCTCCCGTCATGGTTTGGCCTTTGGCGCGGACGAAGAGGTTGACGGTGACGGGGTCATTGGTTAGCGGGCCCAGGTCGTTGATGAAGCCTAGGGCGACGGTCGTGGCAGGGAGACCGAGCCGGCGGCGGTAGCGGGCAAAGTAGTCAAGGTAGTTGTTGGCAGCGAGATAGGTGCTCTGGGTAGGGAAGGCATAGACAGTTCCCAAGGAGGAGGTCATAGCGAAGAAGTCGAGAGGGATGGAGGTCGTGGCATCGTGGAGGTGCTTGACGCCGAAGACCTTGGCCGCCATGCCTTGGTTGAATTGGGCTTCGGTCATCTTGTCAAAGGAGATATCCTGGTAGGATACGGCAAAGTGGAAGACACCACGAACAGGTCGTGTGGGATCAACATGCGCAGATCGCATGGTGTGGAGCACGGCGTCACGGTTGGTTACGTCGCAGGCAACGGGCTGGACTCGGATGCCTTGGGCTGCCAGCTCAGTGATCATACGCTGTGCTTCGGGGGCAAGGTTGCTTGCCCCCCGGCGGGACCAAACCTCCATGTCGCGAGCACCACGGCTGCTCATCCACCGCACGATGGAGCGGCCGAGGCCGGTCAGCCCGCCGACGAGGATGTAGCGGGCGGCTGGGTCGAAGCGCGCCGGGGTTGCGGATGAGGTGGGGAGAGTGCGCAGCAAGGTGGACGGGTCTTGGTAGGTAATGACACGCTTTCCAATATGGGTGCCTTGCGAGAACTGCAAGAGAGTTTGGTCCAGGTAGCCAATGTCCGCAACGGAATAGGGCTTAATGGGTCCGATGTGGCCAGCGCGGAAGTGCGCGTCGACGGACTGCATCAGCTCCGCCCCGAGGACAGAGTCGCGTTCCACAACGAGGCCAAGGTCAAAGGAGGTAAACCCAGCACTCTTTTGGAAAAGTTCCAGGCCCATGGTTTGGGAACTAGTGACATCCAGGCGACCCACGTCGACTAAATGACCCAAGGGGGCGAGGGCTTTGACGGACTCGTACAACATATCGCCCTGGGCGGTGCTAAGGATGACATCAAACCCTCCATGTTGCTGAGTGGCGCGGTTCAGACTGGCCAAGTCGCGGGACGAGAAGATCTGCGATGCTGGAACACCCATGTGGTCTGTCAGGAAACGGACTTTGTCTGCAGTGCCTGCCGTCGCGTAGATGGTGGCCCCCTTGGACCGCGCCAGCTGGATGGCTGCCAGACCAAGGCCGCCTGTAGCCGATTGGATCAGTACCTTGTGGCCAGGCTTGAGGCGAGTAACATGCTCGAAGGCATAAACTGCAGTCATATACACCAGCGGCATAGTAGCCGCCTCGATGGCGTTGACGTCCGCGGCCAGCTTCTGTGCCAGACCTGCGGGCACACGAGTGTGCGTGCCAAAGTGTCCCTTGCCCATTCCATAAACCCGGTCGCCAATAGATAATCTAGTAACATCAGCTCCTACCTGGGTAACAACACCGCAGTATTCGTTGGAGAGGTTGTTCGCATCAAATCGACCGGAACACAGCCCCAGGTCTTTCCAGTTGAGCCCGACAGCATCCACCTTGACGTCGATATAATCCCGAGGCAGGGGTTGCAACAGCTCTGTATACGGACGGAAATAGAGGGAGGTGAGAATACCAGGTGTCTCAAAGGCCGCTCGTACGGGTCCAAGGCTGCTCAGTGGCCGTGAGGACACGTCAACTTCCTGCCTGGTGGGAGCCACCTCCGCGTATCCCTGCAGCTGCCCATCAGGCACGATCCGGCTCGTCCACATGCAGCCGTCTTGCCAAACCAGGTCCCGATTCACCTCGGGAGGTCCTTTATCATCGAGGGTGGGCTGCAGGAGGAGCTCCTGTTCGACCAAGCAGCGGACCAGCTCGTCCATCTCCAGGCCAGGAACCTGAAAGTCTTCCGCATCAACGTCGACTGACAAGAACTGCCCTGCGGGATTCTCAGTTCCCAAGGTACGTAGAAGCCCGCTAACAAATGCGCCGTCGGGATTTCGGCCCTTCACTAGGCCGCACGAGGTAACCCAAACCATGCTCGCCGTGTTTGCAGCTAGATGTTGGAATAGTCCCAGTCGGCGTTGATCGGCGGCAAACAGAAGGTTTTCTCCGTCAAGGAAAGCCACCACGCGAGAATTGGGAGCGAGTACGTTTATTGCTTGGTCCATAGGACTGATCCGGATAGATAGGCCGTGCTGTTCCATAGCCCGGGCGAGATGATGGAGAAGCGCTGAAGTGCCTTGAGACCCGTGTAGAAGGTGGACCACAGGGTTGCCGCTCTTGGTAGTTGGTACCGGATCGGGCAGGGTGGATAGGATGATGGTGGAGTGCAGATCAGTTTCGCGACAGACTAGCTTATATCCTGAGTCGAATCCAACTCGCCGAAGGCATTGGTCCCATGCCAGTTCGCTGCTATTCATGCGGTCCACTAGTACAAGGTGGCCCCCGGGATGGAGGAGCTTCTTGGCGTTTGCCAGGGCCTGCTCAGTAGCCGGGCCATGTTCCACATTGCTCCAGAGGATCATGTCGTAGGTCCCTATTTGGAATTCCTGTTCCGAGGGATCTTGGCTGATATCCAGCACGGAGTATCTGACGTCGCGGAAAGCTGAGACAGTCTCACGGAAGGAGTCCAGTCGCTCGGCAGAGGTGTCCGTTGCGACGTATTCCCGGTAGCGCTTGATGCCATTGTGGCCGACAAGGGACTTTAGCACTGCTTGACCAGCATTCCGGTCATCGCTGCCAGCGCTAAGCTGCAGGATTCGAAGATCTGGGTTGGCATGGCCTACGAGGTCGATGAGGTAGGAGAGCCGAGAGAAAGTCGTGGTCCCGTCCACAGACGCAAGAAGTTTGTTCCACTGATCCCGACTCAATGTGCGACTATCAGGCCTCCAGACAAGACGCGCGAAAGGACTGGAATAAGCTTGGCCAGAAAAATCCTGTGCAGAGGACTGCTGCTCATTGTTCAGGCTGGTGAAACGCATGTTGTCCACGTCCAAGATAGCCTCGCCGGAGTCATCCAACAGTTGCAGTTGGGCGTACGCTCCACGCAACCCACGTAGCTCGCCGCGCGATACCCCTGTGATCCAGTCACGGCCTTGGAGGCAGCCAAGTTTGAACCGCATCTGATCGAAATGGATAGGCAGCTGGACACTGGCCGTTTCTGCCTGGCCGCCATTACATGCCATGAGTCCCAGGCGGATAACAAGATCCAAGGAGGCGGGGTGGATGGGATACCTGGACTCGCCTCCAGGGAACAATCCTGCAGTGGTGTTTAGCGATAGCTTGGCCAATGCCACGTTGCTGAACGGGTCAGCCCAGATATCGGAATACCCTTGGAACGAGGGCCCAAACTGGAGTCCCATGTCAGCAAAGCGAGTGTACCAGGCCTGCGCATCTACAGCGCGTCCATCCATGGTAGTTGTATCAATGGCCGCAGGCGCGTTAAAGGCAACGACATCAACCTTGACTAGACCTGAGCAGTGTTCCGTCCACTGCTCGGAGTCGTTAACGACCGAAGCGATGGAAAAGCTTGCCCATCCAGGAGATGCGGCGGTGGCACCATCCTCGAGCTCCATGCTGAGCACGATCTCAATCCCCTTGTCATCTTGCGGGACAACCAGGGTCTTCTTGATCGAGACGTTCCGGAGAGTCAAGCCAGCAACAGGTAACGCATCGGGGAATTCCGCATAGGCTTGCTCTGCTGCGAGCATGGCCATCACAATATGCGCCGCTCCGGGATGCAGAACGTGAGGAGGCACGCGATGGTCATTAAGCCATGGCAGATCCTTCAAGCGGAGTATGTTTCGCCATTGCGGACGCAGTCGAGTTGTCCCTGGCACACGGGCTCCAAGCAGATCATGCCGGGGCCAGCGCCGGAGTCGGTACTCCTTGCTTAGACGGCTCTCGTGGTACTTGATAGGCCCATAGGTGTACCGGTAGGGCGGCAGGTCAATAGCCATGCATCCATGTATGAGCGTTCTTTTTCCCGCACCATGCGACTCATCGACGGCGTTGACTGCCACCAAATCGACGTCGGCATTCAGGGCAAATAGCGTTCCGGCGAGTCCAAGTAGCGAGCGGCGAGAATCCTGGCCTCTCTCTACCGAGGCAACGTGGGGAATCGTACGTCCCAGACCTTTGACTATCTGCCCCAATGGGCCTTTCAGCGCTGGGTGTGGGCCGATCTCCACCGTTGCGCCGATTCTCAGGTCATCCATGTCGAGGAGCTTGGATACGGCATCGGTAAACCGTACGGGTGACTCCAGATTTGCTTTCCAGTATGAAGCAGTCACTTCCTCGCGAGGCATGGTTGAGCTTTTTTGTGGCACCACTGAAGAAGCCCAAGGAATGTTGGAGTACCTGGAAGTGGTGTCATTGATTCCTAGGCTGGCAAGACGCTGTAACCCATCATCAACTGCCTGAGCGTAATCGTGACCAAATGACAGCATGTGGTGTGAATGGTAGGCAAGTCCTCCGGTGCGAAGCTGTCGGTTAAAGATAGCTTCTTGGGTGAGCTGGACGCTCAGCTGCTCAATGGCATCAGCGTCACCAGACATGGTGATGCTCGCCGGAGAGTTGATCGCCGCGACCTTGACTCTTCCCTCCATACCGGCCTGCCGGACATACTCGGCACCCTGGTCTGCTCCAAGCCCGACAGCCAACATAGCACCCTTTTTCTGGTTGAATGAGACCATGTATCCACGGTAGTAAGCAATGGTGATGGCCTCTGCGGCTGTGATCCGACCGGCGGCATACGCTGCGGCCATTTCGCCCGATGAATGACCCACGACGCCAGCCGGGCGGACAGACCATGATGCTAGCAGGTCAACAAGACCCATCTGTAGCGCGGTGCATACAGTTTGAGACACGGCAGGCTTCTGGATGAGATCCTTGTCACAGTTCCCACACAGAATGTCTACAAGCTTCCATGGAGCGGGCTGGGGCAACACAGCCAGCACGGTGTCGAGGTATGCGATTGTATCTCGGAACACAGCGTACTCAAACAGCTCCGCCCCCATGGCTGGCCATTGAGCACCCTGACCCGTGAAGACAAAACCGACGTTTACCCGTTGAGGCGAGGCGAACACCTTTGGTCCGTTGTCGGTGACCGATCCGACCTGGGTGACCTGGTCCTTGTCAACAATCGAGAAGGCTCGTTGCGAGAATCGAGAGCGTTTAGCTGCGAGAGTGTAGGCCACGTCGGCTAATGAGTGATGAGGAATGGATCGTTGCAGCGCCTCCATGTTCGCAATCAGAGAAGACTGGTTGTGCGCGGAGAAGGGGAGAACCACCATCTGGCGAGTGGTGGCATCGGCCCGTCTAACGAGGGTCGGAGAATGGAGTATAGGACGGTGCAGCTGGGAGAGTGCTTCTGGCTTGGTGCCGTGGGTGCCATTAGTGCCATTGGTACCATTAACAGCATGCCCGTTTGTACCATTGGACTGCTCAACTTGCTCGTAAATGACGCCAGGCTTCACATACTCCGGGATGACATTGTGGACGTGGTCGATGATGCAATGTCCGTTGGTCCCTCCAAAGCCTGCCGAAGTAACACTGGCACGCTTAAGTCGGTCTTTAGGCCAGGGCTCTGTCTTATTGACGACGCGAGCCTTGGCCTGGTCAAAGTCGATGCGTGGATTGGGGGTCTGGAAACCGAGCGTCGCGGGGATCTCTCCGGCCTCGAGAGAAGCGACCACCTTAAGGATACCTGGCAAGGCGCACGCACCTTCCAGATGGCCCACGTTAGTTTTAACAGATCCGACAACCAGGCGATCTTCATGGACAGTAGACCGTGATGGCCCAAACACATTCCCAGCTGCCGTCACCTCAATTGGGTCCCCAACGCGGGTGCCTGTTCCGTGGCACTCGAGAAGGGTTGTTTCGGAGGGATCGAGATCCCCTGCGTTCTTGTAGCTGTTCAAGTCAGTATTAGAAGGTCATGCGTGAGGTGCAAAGTGTGTAACATGGATAGAGCTCACGCTTCTCGAATGACAGTCTCTTGTGCGGGGCCACTCGGGTTGGTGATACCACTCGTACGCCCGTTGGCGTTGACCGCACTGCCTCTGATTAGGGCGCGAATCGGAGACGCATCTTGGGTTGCAAGCGAGACTGTCTTTAGGTAGAGTGCTGCGAAACCTTCGCCGCGGGCGTACCCGTCTGCGGAGGCATCGAAAGTGTGGCTTCTGGAAGAAGGTGACAGGGCTCCCAGCTTGCCCATAGCAATGTGGCAGTTGGGGTCCATAACCCAGTTGGATCCGGCTACGATGGCCGAATCGCAATCCCCATTGCGCATAGAGGTAATAGCCAGGTGGAGCGCATACATGGCCGAGGTGCATGCACTGTTGATTAGCAGACTCGGACCTTTGAGGTTGAAAACGTAGTGGATGCGGTTGGCCAGCATGTTGGGAAAGGCTCCAGTAGCCGAGTATTTGCCGCTATAGTCCCAATCACGCGTCTGGGACACATAATTGTCGAACGAGATATCGCCGACGAAAACGCCGATTCGGCTACCGGACACACTGTCCCATGTCTCCCCTGCATTCTCAAATGCTTCATACGTCACTTCGAGTAGCTTGCGTTGCGAGGCGTCCATGGTTTCCGCTTCGACATCGGTAATTCCGAAGAAAGACGGGTCAAAAAGCCGCGGGTCCTCTTTCAAGAGGAAGCCACTGCTGGCTACAGCAGTCCCAGGCCGGTCTGAATTGGCATGATAGAAGCCTTCGGCTGAAAAACGCGGCGCGGCAAACTCCCCGTGAGCATCCTTCTGGTCCCGGAGGAACTCCCACAACGCAGGAATGTCCTGAACACCTCCCGGTAGGCGACAGCCTATTCATGTTAACAATGCTTGATTTCTCTCCAAAGCCCGATATAATCAACTCACCCATGCCAACAATGGCAATTGGCTCGCACTCATTTGATCTTGGGGGTGTCATGATGGCTCAGTAAGGAATATGGGTATGAGAGTGGTAAAGATGAAGTATAGAGATCGTTCGTGCTTTTTGTCGAATTCAATAGAGAAGTTGCTGTATTTGCCAAATGAACTGTCTCGTCCATGGCAACACAGGCCCTATATAGCAATTCATCCTGTTCTTGAATCCTGACTCCTGCACTATCTACGGTGAATAGCTGTAGTTGTCTTCTTTCTGATGGTGTATCTGCTGCCATGTTCACCATACGTGCATGAAGCTACTGCACTCATTAAGCCCCGCGTCGGCCGTTTCGTGGCAGCCTTCACATTCGGGTATTCCAGTTGATGAAGACGCCGTGTGCTGTCTACGGACCTCGGCCGAAGACGTTGGAGGAACAGACAAGTCCTCAGATTCCTTTTCTTGGCGGCTCGTGTTGATGCTGATCGTGATAAGCTGGACGGAGGAGGGACGGGCGAAATCGCCCGATGCGACCGATGGATGTCGGGGCCGTGACTTTCGTCAGCACTACTCAGAAGCGAGACACTTCGCATGGATTCGATTCCTTCTCTGTTGCGAGCCGAAGTTTGCTGGCTTCTGTCATTGGCAATAAATGGAAGGATTGCCTACCTTCAGCCACAGTCCCGGGCGCCTAAGACTAGACCTCTTCCTCAGAGGTCCTTTTTGGCCCCCTTCATCCTTCCCCACCTTCCTTTCCCCCCAGATTGAGGGGATCCCAAGCAAGCCGGACTGAGAAGCATGCCATATTGGGAAGGTAAAAGGTGCCGAGATGGGATGAAACCAGACTGTTGATAATTATGGGGTTAACGGCCCTCTGACGAAGATCAAATCCTCCCCATGCTCCAACCCACTCGCACGGACCACTGACGGTACGTAGTACAAAAATGTGATATGCAGTACAATGAGCGGCTCCAAGTGGGTGTTGTTGAGATAAGCGTGGCGATCCTGCTGGTCAACGAATTCATTGAAGGTTGCAGATGCAGCTTGTCTGATCTTACAGGTTCTGCTGGAGTCTAGTCTACGTTGAACGTACTTCACAGGACGTGATAGATCAAGCATATTAGGCACAGCTCCGGGATGGCCCGGGTGCCATGGGAACAAATCAGGAGGGTTAGTTTCAGTGTAATTGGGATGCACGGGATTTAGGCCACCAATAACACCATCAGAAACAGCCAGAGAGCCGCACGTTTCCTGTTGATGAGAGTTTGAAGCCGAGTAAACCGAGTAAGCATAACCAAGTAGATCCGGCGGGTTCTTCCGTTCCGCGTGGCCGATCTTATCCGGACTGAAGTTAAATCCATGCAGGCTCACGGACCGTCTGGCCGTCTGACCCCAAATGTCTGACGGTCTGACAGTCTGCCTATCTGGTCTTCTGTGTCTGTCTGGCTTGTCCCTCCCAAATGCTGGTGGAGACACGCCCCCCCACTACCCCGAAGCGACCTCCAGGCACAGAAACAGTCCCACATTGAGATATTCCCCCTCATCCCTCCACTAAGGTATAATTATCTGGAAGAAGAATAGCTTAATCTTGTGCGACAGCTAGACATAACAAGGGCATCGGGCCCGCTGGTGTTGTGTGAGTTGTCGACCAGATGGGAGGAGCCGCAATGCATCCCACCGGCCGAAAGCGTCGGGTCACCACCTGTGTGCCCTGCTACACTAGGAAACAGAGAGTGCGTAAACATCGCTAATCCTACACTGGGCAGCTGAAAGCTTGAGTCCTAATGCGAACTAAAAAAAAAATTAGTGCAACCGCCAGTACCCGTGCAACCATTGCACCCGACGTCGACGGCCGGAGGAATGTGTCTACCAGTCCATCATTACTGGAGACCCCTCCAACACTTTCCTCTTGGAGCCAGCGAGAGACCCTGAGCCCCAGGAACCACCCAATGTCCAGTTACCAAATGGATCTTCCAAGGCCTCGCCTGCCGAGGCACAGAATAGCGCGTCTAATTCACACTCAGCTCTGGCTAAATCCTTTGGCTACTTCGAGCACAGTGACTCCAATACCATGGCTCTGCTCAAAAAAGTGAGAAGCACACATGCAACTGTGGATCCATCCTCTTGACATATGGCTAATCTCAAACGGCATAGTGGGATCTGGACAGTGAAGGGGACACAGATCAAAGCACCCAGGGCCTGTCAACTGCGGTGCTAGAGACAGTCAAACAAGTCCTGGAAAAAATTCCTCCCCGTCCCATCCTAGATTTCCTGATGCAGTATTTCGTCGATGAATTGAACTGGTAGGTCCCTTGTTAGTGATCATATTAGATTCATGGTCAACTGATGCCCCATGGAACAGGATGAAACAGATCATCCACCCACCCAGCTTTCTGACACAGTATCAGCATTGGTGGACTAAGGAGTGGCCCCTGTCTGTGGATGACATTGAGTTTGCCGCTCTGGTACTTCGGATTGGTGCCTACTCGGCGCAATTCCTGCCTTCTCCGACGCACACCCTTGATCGGATCCGGGGGCAGTCACTCTCAGACATACGTGACACCTGCAGTCATCTCGGTGGTGAGCTTGCCAGAGCCTGTCTGTCTCTAAACTGGAAAGGGTCTCTGGTCCGGGTCCAGCACATTTTATTTGCCGCTTTCAGATCCTCTTGTGAAGGGAGGACTGATAAATTTTGGGAAGGCATCGCCTCTGCTTGTAGTGCGGCGCAGAAGGCGGGGATTCACACAGTGGCTCCAGTGCCGGGGGAAGATAGTTCTCAAGTATTAGAAAAGGAGATGCGCCGGAGGACATTATGTGGGCTGTATGTTCTGGACAGGTGCGTATGCCATGCTCTTGGCACTGCAACCTTGCGCTGACGTGGCCGGATCAATAAGCCATCTCGCCCGACAGCTTGACCGGGTCCCTTTTCTCCCTGATAACCTTGTCCTTGAGACTTTACCCCGATTACGTCTTGCCCCGTTTATTGGCGACTTGGCTGCGTCTGCAGATGCACCTGAAGACTTCACCGAGCGTCTCATGCAAGTCCGGCTGGGCAGATTCTGGAGAAGCTTCGGTTCCAGACGGAACCTACCGTACGACCCTACTCACGGCGAACAGCGGTATGAGCGATTCTGCGCAGAGTATATCCCTACCCTACCACCAGCCTATGCACTGAATCCAGATCGGAGGTGGGACGGCCAACTTCCTAAATTACCCATGCAGAGACAGCTGCTCTACATTGCCATATTCGATTCAGTCTGTTGGAATTTTCGTCCTTTACTGTTGCTGAAACCAGGCCAAGTCACCAGTCTACCCCCTTATAAGCAAGTTCTTCTCCAATCGCAGAAGCAGAAGCTGGCTCTGGCCGCTCTGGAAGAGCTGGATGCCGTCACAGCTCTGCATATCATGTTTGGAGGCTCCCACACGCGTTTCAGCGCCATCATATTCAACACGTTTGAAGCCGCCGTTGTTCTTCTGATACTTTGTACGCAGAAAGACTTTCCATTTGATCAAGGCGAGGATCATCCCGATATTCTCGGCTTAAGAGTGGCCACTCTGACTCGGCCCCGGGCAATGCGGGCGGTTGAGAAAGCCCTGGGACGTCTTCAAATGTTAGCTGAGGTCAGCGAAATGGCTGCCTCTGGGGCACAGGTTGTGACGCAGCTTTTTGCGAAGGCTGCCAGGATGGAGCATTCCCTCGAGCCATATACACCTAATGAGTCAAGCCGGAGCTCTTCATCTCCAGCCATCCTTTCGAACTTCCTCAACCTAGAAGACGGCTCTGGACTCTGGATGTCTTCAGAGGATCCGACCTTGATGCCAGACATGTTATCCACAATAGCGCACGGTGACTCATACTCAATGCTGCAATTTCCCTCTCTAGACCTCACGTCTTGGAATGGCAATTTCCACTCGTAAAGTGGAATTATTTTCCTCCAAGCAGAGTCAGGCTTGTAATCACTGCCGGCGAGGATATGGACACCCGTTCAAGGCTGGCGTTCGTGATTCGTAGCAGGTCTTCCTTCACTTGGATTTTCCGGTGAAGCATCAACCCGATAAGCAGTAAATAGTTGTTAGCGGAATATACAGTTCGATGGACTGCTAGTGCTTACATTAACGGATTCGGAACTCCTGCACCTGCCATTTGTAGATGTGGAGGGTGGCCACTGTGTCTACGCAACCATGGAGAAGGAGATATTCACGTAGTCTGACTACATTCCAGGTCGAACCTGCTCGCTTCCGTGGGGTGAATTAACGGGTAGAGGTGCGTCCGACATAATCCCCGATATTCGTCGGCCGACATATTTCGGACGAGCTTTCAACACAGCCCGCCACCCGAAACATCACTCCCTTCTTACATTGGCACTCGACTGCAAGCGTGGCTGAGAAGGAAGCGGGGCTTTCCAAATCAGTATCTAACCTTCGATGATGGCCGAAAGGAATATACGGTTATGATCCATGAACCAAAGAACATCGGCCTCGTTGTTGGTTATTCCGAAGACATGATTAGTATTAGCATTAAGGGCCTATACTTGGCCTCAAAGATCCATGAATATTTAGCTCAGAACAGCCGTCCGGAAGGTAAATTGGATATTGCCTACCTTGTCCAAATCCTATTGGAAATACAAAATTCATCGGTCGCATGACATAATGGCGCCTTCTTACATTGCCAGCTTTGTTGAGCTTTTTCATGGATACCCTGCTGTCTTCTCGATTACGATTTGCCTGGTGGGGTTATACGTCCTTTATCGATGGCTTCTCCCGAGCCCATTACCAGGAATTCCTTACAACAAGCAGGCCGCTACATCAATTTTGGGCGACGTGCCTGCTCTGAGGGGCGATCCTGCCGGACTGGCTAAGTGGTGCAGCAAGCAGCTTGAGGAGCATGGGTCTCCGATATGCCAGGCGCTGATGGGCCCGCTCTCCAAGCCGGTGGTCCTTGTGGCTGACGTCGGCCAGACCCGCGAGCTGCTGATGGGACGAAGTGACTTCGACCGATCGTCTTACATTATCGATCGGTTCCCGTTATTTGGAGAGTTCCACCTTAACATGAAGACTGGGGACTCCTGGAGAACCTCCCGCAGCTGGTTGAAAGACCTTCTAGCTCCGCACTATCTGCACCAGACCGTGGGTCCCATCATCCACTCTTCGGTGCTCAACCTTATCCATCTTTGGGAATCCAAAGCCCGGGTAGCAAATGGAAGGCCATTCAGTATGCTGGCCGACCTGAAAACCCTAGCTCTTGATGTTATCGTGCGCTTCCACTTCGGACAAGACTTCCAGGACTCGGCTCTGCGTAGGCAAATTGAGTTTGTCGAGCAGCTGGACAACTCTCAGTTAGGGGTTGGGAAGCACACCGACGTCATCTTTCCTCAGGCCTCGTTGCACCCATTCCAACAGGGTTTAACCGATGTGGGTGACCGGATGGCTGCCATCTACACGACTAAATGGCCTCCCTCCATCGTGTCCTGGTGGGCACGGTACATGTCCCCATATTACCGGAAGTTCTTCGTCGGCAAAGATCGCTTTATCCGCAAGCATATTAACCTAGCACTGCAGCGCTTCGGCAACGACGAAGAGGCTAAGACTGGTATTGACTATATGGTGTATAGAGAGCAGAAGTCATCTCGCAAGGCCGACCGGCAGCCTATGTATGGCAAACAGATCATGATTGACGAGGTGGGTAAACAGCTTCTTTCGGCCTCTGAAATCTCTACTAAGACACCGGGTCATTGCATCTAGGCATACGGAAATCTCATTGCCGGCCAACACACAACCAGTGCGGCGCTAGTATGGATTCTCAAGCTACTGGCTGAGCATCCTGCCGTTCAGACAAGGCTTCGCGACGAGCTGCAGACAGTATGCGCGGCCGCAGTCCAAGAGGGTCGCCTACCCACTGCAGCTGAGATCATCCAATTCCGACTCCCGTATTTGGACGCAGTATTGGAGGAGACCTTGCGGCTTCGCGCTGCCATGCTTGTTCCTCGCGACGCTACCCGTGACACAGAGCTTCTGGGCCGCCGGATCCCGAAAGGCACGGTCGTCCTTCTCGTCTGTCAGGGACCGGACTACTCCTCTTCGCCATCCTCCCTGTACTGGAGTGACGTGAAGACGACCCGGAAGTACCCAGGTGGTGGTAACCCTGATCTTGAGGCATTTGATCCGGAGCGTTGGCTAGTCCAGAATGAGCGCGGTGAACTCGAGTTTGATGGCTCGTCGTACCCGCAGTTGGCGTTCGGGCTGGGCATTCGGGCTTGCTGGGGGCGGCGACTGGCTCAGCTAGAGATGAGGATCATGACTGTCATGATGACTTGGAAGTTTGATTTTCTCGATGTACCTGAGGCATTGGCTGGTCATGAGGCAACCTACGACATCTCCTACCGCGCCAAGAAGGGATATTTGCGTCTGAGATCCCGGTAAGCGCATAACAAGCAGGCGCTGCAACCCGAGGCCAATGTTTCTGTACCCAGCGCACTTAGTTTGCTCAGGATATTTGAAATGCAATTTAAATTGGCTACTCGTATTGTCCAGTAATGATGAGAGAAAATAGTACGACATTAGTATACATGTTCCAGACCCTGATCATCGAAACGTAGCCCTGTGTCGACCTAGCAGGTAATTTTTCTTCTTCTTGCTGTGTGTTTAGCCACAACAAAATCCCCTTCTTTTCCTTTCTGTTAGGTTCAGATCAACCCCAATGAAAGGCTTCTAAGCTTATAAGCAAATCGCTACCTACGTTTCGTGGATGGGCGCCACCCGAGAGCTGTATCCAGTGTGAATCCTTCGGGCCGGTCGACGATCTGCATTTTGCCATCGGGCAGGATTTTGGCAATAGTCCATGAGTTTTGAATTTGCATTGGAGCCAGTGCGTGCTCCGGTTGTTGGTTGGGGTGATCTCGGATGCATTGTGCTCTTTGTCGGGTGAGTGCGTGGGCCATTCTATCTTCGGCCGACGAATTTCGGGTGAGCGACGTGTTTGTTATATGATGATCCCCCGGCCTCCCACGGGGATAGACAATGCTAAACTCCTAATCCCGCCATCGTGGAAGCACTAGAGCTTCGTTTTTAGAGACTATTTGTCCTGCAGTGTCCCTGGCGTGGTTAATCCACGACGTGGTCCGCCGGTCATAACGGACATAAGGAGAAGCAATGGGTGATCTGCCCTGTCTCGACACTATACATATGCGCGATCCTCCCCAGCCGCTCAGTCCTCCCAACGAGAAACAATAGCCCTCTCGGGTTCGCCAAAATGGAAGCTGCAGCGCATTCACTGCCCTCGAGTCAGGAATCAGACTTCGCTGTGAATAATCATCTCCCTCATCGCGAAGAGTCCGATGAGAAAGGACATGACGCCGACGCCAGTGCCACCGATGATGATGTCCGCAAGATTACCGGTTTCCGATGGTTTCTGATTTGCGCTGCTCTGTATCTCTCTGCTCTGATGTATGGACTTGATACAACCATCGCTGCGGATGTGCAGGGCGCCGTGATTGAGAGATTCGGGGACGTGTCGCAACTTGCATGGATTGGAGCCGGTTTCCCACTCGGTTCAGTTGCCGTGATTCTCCCCTACGGGTTTCTCTATACCGTCATGAATATGAAGTGGCTCTACATTGCTGGAATCGTGTTATTCCAAGGTGGTTCTGCTCTCTGTGGTGGTGCTCCAAATATGAACGCCCTTATTGTCGGCCGTGTGATTGCAGGCGCTGGAGGTACAGGAATCTATCTCGGTGGACTTAACCATTTCTCTGCCATGACCACCCGCAACGAGCGCGGCACCTATCTTACAGGAACCGGATTTGTCTGGGGCGTGGGTGCCATCCTGGGTCCCGTCGTGGGAGGCGGATTCTCCGACTCCTCCGCCACCTGGCGCTGGGGTTTTTACCTGAACCTGGTAATCGGCGCCATCACAGCCCCCGTGTACCTCTTCTACCTCCCCGCCATTCACCCCGGCGCGGGCCAATCTCTTCGCAAACGCTTAACGCGACTCGACTATCTGGGATTCGTCCTCAGCGCGGCAATGTGGGTGACCTTCGCACTTGGCTTCATCTCTGCAGGAGGCATCTGGGCGTGGGACTCCGGCGCCACCATCGCGCTAATCGTGCTCTTCGGCGTCCTATTCATCCTTTACGCCCTCCAACAATACTTATGCATCTTCACTACGCCCCAAACGCGCTCCTTCCCCGGCCATCTCCTCCGCTCCCGCACCCAAATCCTCCTCTACATCACAACGACCTGCGCCAACACCGCCATGTTCTTCACGACCTTCTACATCCCAATCTACTTCCAGTTCACGCGCAACGACTCCTCCCTAATGGCTGCCGTGCGCCTTCTCCCCTACCTCCTCGTAACGATCACCATCAACCTCGCCATCGGCTGGCTCCTCCCAAAAGCCAAATATTACATGCCGCTGTGCCTCATCTCAGGCATCCTCCTCACCCTCGCCAGCGCCCTCTTTGTCGGATACCTCTCACCCTCTACCCCGGCAGGACAGATCTACGGTTTCACGATCCTCATGGCTGTCGGCACCGGCATGACCATGCAGCTGGGGTATGCGGTAGCTAGTCTCAAGGTGCCTCCCGAGGATATCTTCAGCGCGATCAATTTGCAGAATGTGGCGCAGATTGGAGCTACAGTTATCTGTCTTGTGGTGGCAAGTCAGGTGTTTCAGTCTACTGCAGTAAAGAATCTGAAAGGGGTGTTGGATGGGAGGGGATATAGTGAGGCGGAGATACGGAATGCTGTAGCGGGTGTGCAGAGTACGTTGTTGAAGAGCTTGAGTGGGGAGTTGAGGGATCGGGCTATCAAGGCTATTACGGATGCGATGGCCAGGGCGTTTATTATTCCGTTGGTGGCCGGAGCGGTGGGGGTGGTGAGTTCGCTGGGGATGAGGAGGGAGAGGTTGTTTGGGTAGATATCTTGTCCGGGGTGGAGGTATAGAGGAAAATAAAGTGATGCTAGGGTATAAATTGAGTGAATATGGTATGGCTCAAATATGAAAGGTATGAGCGGGAAAGAAGATATATCACGCTAATTTACACGCAAATGCTTCATATTAGCCACAATGTACGTCGTATTTTTCGCTTTTTCGTCTCTGCGGGGCGGATCAAAGAGAAGGATTAATAAATCCCCTCACGGAAGAGCATTGGCATTAGCAGCAATACAATTGCTACCTCTCCATATGTTCCGCAGATGAAAGCCCCCCAATTAAGCGTAGGCTGAATTGACGAGTAATACACCTGGAAACAGGCGTGGCCAACTGCCCACAGCAACAAGGTTTTCCACCGTTGCATCCTTTGAGATATCAATAAGTGAAGAAACACAATTGGTTTCACGAAGAGCAGCAACATATTTAGCGGGACGTCCTTCCTGAAGTCTTCCTCTCGAAGTAAAATATAGAAGATAAGCCCATTTAGTGGGATAAGAAAAATTGGCCCGCTCAAAAACTGCGTCAGCTTTATATGTGAGACATAAGCCGGAGCGTTACTATGGATAGACAATCGAAACATCTTGCTGGCCATGACAAACTGCTGGTTGCGAAACATGATAAGCCCGCGCTGGTGATACACCTTGGACATCATATCTTGCACTTCCCTGTTCGACTGATCCTGTTGCATATCAAGCTTTTCCATTAGGAGACAGTAGAGGTCCTGGGATTTGGCCAGATTTCGCTTTTCCTCATATGGCTGGCACAGGAAATCAAGATAGCAAGTATAGATGGGTGAGGCCCGGGTACTCCAAATCATATATAAATCGGCAAGTCGTAACTGCGCTTTCAGATCAAAGAGGCTGTTGTATTTATCCTTGCCGCTAGAAAGATAGATTTCCAGGCATCGGTCTGCATGAGGAAGAAGACGGTTTCTATCAGGGAGTTCCAGTGAGAAAAAATTGAATTTGGTGACCAGATCCAACTGGTAAGTACTGATCTTCAAAACTGCAAGCTGCGTTAGCAGGTCAATATCTGACACGAAGCAGTCCTCGTATTGAAGCCAGGCATGAATGCATTTTTGAAGGCTATAGCCCCGACCCTGCTGAGAATTTCCTGCTGCGACAGGCCCTGGTTCGACCCATCCATACCTACTTAGCACAGCCATTGCTGTATCGAACACTAAGGGGTCGGACGCTGATTCTGGTCGAGCACTCTGGAAGAGGCCATACCAGATATCGTTACTATTAAAAGCTATCCACTGCTTAAGCAGTACGGCGGCATGTCTATGCTGGCGCATAATCTGGTTTAGTGTGATTTTCCACGTTGTATGCATTGACTTTTGTTCAAGCGAAGATTGCTGCGGCGATAGTTGTTGTAACTGCAGCCAAGATTCTTTATATAATTTGAGATACTCGCGGCAAGTTATCACACTCTGTTTGAGATAGGCCCCAGCAGACACGATGGCCAGTGGCAGCCCATCTAGCTGAGTTAATAGTTCTGCGATGTAGGGGTCTAAGTAGTACCAGTCAGCTGTTAATAGAAATGCATAGCAGGGACGACGGGTTACTTGCCATCTCGTAGATTCGGTCGTCCGCACACATGAGTCAGAAGATCGAGGCCGTCATCAATTGCTGCCAGCTTTCTTACTTGAATCTGATCACCTATTCCAATATCATAACTTCTCATTGTAATAATGATATGACCCTGCTTGCTTGGAGGCAGTCTCATTTTCATGATTTCGGCTTTGTCAAAACCTTCGACCATAGGAAGGTCGAAGCCATCGTATATGAGTAACCACCGATTGTTTGAAGGGCGACTCAGCCACTCATTGACTGATCCAACCAATTGAATCTGATCACCTTCCTTCAAGGCCTTTCTCAAAGACTGGTCACCTGGATGATCATGTATGATCCGCATTGCCGCTTGTGTATAGCTGGAATATAACTTGTCAAGACTGCTACCATCAATCCAGAAGACAGATGAATACTTTTGCCGATGGCGCATGATGTACATAATCGAGAGTTCGGTTTTCCCAATTCCACCCATTCCATATAGGGTGACAATGCCTCGAAATCTGTCTGATAGAAGACTCTTCGTTATCATTGCAAGCTCTGCCTCCCGGCCCACAGAAATGGCAGCCTGTGGCATTTCGATTGTGTCGAAGCGAACATCGAACGAATCGCCTTCATTAACATCAGTAATAGCTCTCTGGGTATAAAGTACACCATGCTTGGGCCCCACGTACTACTATTCTTCGAACCAGGTGCCTGTATCAGCGTAGACGCCTCACTCCGATGGACAGGAATCTTCGACAATAGCAATTTCGCATAGGCCGCGGCTGTCAAAGCCGCGAACCCCTGCCACTCTTTCTTCTTGTGGGAGTCAGAATAGTCACAAATCCCTCTGATCACGAGGCACGGAAGGTAATCCATGATCCCCGCCGCCTCCATTTCAAAACACAAGATCCCCTGTGTTGTCTGCGCAATGCGATCGCGCGTGAGGCCATGCTTCATGACTTGATTGCCCGACGCAATGTTGCCATAATGTACGACCGGTGTGCATGAGCGTCGAGGCTTGCGTCTCACCCGTCGTTCTGGGTCACACTCAGCACAGGATGCGAAGCGAGGATCATGGTCATAGGAGGCATCGAAGAGCCAATCATGTTCGGCACCCGGATACCGAAACACGGATGGATCTTTGGCAGCCCTTAGAGAATCCGCGATAATCTTCTCATAGGTACCAATGTCGCTGCCTCCAGCCAGACGATCTGCTTCCAGCGACGACAACGCTGATAGGAGAACTATCGGCGGCTTGTTGAGTGTCCCGGTCTGCTCAAAGCGACCTGAAGCAACGGTCTTGCCATAATCGTACTGGATCACTCCGGGAAGGCCAGCAGTCGGCTTACTTACGACCACATCTCCCAGTCTGACATCGACAGCAGACGGGACTCCTCCGCCAATCCCGACCATGAGGCCAAAGCGGATGGACCGAAAGGTGAATAGCATCTGCTCAACTACCGCAGTCGCCGACGTAGTTCCGTAAATCCCGAATGGAAGACATGTAATCACCACTTTATGTCCGGAAATCCTTCCAAGCACGTAGGTGTTGTGATGCTGCTTAGGTAAATGTAGACTTGGATATTCTTCGTCGAGGACGGCTTTAGCTGCGGTCATCTCCAGTGGTAGGGCACAGATCCAGCCCACGGCAAACTCATCGTAAGAAGGTACGTCATTTCCCGACATCGTGAGGTGCCTTCACCGACTAGAGAGAATCTGCTCTTGTTTAGTCGAGTAGCACTTCCGGGGATCTCTAAGTTGATGAGTAGAAGGCACCAAGTACACAAGGCTGACGTGCTGCGCAGGATGACTACTACCAGTTGGTTGAGTTCGGCGCGCTAAAAGCTGACGACGCACAACTCTGCCTTAGGCTACGAGGCCGCCCAAATTATACCCATGTACCAAAAGCCCATGTAGAATTTATATCTTTATGTACTCTTAGAGCCTTTGATTCATCTACTGATTCATAATACCTAGCATCAATTGTATAGCTTAGTGCAACTATAGCTAAAGTCTTGCCAGGGCGAAGCATAGAACGGATGAGAGCCAAGTAAGAGGTCACGAAGAATCTACTTATGACTCGGGCGAAGTAGTAAGGTCAACCTGCTAGACTGAAACCCGATATTGTTTATTCATAATTCAGATCAGTATCTTGGATACAATGCTAAAGGTATTATTTCAAAGCCCGTCATATCGTGTCTTATGCTAACAGCGGCGGTCTGGGTAATCGCCTGAGCTTAATCTCAGTTGGAGCGCTTCCAAGTCTGGAATTATTTAGAGACCTTGAGAATTCGAACCATGTCAATGTTTACAAACTTACAGATGCATTACGTCTTAGTTTGAAAGAGCTCTGAATCTTTCCCACCGATTAAAGCTCTGCCTGGATCCGACTCAGGAGAGCGGCGTGAAGATCTTATCCAATACCGCTATGTCGCAGCCTAAATCAGCACAGCCGACCCAACGATTATGCTAACCAACAAGAACTTCTCGGAATCGTTTCTATAGGATAATGAGTCTTTAAGTGACAGTCACTTTCATTGAATTGGCCGGATGGTGTAGTTGGTTATCACGTATCGTTAACACCGATAAGGTCCTGGGATCGAGCCCCAGTCTGGTCATTCTTTTTTGCCCTTTTGTTTTTTCGGCAGCGTACAACCACCCCATCAGTCACAACGAACGTAGACACCTTTAGTTTTTTATTTTTTTATTTTTTTTTTTTTTCAAATGAAACTTCTCCTGCCAAACCACTATGTTCTACACAAGAACTCAAGACAGCCTACTACTTCTAATCAGTGTTCGCAATGGAGGGGCGCAGACTTTGAACCGCTTGACTATTTTCAGTTTATATATCGTGTTCCATTCGCGAGCCTTAACATACTATCTATGCAAGACAATCATAAACAGCCCGCACATAAGCCGCCGTCCTATCCGAACCCAACGTGCCTTGTCCCATCTTATTCATCACATAGGCAATCGTCATCCGTTTCTCCAGGTCCATAACAACAACTGAACCTCCCCAGCCCGTCCAAAAAGCAATGCGACCGTCGGGCAACCAAGGAAAAGTCTCCGGGACGGGCAACCCAACACCAAGACCCCAACGCAAATGATACATCAAGACCAAATCTGGCCCACTTATTTGCTCCTCCAGCATGCGGTCAATAGTTTCAGGCGAGAGATACTGCTTTCCATCCACCGTGCCTCCAAGCGAAATGACCGACGCAATGCGCGCAATGCCTCGGGCATTAGAGAATCCATTCGTGGCACCAATCAACGCCTTCCTAAACCCAGGACTCATACTTTCTTCCGCCGGTATAGGCAGACTGGCAAAGCTCTTGAACATAACACTCTGCGGGTCAACGCCGTCGAGACTCAGTGGCGGCGGCGGGGAAACGTCTGCTGTTCGTGGCCAGTCCTTCTCTGGGACCCCGAGCTGGAAGTCCGCAGCCAGAGGACTGGCAAGCTCGTCGCGGATGAACTCATCCAACGGTTTTCCGGTTACACGATGCACCAGCTCGCCGAGTAAGTGGCCCTGGTTGGTTACGTGGTAGCCGGAGTGTTCGCCGGGCGTCCACCAGGGGGCCTGTCGGGCTAGTTTATCGGCTCCTCTTTTCGCATCGTATATGTCGTCTAAGGTGTTGGGAAGCTCCCAGGAGGATACTCCAGAGGTGTGACTGAGGATCTGGGACACAAGGATATTCTCCTTGCCGTTCGCAGCGAACTCGGGCCAGTATTTGGAGACCTTCTCATTTGGGTCTAAGAGGCCACGGTCGATGAGAATGTTGGTTGCGATGGCGGTAATTACTTTGGAAACGGACCATACCACGGTTAGTGTGTCCTTTTCCCATGGCTTGGTTCTCGCTGGGTCTGCGTGGCCGCCCCAGAGATCGACGACGTTTTGACCGTCGATGTTGACACAGATGGATGCTCCTAGCTCTTCTTCATTGTTGATCAATTGCTGTAGGAGATCGCGCACCCCGGTGAAGGCCGGATCGCAGTGACCGTTGATTGTGGTCATTGCGGAGGGGCAGGTGGAAGGACAGACTGAATCTAGGAATTTGAAACCTGGAGAAGAGCAGGGATCATGGCTCGGGTGATCCGGCATAAATAGAGTGACAACTCACTGGGGTCTGGAAAGGCCCCCACGCTAAGTAGAACTGGCGCAGTGTCAGCTCTACACTTATGGATTAGTTGATCTCTACTAAGTACTAACGTCTACTAGTTAGTACGGCCGGTCCCCACAGCGCCTGTGTCATAGGGAATCATCAGCTGCTGTGATGGTCAGGGAAGGTCAGGGAAGACCATACCTGTAATCTTATCAATATTGAGTTCGTTTCTGATACAGCGAGATGAAAAGACTAGACTCCGAAGGAGATGTCACGGGGACAGACTCGAGTGAAGTGTCTACCAGAAGGAGACTCATTTAACCTACCTCAACAGACTGACTCAACTCCGCACTTCATGCCCCTCTTGGTCGCATATCTGCCCATCTCATACCTACGGAAAAAATTAAAATTATAGCCAATGCATTAGACAAGTTTTATCTAGACACTTCCTAGCTGTTGTCTCTGGTTTGAATGGGTGGCCAGTGCGCGAGAGGGACCGGCGGGAAGCCACAAGCGATCGGCATCGGCCTTAATGCTTAGTGCTGTTGTTATACTAGGTTGTATGTGCGAATTATGTGGTATATACTGGTACTCTGGGTGTTGCTTTGCTTGTTTAGATATGGAGAATAGAAAAAAGGTTTTCATATAGGATTTAAATTAGTTATAATCTTGTTCTGGTCTTAGTAGTATAGGAGTTTTCCCTTCTCACACCTCCTAATATGAGGATTTATATCATACATGATGCATGTCAGGTCAATTGCAAACCAAAGCGACTGCCCTTCATGCATGAAAACTGAGCCCGTACCCACACTGACCCTAGCAACTTTTTCCTTATCGGTAATATGACCTTCATTTCTTTCTTTCCATATGCGGTCATAAATTCGTGCACGTATCACTTCCTCACTGGTCGTCAGTGCGATGATGGATGCATTGACAAGCAATGCATGATCGGTTCATATCCACGACAGCGACCTCACCATTTGCCGAATCTCTTCACAAGTACGATGCCATTCCCCCACAAATATCAACAGTCTCGTAATTAGTTCCGAATCCTCTCAGCTCCGGAATGATTCGGTAGTAGAAGTTAGCCGCATGATCAGTCTCAGCAAAACCGATGAAGTCATCCATCTTGTGATTGGCATTGTCTGCATAGACAGCCCATGTAGCAGCTCCTGCCAGTGCCATAGACTTTTGATGGGCTTGAGTGAGCTGTGATCTACCCCTGGTAGTGAACGCAATCTTAAACCCCGGGTTGTCAAACCGCTTCCTCAAATCAAGTCCTTCAGTGTCATTAGCACCAGGAACCCCTCCTGCAAGAGGAAGTTGAAGAACGGTGTCACCATTTTCATAGTGATTGGCGATGATATCGTGCTTCGGAGAGTTATTATGGGCGAAACCAGTAATCTGAATTCTGTGGATCGGTAAAGGCTGATCCTGGCGTCTAACCAAGGGAAGAGTATTTGAGGTATTCGAGAGAGGAGTGAGATAATCATAGGAGATATCTCCACTACTTGACAGCATAGTCTCCCACAGCTGGAAATAATCCTGGGAGACATCGACGTCACGCTTACCCGGTAGACCTTCGGGAATGGCTCCAGAGTAATGGGCGGCAGCAACATAGGCCAAGAGGAGACCGTCTGAAATAATATAAGATATTTCCTCACATCTACTGCCACCGGCATATTCACAGACTTGTCGAGCAAGACGTGAGCCCATCACGATATAGACGACCCTAGAAATTATTAGTCCCTTGAGGATTATTGTTGATCGAGAGGAGAGCATGCGCCATACGTAAATTTGCTGGTACCAATAGAACGAATCGTTCGATTAAGTATCTCACAGACTCTAGTATCCCGCTGCTCTAGAATCGCCAGCAGCTCGTCAGCCGGGTTAGGAGATCGGATTTCAAGACCGGTGTCTGAAGGAAGTTCAGCAACATCCACTATTGGAATTGGTGTCGCTAAAGTGACCTGGCTTGTAGCCAGAAGAGAGAAGAGGAAGGTTGAGAGTTTCATGCTGATGCTTTAAGATGGTTGTGCCACTTAGGAAATCATTTTTGGGGGGTTCGCTACGCCATATTTATAGCCGTATGTTGGTGTTGAGCGATTCTCCTTAGAACATACAAGACTTTGAATTGTACGGTTTGCACATGAGACATAATATAATGGCTACCCACATAAAAATGAGCTATTGAAATAATGGTGCTTTTAGTATGAGAGGAACCATGGGTCTCCGATGTGGAGTTGGGGAACAGTTGATAGCCGGCCTACGAACCCTTGCAAAGCTAGTGGGGTTAGCGCTAGCCTTCGTACATAAATACCTCGAAGTAGCCACCGGACTTCTAATCATCTACCATTAGGTACCTGGGTGCAACTGTTCCACACAATATATCCTTGCCTCCAGCGGTGCTAATATTTTCTACTGTCGAATAAAACAAAATGGGTACCAATGAAAAAGCCACGACGTCAATTTCTCACTCCTCCTCTTCGGCAACACCTTCGCGAACCGTTACTGTTCTTCGGAATATCGTGCAAAGTCCGTGGACGTAAGTATGATTTCTTAGATTAATGCTTTCCAAATTTTTGAAGCTAATCTTTTAGCCTACCTTATATCGCAATGGTTACTCCACTTGTGCGAAGTATCTGGAATTACATGGGATGGAGTAACGGAGGAGAGGTGGCCCTGTCGCTGAGTCACGGACTGTTAATTTTGTACTTCATTATATCACAGTATGTCCGCAGGTACGAATGACAGATTACTATACTCAATAAAAAGTTTCATAAACCTAGCTATATCAGCTGTACCGGAAAAGAACTTCAGCATCTGCTGTGTGAGATCCTTTCCCGACTGAGTGTGCTGAAAATCAGCAATACAGGGTTCGTTGAGACAAATACCCCAAGGTTTACGTTAATTGTTATCGCTACCTGCCCAAGGCAGGTAGAATGGCCTAAATCTACCCATCCTCCACCCAGATGGTCCTGCCTCGGTGCTTTCCAAGGGGAAATGCGAGAAAGACACCTGGCGGGAAATTCCGAAACTGCTATGTTCTATTATTTTGCCCCACATCGCGTAGGGTTGGTGGGTGAACGTGCCATGGTCATACTCAAAGTTAGCATGCGCCAATGTTCACATCAATTATGAGGCTTTCCCTATACTGCTAATGCTGTCTGAGGGTCTGTAATGTATCAGCTCCACTTTTGGACCGCCCTACACGATATGGTCTTTCCTTACAATAGTTATCGATGCTTGATAACCGAACACGCGCTAAACAAAACCCGCGATTAAATCCACCTTCCGAGTTTAGCAAACGCGCCACAAGCCGTTCGGTTAAGCGCCTTTAGGACATAAGGTTACATGACCACAGAACGATAAGCAAGATTCAAAATCAGTATGTACAGCCACAAAACAATACTGCGCCGTATCAAATCGGGCATATCCTACGGACATTTCGTGAGCCCAGTCGGGATAATAGAAAGAACTGCCTTAAAAAGGACACCTTTAAGACAAGTAGAATATCTTATCGGAAGTAGAGCATTTTAGTCGGTCCATAATTGCGATGGGTCTCTATTCTACTGTTTGGTGCCACCTGACTCTCCGTATATCCTTGCTTTATCCGGTCCTATACTCGGATGGCTCTGGAATATAGTGGTTTCCTTTGTAGTGGATTCCTACCCTCCACGGAGCTCATGATCTTGAGTTGGTCCCTCCTCTCTAGTGGGTCCCTACTATTCGGTCGGTTCCTAGTGGATACCCCCTCTCGTCTGATAATGGTCCGAACAAGTGACTGCCCTACCAAGCAGTCCAACCTCACTTGTGATCGATTATTCTCACCTATTGTCTTTATATATCAGCTCCGTCCGTAAGGACTTGTGTCCCGTTGCATCTGTCCGAGAGGCTGTGAACCAGGACATGGAAGCAGGAAGGTGCATACGCTTTCACAAGCCTGATTCTGACTTGAGACTGTGGTCTTCAGACCAACTAAGACATGAGACTTCTTTGCCAAGACTTAATCAGAGAAAAACATTTTCTAATACAGCTGATCCACTAATAACACACTCCCTTCACAATAATAAGTCTCATGTCCACCATCATTGGTACCAGTTGAAATCAGTCAAGGCCCACCTGCAGGACCACTCTTGTCCCAGTAATTCTGCCCCTGGCTGCGGCATGTGCCAATAACGCAATAAAATCCACCGCCTTTGTTGTTCTGGTTTGGGGAGAACATGACGAAGCCGGCATCATTATTGGGGTTGAACCCCGTGCACACGTTGTAAAGTCCGTTTTGGGCAGTGTACGCAGTATGAGCGGTGTTGTACCAGATACAGACGGTCTGATGGGAGCTAGCAGTGCATTGATAGTCAAGCCCGGTTGTCCAGCTCGCTTGCACCGCAAAGCCGCCAGAGATCCATTGTGATGCATCTGCAGTAGCCGTCCATCCAACTGTATACGACTTTGACTGAGATGCGCCAACAGTGCAATAGTGTGCGCTCCCGCAATCCAGATTCTCCTGTTCGTCGCACATCAGTCGCTAGCACCAGACCAAAGGAAAGTGCATTATCGGCTCACGCCCAACTGTTTCCGCCAATAGTTCTGATGGGGATCGCCGTCTCCAACTTTCCTTAGCGGGTGACCACATTCTGCACGCGCCGGTTTGTCGCTGCTCCAAATTTCTCATAGACACAGCGTCAGTGGAATTTGCTTCACGACGAGGCATTGGAAAAGTGTCCATAACGTGGACAGTCTCCGCTGCTCGCTGTAAAGTTATGTCGACTTGATCGCTGAAACAAGGGGATATGTCGCCCACTTTAACTGGGTTCAATTGGACGGTGCTGGGCAAAGGAACGCCATCGCACACCATGAGTGACTCATTATCATTGTACATTCTGTAAAAAGTGATACCACCAGAATACTGGGGATTCTCATGAACGCTGAAGGTGGAAGTCCCGGCAGTGATATTGCCATCGCCGTTAGACCCAACATCTGCGACGATACCGAAGTCGGCAAACACTCCGGTTGTCAAGACATTTGAGCAGGCAGAGCCGATGATATTTCAGTAGAGCTATCTCTCACCACAATCTGCTTGGATGTGATCTTATGTTGTTGCACTGTTACTCGAACGTACCTGAGGTCTTCCCGGATGTGAAGCGATGGCGCCGTTAAGGCAGTTGCAGCAAGTGTCAAGAAAGACATCAATATCATCATCATGGAATCGTGGGTTATGTGTTTCAAGGTCCCTGAGATTCCCAAGTGCATCTTGCCGCTGTAGCGACCCTTATACTGTCACTTCTCGCACAACGCGTTATTCTCCTTTTTAAAAAGCTAGCGAATAGGTGTTCCGGTCTCAGTTGACAAAAGGACGACATTAGTGACGTTACATCGCGGCCCATGTAGTTGTTAGGTCATTGTCGCATGAGTCTGATCCCAATGCACTAGCAAGGATACCAGGGAATGCATTACCAACTCAAGGGGCCGTGCGACCTGTCAGAGGCTACTTTCACTTATAACATATCATATGACACTCTCACCCGCTGAGCCTTATGTCTTAGAATGTCATCTGTCTCTTCTGACTATCCATATGAAATCATAAACATGGCCCTTTCAGGAAGCAAATTGTTGCCACTCATTTCAGGGATTGGATTTCGGTATATATCAGTAGTGAAAGTATAGTGATTTAGGTCGAATTACTAGTCAGACTTGTAAGGCAGCCATGTTTTTTGAAAGGACTTAGAGATTGAACACCGTTCATTCATTGGTGTAAACTAAGTGCACTAGTGCACACATGATTGGCATGGGGGATTCCGCCAAGATGTCAGGATTTTGGCCCAACCATCTTCCCTGCGATGCAGGGTCTCCGTGGGGAAGTCTGGAGACGCCGAAATGCAATCATCCTTCGAATCACATTGTACATGGACCATTTAGATTATACAAGCGCGATCCGAAAACCAATTATTGAGCTGATAATTGCGACCCTGTATAACGGATAGTTTACTCTAGAGGTGATAGTAGTTTGTAGTGACCATGTTACCGCTAGGCTTTCAGAGGGGTGCTGTTCATGGCCACACAGCATGTAACGCTCGCACTTCTGAAAAATATGGTCTCTTGACTTAGTAAAGAATTGCGCCTAGTGAGATATCAAGTGATGAAAGTCCTTCTGTGATTCAGGGAGCGAAGAGATCTCTCAAAAGTTAGAGAGTGAAGAAGTGCTACGTAAATTTAGGTCTAAATGTACCTCCTGGGAATCATATAAGCCCCGCACCTCCCCAAAAGTAGCTCGAAACTTTCTACTCAGTACCCGCTACCGAAAGGCATTGAGCATTTTATTGTTCGTTCTACTCTCTCTTTTAGATTGTTAATCATTCTAGTCCGACGCTCATACCGTGAGTAACTGTCCTCATGATGTGTCCAAGTTATCTCTCCTAATACAACCCAGTACACCGCCGGTCTAGGGAGCCACCATGAACATCACAAACAGTACCCTGGAGCAGGAGCGATGTGCGGGCCACAGTGGGATACCCAATCTGCCTTATCCGTATTACTGCGCCACTACTATCTGGCAGCAAGGACTTAATCGGACACAAGATCCTTACGGTTATTTAGTAAAGTGCTGCAAAAGCAATCAGTACAGCTACTGCGGCGAGGATAACTGTTCCGCTTACTGCAATGCGACCAAGGAAACCCAGTCGACTCTGTTGGAGTGTCTTACGATGGGTAGCCATCTCGAGTCGGTTGGTTGTAGCTCGGGGAAGACGTCTGGATCTACGTCGAGCTCAATGCCCAGCTTGAAATCTTATCTTGTTTTGGCTGTGGTTTTTACTGGACTTTGGCAACTTTGAGGAATGGAACGTGAAGACGTGTGCGGCACATCGTTTCTTCAGATGAACGGCTCAGCTGCATTATATTATCTGGGTTTTCGTATGCTAAGATTGACTTTTTATCCTTTGGCAGCTAGGTAGCAACTTGCAAACATCTTCAGTCGAAAATTGGAACCAGTTGATGGGGGATTATGTGATCACTGTCCAGGTGTCACTGACTGACCGTTAGGCCGCCGCACGCAATGGAACTATCATGTAAGAAAAAGAACACCCAGTATGTTATGCCCAGTCATGAATGACACCATCCTCTTTCAATTTTCCCGACAGGATTAATGTGCTATTTTCTCAACATTCTTTGTGTGGGTGCATCCCAAATAGATTCCCTCCCCAGATTCATATCTTAGAGTATCAACACTTAAAGCAAACCTTCAAACACGCTGGGTATTGTTCGACATGTGCTGCCTCAATGCCAATCGAAAGGCACTCAATTTATTCTCGAACTCGCCAAGCGACCCCTCCAAGATCTTCTTGTCGATGGTATCCACAAAAGCAGCAAAACGCAGCCGTGCCGGACGCTCCGCACATGCTATAGCTCGCCGGACTCCAGAAGGGTATTCTTTCATCAAGATGTCCAGGTCATGTGTCTGAGTGATGTCGAAGGACTCTGGGGGATCCACTAATTCGCATTCCTTATTTTCCATGTACTTGAGGAAAGGAACAAGGACTTCTTGGAAGCCGTACTGAGCACCTGTGAGGTCGACAATCCAGCTCTCAGTAAAAGACGACAGTTGAAGATCGACCTTCAACACTGAATGGGGCATGGTTGAGGCGTCGAGGCTGGGGATGTTGGGTGAGTCGGGGCCGGGAATGACCTGCGTTATGAAATGCGGCTTTCCGATTCGGAGCGAAAACATCTCAATCGCGCAGGGGACGTCTTGTTGGTGTCAGTTTCACGTATTTCAGCGTGTAAATGGAGGAGACTTAGGCTGGGAGTTGATCATACCTGCTAGGAGCTTGCTTATATGACGGCTCGACAGGGCGTGAGCAGCGTCGCATTGGAACCATGTCAAAGCGGCTTCCCGATACACCGGGTCGGCAGTCAGATATTCAGGAAAGGGGCCGCGCCGGGGAGGAATGTCCAGATTCTTCTGGTTGTCAGAGAGGTAAAGAGTGTCGCCCCGTCGTTCAATCTTGGAAAGTTCAAGATCATATTCGACAGCTCTGTACACCAAGAATGCCTCCTTGGCGACGATAGCAGCCCGCAGAAGCTTCTTCCGACGAGTCATGGACATACAATCGGGCTTGTGGATCGTTCGATGGGCCCTCTGGCAGGCTGTACTGCAGTAGAAGATGCTTTTAACATCGCCAGGGAAGTATTCCGGGGCGCCTTTGCAGCCAGCACACTGCAGGGATGTATGTTTCCCGCACTTGGCACAACTACCGCTTGGGGAAGAGTACATTCTGAATAGACACGATGATGAATCGGATCGGACCAAGAATGATGGATGATGATGATGATGATAGTTGAAGTTGTAGGGGGAGATGATTTTGTAGTAAAAATTAATGTGAGATGAGGTTAGGTAAATTGCAGGTGAGGAGATAACACTCAGAAGGTCTGCTCATTTGTTGTGGGTCCCTCTCGTTGGCAGTGAATGAGGATTGTAGAGCTGAAGTCGATCTGCCACAAAGCCCAGCAATTCTTCAGTAAGCTCTGTCAGCAGTGCAGTAGGCGGTGTTAAGTCTTCAGAATTCGAGGACTGTACTCACTACGGGGCAATAATAGAGAGAAGTCTGGGAATTAGCTATTGCTAGCATTTACAGGGTGAACTTTTCAGGTGTTGTTGAATATCCAGACCAATACTGAACTGATTGTGAAGAGGAAGGAATTGTCAGATGGCTTTCTTTAATCTATGAGTAGAATTGAAATGTGTAAGCCCATACAAAGCAGTAGCAAAAAGAAAATGAGGCCATAGTTGAGCTTTGACGCATCATGGCCGGTCTATTCCATTTACCAGCCAAGGTGGCAGTTTGCGGTTGCAAATCAAGAACGGGTTCCAAGGCTGTCAATTCCAAATTCTATCGAGAAAGTTACGATGCTACATATACAGTGGACAATCCCAGTGATTTTAAGTAATTAATCCAGGATGTCCGAGATGTAGACTGAGAGGTGAGGCTGCGTATGATCTACCTGGGCACTGACTTCCGCGTGGCGCTGCACGGGTGTCTAGACAGGGACTAAAATGTTAGTGTCCCGCCTCCACTAAGCGCTGGGTTCTGTCCATCCATCCACCATCACATCTCACGATTCTTGTCCCTCTGCGCTTTCTTCTTCTTTCTCCCACTTGATTCTGCCTCCTTGTTTTGCTATTCATCACTCTCGTCAGGAATCACATCGAACGATGTCATTCAACCCCTTGTCTAACCGCGACCCTCGCCCTCCACCCACTCTCTCCCCCTCCCCGAGTGACAAAACATGTACAACAACAAACTCTTCACCATGCTCGATCTTATCTGCCAACATACCTGAAATTGCGACTTCCACGGTCATGTGCACCGATGGTACATTTACGGCGATGGATTTGGATATAGCACCGGATGACTGTCTCCCTGATATACTATGGAACTGCGCTAGATGGCGATGACTCCAAGATACCGATTGTGTGCTGTAATGGAACGGAAGTAAATCTTATGTCCCACCCCCACCCCAACACCTCGTTTCCAGTGATAGCCTGGTCATTCAGCGACTAGGATCCTAGATTCTGAAGAGAGATGATGTCGACGTCTCCGAAACGTTCCAGGGCCCAGAAAGCCGGGTTGAGGTTATCTGTTAAGCCTGCGTCTGTGGAGGTAGTGGCATAGCCTTCACTGATGGCTCCGCCCATAAAGAATTGCGATAAACCCCATCGTCCAGCTTGTCATCCTCCGCCTCCGGTGACTTGTAAGATACCATTCCATTTATCATGGGGTGGGAGCCACGTCTCGACATTGAACATGTCCTTGTATCCGGGGTGGGTGTAGGTGACCGTGATGTTACAGAAGCGGGCATTCTGTACGTCCACGTTGTTGTGGTTGTACTTGAATGTGGCTGGGACGAAGTGGGCGAAGTTAATCACCCATGAGGCGGAGAGGGAAAGTATTTCGCGCCATAGACGGACAGAAGTGGGATTGCTGGTGGGGAACAGGAGGTTATGTTCATTATGTAAGGAGAGCGCACAAGCAATGAAACGGAGGATAGGGGTAGTCAGAAGGACAGGAGTAGGATCTTATTGTCGGTGTTGGTTTTCTAGTTTTGGCTATGGGATTGATCTAAGTTTCATGGAATTATGTGCTTAATAACCATGTAGGACTACAATGCGAGCACGAACTGCCCTGAGGTGGGTGAATGATACCGAACAGGCACTCCAACTGACGAACATGCGATGTGGGGACAAGGGCTCTAAATCCCGTTTGGGAAGTTCGTTTTCGCATTTTGACTTTTCTCCACTCATGGATGCCTTGTGGGTCCTCTCTCGGTGAAGCCCTGTGCTTCAGCATAGTACATACTATATTTTACAATTAGGCGCACGTTAGAATGTTCGGTTTTCTTTCTCTTGATGCGCTGAAGTGGCAAATGTGGAATTCTACTCTGCTAGCCAATGAAGTTGTTATTTCCGCACCTCATATCAGTAATAGGCTTTATACTAGGCCCTGGCCAGCAGAGAACTTCCACCCAAGGCATTGTGCCCTGAAATGGTACTTAAATCTCAATCATCGGATATACCAGGTAGAATGGACCAAACAGACCTGGGCAGGTGACAAGACTTCGAAACGACTCAAAAAGGATTTATTCGATCCTGCATACATAAATGAGAGGCCTAGGGTCGTCCAGTGCCACCGCCCTTAAATGACCACAAAGTACTTTATGTGGGTTGATGAATACGGCTAAATCCCACAAATTCTAACAAGATTAGTACTTTCAACATCCATCGCCGTACCCCTGACGATCTTCGAGCCGTTGAAGCCACCGTCAACACTAACATTAAAACGGGGGCGCTTTTGGCCAACCTTTCTTTGGGCCTTAATCAAACTACCAACAATTCTCGCCAATTATCGGAGATATTGCTGTGATACTCCAAGGCTTAATTCTAGAAGTATTAGACTTGGTACCTATCAAAGCTCTACAACGACCACCAAAGTGAACAATCCCGCTACAGTACAAGGATTGCCGTGTTGGTCTCTAGAAAGACTTGTAACAGAATAGCCAGAAATGTGTGTGTGTATATTCGAATTCACGCATTCAAAGCAAAGTTCAGTGCAACAATTAGGTATAATACTTTCACTATAAATACAAATATAACAAATCTGCGTAACCACGGCCTGCTTATTGAGGATACGCCATCTGTGGTGCCATTTGGTATCCTGTGACCTGAGGTCTGGTGCGTATTTCAGCCTCCTTTTCCTCTTGAATGAGTGCGCAGCAGCCGCAGCACATGCTCACACAGCAATCACCACAGCAAAACCCCTGGATCCCATACTTATTGCGCAGCTCGCCTCTTTTGATAGTCTGGTAGATCCATTGTGAAAATCCAAGGCTAAGGAAGGACCAGATCATACACTGGGCGAGGTTAGTCAGAACTATGTAGGAAGTGGCCCAGCAAACTAACATCACCGTTGATCGAGTCATAACTTTGCAGGGTCGGGTCACGAAGTCTTGATTGTGTCTTGCCGAAAGCAAGGCATGGGAGGCAGCAGCTGGTAAAACCTAGACATACATCGGTTAGGGATTGCTGGTGGGAAGGGCATTGGATAGGATTTACTGACATAATGTGCCTGGTGAACAACAGTCAAAGAGAGAATAGTTCCAGCTAGTGTTCTGGGTGATCCTGCGAAGCTCTTCTGAGGTGGCTTGATCATAGGTTGGTAGGTCTCTGGGGTGAGCTCGGTACACCTTCTCTGAGTCTGCCATGATGTAGATGGGATGTCTTCGGATTCTTCGATTTTGTTAGAGAAATCAGAGATCGAGAGGAACACCTGTGCCTTAAATACGAGGGAATAGGGGTAGGGCTAACCGCCCAGAGAGGAGCTGCTTGTTTTGTCATTGCAATGCCTACTTGCACCACCCATTCAACCCAAATCCCTGGGCCAGGGTACAGGTGGGGTTCTGCATGAAGGAGTTCCAAAACTATCGGCCTGGCCCCATAATTGGTAGTGTAACGATATGTCTCGGCCAATGGTGCAAGGATTAGACTGGCATTCTAACTCAATTCTTGGTCACTAATTGTGGCTCAAGTCAGGATGGAGAGGGCCCCCCGGTGTACTATTTTTTTCGGCGCATGTGGTGCCTGAAAAGTTCCAGTGCCCCATGTGGCTCAGCGCGGAGCGTCCTCGGTCATATTGGTATAGGATGGTGGAGTCACGAAGATCTCTACCAAGGACCGGAACGTGAAAGGCTGGGTGCTGGTGAAAGTTCTGGACCTTTTCCTGAATAGGAAGTTCGCATCCGTATTTCGGCCTCTTACCCAATTTTATCCGGGTCTGACCCACTCGGAAGTTTAAACTTTGGCTTGACTTTTAACCTATTTTTTGCCCTAAATTATTCTGAATAGGTTATTCCAGCCACGTCTAAGCAAGAGTTGAACCTCGTCACGGCTAAGATATTTAGGGTTGCTAATAATGGGGACTAGCAGGATTTCATTTCGTCTCTCGCTACCAAGCATATTGAGAGGTTTTCGTTCCATCAGTTTGGTTTTCACCAGTTTATAAGCTATGGCTCATCGCTCAAAGGGCATCTCAGGGGATAAACAAATGCTATTTTGCAGACAGCATAGCAGCCATCGCATTCACTAGCCATGGCGAACTTTCACCGAGTTCTGCTTGTGTCCACCTCATGTTTGCTGAATATCGGGACACTCTTGTGTCTTATCGTGATCGGCCTGGCATGTACGAAGATGGGAAGTCACGAACTTGAAAGACTCAATTTTTTCCAAGTAAGGCTCAAGCATGATTTGCAATTTCGGTCATTCAAGCTAATATACTTGTCGCGTCCAGCTCGATGTCCAGAACAGCCGAAATATTTCCACTTCGAATGCATTGGTTACAACATGGGATGAGAGCCAGTTTAACAAGACTTACCTGGTCGGCATAATGGGCTACTGTGAAACCGATAATAGGGACACGACAATGGATTGCCTGTCCCCGCAAGCTGGCTCGTACTTCAACGTACTGAAAGCTACCGGCGAGGAAGGGAAGGAGACCGACCTTTCGTCAGCCCTTCGACGCTCACTGCGTGCATATAAAACTACCTCGACCTGGATGCAAATTACATACGTCTTGGCTACTCTTCTCACGGCCGTCCAACTCCTCGCAGCTCTTATCGTCGTAAACAAGGCATTTAATTGTTTTGTCATCAGCCTTGTCTCTAGTGTTGCTTTCTTATTCCTGCTGTCAGCTGCGGCACTCGCAACAGTCAATTTTGTTCTCTTGAAGGGTATAATTGCCACGGAGCTGAAATCACACAACATAACTGGGACCTGGGGCACTCGCGCATTTACAGTTATATGGTTTAGTGTGGTCTTGTCTTTGTGTTCTTTGGTATCCTGGACCATTACCACTTGCTGCTGTTCTCAAGTAAGACGGGGTCCCCGGGTCCAGACTTATCCTGCAATGGGTACGGTACCAGTCTATCGTTCGCTTCCGCCATCTGCACCAAACTATGGGAAAAATCATCAATATCACATGTACCAGATGAGCCAGCACCCAGTCAATCATCCTTATGAGCAGTATCATTCAGGATAGGTGTGATAGTTCAGCTCGCCTAGCATGGAAACTGTGGGTTGCTGTCATATTGGTTTTGTCAGGCTCCCCTTTGTACTTTTCGATCAGCACGTTTTCTATTTCTTTACATTTCTATGGGAATGGAATAAGGATTTGTTTGAGATTCAGAGCATCTATAGTGGAACTTATATTAACTAGCACCGTGCCGATACGATGCATATGGCATTCCAATATTTGTGTAATCCATTCATAACATTACTATCATCACATTTAAGAAGCCGGTCTAATCGGCTTGGTTTGCTCAACCCAGTCAAACTTGCCCATGGCCTTGGTCAGCCAGACATCACCTGGCTTCTCGGCCATTCTCGGAGTAGAATGATCAAACATCGAGCCACTCAGGAAAGTGTGAGGGAACCCAAAGTCAAATGGGTAAGCAGCATCAACCTTCTCCATCTCTTCGTCAGTGAGGGTCACATTCAAGCTCGCAATGCTACCCTTAATATGATCGATCTTCCTGCAACCGATAATCGGGAACACGTAGACAGACTTCTGCAACACATAGGCCAAAGCCACATCAAGCAGCTTGACGCCCTTAACAGTGCTAATATCTTCAAGAGCCGCAGAAACCTTCTTATCATGCTCCGACGTGGGAATAAATTTGCGACCGGGGTTATGCTTCTCCCGCTCCTCGAACCCCTCTCGCGTCTGGAACCGACCCTGATTCAGCACACCGTATGGGCACAACGCCATCCCTTCTTCCCTGGCCATGGGGATAATATCCCTCTCAAAGTCCCGCATCGCGGCGCTCCACATTCCCTGGTAAATAGCGAACGGACGCAGTCCGTGATCCCGGGCATATTGATTCGCTTTGGTCACCACCCAGGCGGGGGTATCCGAAATACCGAGGTAAATGACTTTCCCCGCCACGACGAGGTCGTTCAGCGCATGCATAAGTTCCGGGATGGAGGTGGTGAAGTCCCACCAGTGCACGTAGAGGAGATCGATGTAGGAAGTCTGGAGCTTACGCAGGGATTGCTCAACGCTGACCTTCATGGACTTGGCATTGTTGCCGCCATAGTTGGACTGGATCGCATCTTTGTGGTGTGTCATGTAGGCGGCTGTGTACTTGGTTGCGAGCACGATCTGGTCGCGGTTGTTGCGTGATGCCATCCATTCGCCGACCAAGATCTCCGATTGTCCCTCTTGGTAGGCACTGGCTGTGTCGATGAAGTTGCCTCCTTGGCTATAGAAGTGGTCGAGGATAGAAAAGGCATCTTCACGAGTACAATCTCCGTAACGTGACTCTTGACGGCCGCCGAATGTCATGGCTCCAAGGCATAGGGGAGATACGCGTACTGCCGCTGCAGGGGCCAGTTGACGGTGGCGGAAGAGGGGGGAGGTTTGTGCGGCTTGCTCGAGGGAGGCCATTGTGAGATGTGGTGCAAGGCACTGAGATCGGTGGACAATCAACGTGATGGCGAGGACTTGCTTGGATTGAGAGAGCTCCACAACAGATTTATAAGGTATACCCATGGATGGCTATATACTCGCTATCCTCAGTTATTCCTGCAAGGTAAATACTGGTTGATGTCATGTCATCCAGGGCAGGTCTATCTCAGCGGAGGTATGAAAGGCTATATCGCCTAAGTCCGGGCCTTATGTAACCGGATGACAGTGATCCACACCTCCACGCACCATGATGGTGCTCAGGTCTACGCTAAGTGGAAAATCATACACCATAATATCTCCATTATGAACAAAGTTGACCATGATCTCGACCAAACAAGCAGGCCAACCCTGAATTGTTGGGCCGGATATTAATACTTACTGCTGCGGGCAGCAACCGAAAAACGGAGTTAACTGTTCTTATACCCGAGCATAGTGGAGATGTGCTTGACAGGTCTCGAACTAGATTCGTCTCTTTAACGGCAATTTGTCTCCTCATTCATAAGGGTACTTGAATTTATTCCTTCTCAAATTCATGATACCCAGAATAGTAAATAAATGAGGCCATTTTGGCCAAGTTCACTAACCCTCTCGATACCTAGCTTCAATATGAGTCACTCTACTCGGCTTAATGGTCTTAGTAACTATAACCACCCTATGATACTGGTCGGGAGCAGTCATTGGTACTAAGTTTCACTACGGTTATGCTGCATGCAACTTTTCCCGATTCGGTAAGCCCGCACAAACGCCCGATGAGGGGAAGCCAGAGCCGACGACCGTGGGAGGTCTTTCATCGGCATAAGGGGGTCATTGGAGAAGCAACGAAGTATTCAAGTCATGTTATACAAAGTCTGCAAAGAAGGGCTAGAGGGTATCTGGGACCCTGAAAGAACAAGGCGGCTAAAGATAGACGACGAATCTAAAAATGGGATGCCTTGCAACCCACAGGATTGACCGTTCCTTATTTCCGGTGCTGACTCTACTCGAGACCAAGGTAGCCAGTTTGGGCCGGAAAGATGGTTGTTTGGACATCACCTCACCAGAGAATCCTTTGTGGCATCTATCGAGCAAGGCTGCGTCGTATGCTGCAAATTCGCGTCATTGAAAGATATAGAAAATCCCCTTAACACGCAACTGAAGGATGTCGGATATTCTTCTGTATTCAGGGTCATATTGAACCCTCGTTAAGTGAAAATGGTGGTGTGCTATGGAGAGATTTACCACGTCTACGATATGATTCCGCATAAAGGTATGTGCCAAAGATCAAGCCTTCTTTGCTCCATAGAGTATATCGCTCAATGACGCTGACATTTTGCGATTGCATCTTTGCATGATTGGAGGCCTGGATGAAAACTTGAACTTTGAAATAGGGGCATCTACTGGCGACCAGACAACGTGGGTGTTAATTGAGCGGTGGCTGAATCGGTGTCTTCAAGGACATCCGACTTGCGATTACCAACATGATGAGGCAAAGTTTATCCCAAGCCGGCTATTAGAGCTACATACAATCAGTTCTGAGAAGAAAATGTTCCGTGTTGTTGAGAGGCAACAGATCCAGCCCGAGGAGCGCTACATAACTCTAAGCCACTGCTGGGGCTCAACACCATCTAACCCCAATTTGATCTTGTTGAAAGACACATTCCAGAGTCTCAGAGAGTACCAGCAACTCTCTGTCCTTCCAAAAACATTCAGAGACGCTTTCACCATTATCGAACGGTTGAGAATCCGTTACATATGGATTGACCGTCTCTGTATACTCCAGGATTCTGCTGAGGACTGGCAAAGAGAATCCGCAGCTATAGGGCAAGTTTACAGGAATGCTTTTCTGGGGATATCTGCATTAAGCTCTAGCAACGATGCTGGTGGCTGTTTTTTCTCGCGCGACTCTGCAAAAGTTGCCCCTAGCATCGTCAACATACGTGTCGATGATTCGAGTGATCCTAAGTCATTCAGGTCTCGCGGAGAAAAAGGATGGCCTTTGCCACGAAAATTTGGGCAAGAACCTCTGCCAAAGCGAGGTTGGATTTTGCAGGAACGCCTTTTATGCCCACGTGTTCTGCACTTCGGTCGGGAACAAGTTTTCTGGGAATGCAGAGAATGTACCTGCTGTGAAACTCAACCGAACAATGCTTACGAGCGTGATGATCGTCCTCGCAGAGCCAATATCGATACTAATGGAGGGTATCATGACGAAACGTCGTTATCACAGCCGGTCTTCCAATATAACCACTTCTGGAAACAGCTTCTTGATGCTCCAAGGCTAAGGTACAGTATTGATCCCAGAGACCGGATCTACGAAGAGTGGTACGCAAACATGAATGTTTTCTCGGCTTGCCAACTTACAGCTCCCTCGGACAAGCTTGTGGCCATTTCTGGCTTGGCAAAGGATGTTCTGAAGCGCCTCGAAAATCTTGGTTATGACAAAGACGTTTATCTTGCTGGGCTTTGGCGTCAGAATCTACCCGGCTGTTTGACTTGGAAGATCTTTGAACCCTGTCGCAGACCTCCTTTGTATCGCGCCCCTTCCTGGTCGTGGGCTTCTGTGGACGGTGCTGTTAAGTTTCCAGACACAGATATTGTCCAGAGGAAAGCTGCTTGCTCTTTAGCACTTGTCATCGGCGCTGAATGTATTCCTTGCGGAGAAGATGAGACTGGTCAAGTGAGCAGTGGCACTGTCACCTTGAAAGGACCCATCGCGTCTGCAAAGCTCATTTCAAGTGCCTCGAATTTGGAAGACACTGCCATGTCTGTACAGAGCCTTGAGGCCCTTGAAGTGGAAGGTCATAAGACTACGGTGAAATATCCGCCAGGTTTGTGCAAGGTTATATTTGATGTCAAGAGCGAAATGCGCGCCGAGATCTACTGCCTGCCAATTGAAGCTTTTCATGTGGCCAGAAAGTTTTGGAAGTTATCTGGCTTGGCTTTAATTCGGACTGGGAGAGGCACGTACTCTCGAGTTGGCTACGTTGGAATGTTGCACGAGAGTGAGGCGGCTGCGAAGAATTTTTTCTCTGGGTTTCCGGAGTATACTTGCGTCCTCGAGTGAATATAGGCCAAACCTCTCTACGTTCGGACTTCTGGCTCATGGCAGGTTTTATCGCTCTTCCTATGAAGGCATCTATAGGCGACTCGAAGGTGTGTTGGTGCGAAAGTCGAATCCCACTGAAAATAGTTAGTAACAATACTATAATCATTTTACTTAATACAGCCCTTTGAACTCTGGAGCAGCCATTGAGATAGTACAACAGCTTGGCACTAAGCCTTCCCAACTCCAAACTATCATCCTAAATTACTGGCCAGATCCTCATGGAGCTGAGAAGTCTCCTACACGGGAAGATATTTGCTGTCTGATCTGATTTCTGGCTACCATAAGCTGGAAGCCTACAAGATTAGAATCCCTAATTGTTGCCTTTCTATCGCATACTTACCTTTACATAGATATCTTTTATATGGGGGAGGATCCCAAAGCGACTAGTAACTGTAGATCAGGGTATCTATGTAGGATACTTGAGACACTAGATAGAGACCAAATTACCTCTCTCGAGTCATAGGAGATATATTCAATCTTGGGTTTAAGTCCAAATTTCAGTGGATTTAGTGTCCTCTAAACTTTTGTCGTTGGGTGCTTCCGGGGGAGAAAAGATGCTCCTAATGGAACTCGAAGGCGTAGTCCCTAGGATGCCAGTGAAAGTTGTGGGGCCCTCTACTTGGTCATAAACATCCTACTATGGCGCGACGGTAGACGATCACATTGAAAGGCGGGGTCAATTCAGGCACCCGAGAGCGGCAAATGGAAAGCTTGACCAGATGCCGGGTGTCATTGAGATCTTGCTCACAGTGCTGTCTTTCCCCTTCTATTATAAGTCTTCTCAGCCAACCTCGTATACGGGCCTGTGCAGACGCCACCAGTCGTTGACTGAGCAGAAACTATTCTCGGTCCATGTTGCTGCAGGATATGGGGGTTGCTAAAATAGCCCTTAGGTATTTCTCAAGTGCGCGCCACATCAGACAGGCAGCTAATTCAAGGAAGCTTAGCCGGCCTGGTGATAAGCCGGGCATCTCCGTGATACGTGGCTATGAAGAGGCGCGAGCACAGATCAGCACGTTTTGTGACGGTCTGCCAGGGCATGAGGAAAATATAGCCGAGATGAACAGCGAACACGCTTCGCGGTTAGAACATTTAGTCTCGAAGCAGGTTGTCTAGATCATCAACGCAGCACCAATCGCTTTGTTGTGCGCGCTTCTGGGGGTGGCTGGCTGAGGGGTGCGGAATGTGGCAATTCTTCAGCTCCTGCAGCTACTCCACGAGTCGGTGGAGCTGAATAGTCCTCAGCGACAAACAAGAACCAATAGCCACCTAAAGGTATACTCTAAGCGAAGTATGCTGATTGGTGAGAGAACTACCGCCGGGTAACGATCGAGATCGTGAGTGAAATCAAGTAAGGGGGTTCTATAGTATTTAAGGAGGGTAGAACGCCCTTATCCCATCTGAGGGAGAACAAACGCCAGCGAAACGCAACAATGGCTACTCAAGACAAATATTGCTTCGAGAGGGATAAGAAAGAATCGGAGAGGTATGATCTTAGATATTTCAATGCTTATGAACTATCTCGTACAGTTTTCTAATGCCAGTCTAGACTGGACTTACAGCATCGCGTGCTAGTCAAAACAAGCGGAGATACCCTCATTCATCCTTCAATCCCTCTCAACGAAATTCGATCTGTTGCAGACATAGCTACTGGAACTGGGTGAGTCTGTCCCCTCCGTGCAAGACCGGGTCATTGGAGCTGATGGGCAATTTTTCTGTCAGAATTTGGCTGCAAGATGTGTCGAAATTTCTGGACACACCACAAATTGAACGCTACTATCATGGCTTCGATATTTCAGCCGAGCAATTTCCTGAGAATCCAGGAGCGATCCAGTTTTCTGTTCAAGATCTGACGATTCCATTTCCTCGAGAACATCGGGAACGTTATGACTTGGTACACGTTCGTCTTCTAGTCGCTGCCCTTGAGGAAGCTGACTACAAAGCTGCGATCGCAAATATCTATGATATATTGAGTATGGCAAACCCTTTCCTGTGCACATCGCATTGCTGCCTCACGAGTTGGTACTAATATGACCGCAGAGCCCGGTGGCTATCTCCAGTGGGAGGAAATTGACGAAGAAACCTACCTCACGGAAGGTTAACCAGTGCTCAGTGAGCTTCATCGCTGTTTTGACTATGGACTGGCAGCCGAAGGCAAATGCTTTCAGGCTTCAGCCAAGGTTTATGAAGAGAGCCGAGCAGCTGGGTTTGTAGGTGTAGAGCGGCTGTGTTATAACTCTCACCAGAACCCTGATCTGCGCTATGAGATCGAGGAGAGACTCACTGCGATAATTAGAACACTCTATGCCTTTCTTTTGCTGAGATCTAAGCAGGTCGATACCGCGCTGGTCGCATCACAAGAGGCAGAGAAACTGGTTGAGCAGCATCGGCGTCTGTGCGCACAGGGAAATTCCCCGCCACTCAAGTTGATGAGGGTTGTGGGTCGGAAGCCTTTACTTAGTTCATTGCTGTAGGTAGACTGTGAGATAATCTCTCCTCTGTTCTCATATGGGCTTGTAGCCTATCAGTACATCTTGCCAGTAACACGCGTTGTGGACGTTCTAATCGGATAAGAGAAGATATAAATAAGCACAGACAAAATTTCCTTAATTTCAGATCTGAACAAATTACGGGCGCGTCAGCTAGCGATCATATATAACAGTTATCTATAATCAACGTGTGGATAGTGTGATTGCTTTTGGGCATTGCCTTCTCGGTCTTCACTCATGTGCGGGGTTTTATGCGGTAACAGAATTATTTGAAACATCCGCCGTAAGAGTTGACAGTCGAGGACAAAATCATACATTTGTTGCTGATCTATCACACCGGTGCTGTGTGGACATAGATGGAAGGATGTGGATCTGAAACGGCAAAAAGAAAAAGAAATGCTCCCACGCGGATTCGAACCGCGGACCTCATGATTACTAGTCATGCGCTCTACCAACTGAGCCATAGGAGCTGATTGGATGAAATATGTTTCCTTAATTTGCTGAATATTATACAATATCCTGGTTCTCGTATATCTGGTCAGGCCTGTGCGCTACTGTTAGTGAGGTTATAAGCGGATATTTACACACAAAAACAATCTAATTTCTTTGTAAATAGAGAAACAAAGGCGCAATTGCTATAAGGCTCTATATTCGAGATTGTTTTGAAGTGTCCGATACTCACAGTATTCAATATTATTACAAATATATATGTTCTTAGATAGCCAGTATGAAAACCAGTCTTTAGCCCTCAGAAACCTCATCTGAATACGAGCTTACTAATGGCATAGAATAGCTGCTGCCGGATAAAAGGGACCATATTCTACCGGAACTGAACTACTTCAGATGATAGACCGCACTTTTCCAACCATAGGCCGTCTGTATTGTGCCAGCCGTCCCTTATTGTACATGATCGTAGATTAACTTTGATTAAAGATCTCCCCATCATGGGAACGATTTGCTCTACTACTTATTGTGTACACAATGCCGAGGCTGTCTGCTGTCTGACCCATATGCGAGTCAAGTATTATTATCAGTTTACCCGGATTGGCTGGGATTGGTTCTGCAGCATGCTATCGACCGGAGACCTGAAACTCATCACCGGCAAATCCGTAATAAATCACTGATTTTGGTTCACTAACACTACCGTTTCATGAACAGGATCCTTGAGAACACCCTCTGAGCGCACACAGAGATTGGACAATTCCTTGGCTAAATTGCTGATTGACCAGGGGTTAACATACAACAATTCTCAGGATAAAGGGTAAGCTATTGGAACCAGGGACACCGTCAGGGCGAATGTCCCCACCTTCGAAGCTGACAGAAAGCTTTTGCAGCAAGAAGCCAAGGCCACAACAAGATTAAGGTCCGGCATGCTTAAGGCTAAACGCCGGGGATTTGCCCCGATTGGCCGTTTAGCCAGCTAATGGTCTGACTATCACACTATGGGAAGTGTCTGAGAGTAAGACTAGCCAGGCCAAGAAGAGGGCCATGACCCGTGTCTCTCCCTCTACGCGCCTGCAAAATGAAGCCAAGGCGCCGCTGTAGCAGCCGCCCTTGGCAACCGGCGGATGGTATGGCAATGCACTCCGCCAGGGTCCAGTTGACCCTGTTCTGTGGAGCATGGATCGCGGCCGGATCGCATTAAGATGAAACGTCTGGCTTGGCAGGGCCCGCATCTCCTCCGCCGCTCAACCGGCATTCCATTACCCATTCCCCTGCCCGAGCCCTGATATAAAACACTCTCTGCGAACCTGCCTTCCAATATTTCCATCAAGCATTCTTTTCATCAGCCAGGATAGCTGTACATTCTTTTTTCTTACTTTCTTCTCTGCGAACTACGTTCTCTTCCTTCTTACCACACATTCATTCTTTAACCCTAACTTAAAAACACCTTCATTTCACTTACCACCATGAAGACTACCACCTACAGTTTGCTCGCTCTGGCAGCGGCTTCCAAGCTGGCTTCCGCCCACACCACCGTCCAGGCCGTCTGGATCAACGGCGAGGACCAGGGTCTCGGTAACTCCGCCGATGGCTACATCCGCAGTCCCCCCAGCAACAGCCCCGTCACCGACGTCACGTCCACCGACATGACCTGCAACGTCAACGGTGACCAGGCCGCCTCTAAGACCCTCTCCGTCAAAGCCGGTGACGTTGTCACCTTCGAGTGGCACCACAGCGACCGCTCCGACTCCGACGACATCATCGCCTCCTCCCACAAGGGTCCCGTCCAGGTCTACATGGCCCCGACGGCCAAGGGCTCCAACGGCAACAACTGGGTCAAGATCGCCGAGGACGGATACCACAAGAGCTCCGACGAGTGGGCCACCGACATCCTGATCGCCAACAAGGGCAAGCACAACATCACTGTTCCCGACGTTCCCGCCGGTAACTACCTCTTCCGCCCTGAGATCATTGCCCTCCACGAGGGTAACCGCGAGGGTGGTGCCCAGTTCTACATGGAGTGTGTCCAGTTCAAGGTCACCTCCGACGGCTCCAGCGAGCTTCCCTCCGGTGTCTCCATCCCCGGCGTCTACACCGCCACTGACCCCGGTATCCTCTTCGATATCTACAACTCCTTCGACAGCTACCCCATCCCCGGCCCGGATGTCTGGGATGGCTCCAGCTCCGGCTCCAGCTCCGGATCTTCCTCCGCTGCTGCTGCTGCTACCACCTCCGCTGCTGTCGCTGCTACTACCCCCGCCACCCAGGCTGCCGTCGAGGTCTCTTCCTCCGCTGCTGCTGTCGTTGAGTCCACCTCTTCCGCCGCCGCTGCTACCACCGAAGCTGCCGCTCCCGTCGTCAGCTCTGCTGCCCCCGTCCAGCAGGCCACCTCCGCTGTCACCAGCCAGGCCCAGGCCCCCACCACCTTCGCCACCTCTTCTAAGTCCTCCAAGACTGCCTGCAAGAACAAGACCAAGTCCAAGTCCAAGGTTGCTGCTTCCAGCACTGAGGCCGTCGTTGCCCCCGCCCCTACTTCCAGCGTCGTCCCTGCTGTCAGTGCCAGCGCTAGCGCTTCCGCTGGCGGTGTTGCTAAGATGTACGAGCGCTGCGGTGGTATCAACCACACTGGCCCTACTACGTGCGAGAGCGGCTCCGTTTGCAAGAAGTGGAACCCTTACTACTACCAGTGCGTTGCGTCTCAGTAAATTATTCCATGATTTACTGTGATTCGAGGATTGGCTTGATCTAAGTCGAATCTATATCGATCGGGGGGGGGAGAAGAGATCTAGTTGTTGGGTGGATGTTGATGTAACCAGCAATTAGGTCTTCGTTGAGCAATAGAACGTTTTAATTAAATCCACGGATCAATCAATGATCGGTATTAGTAGGAAGTGATATTGACGACTCACTTCGATCCGGAGTGGTTTTGACTTCTCACTCCGATAATCAACCAATCAACTTAGCAAACAAAGTGACTCCAAACAGGACAGGACAGAAATCGCTCAGCATATGGTGAAACAAACTCCAGAGAGACATAACACAACAGAACACCATACATAACAGTTAACCCAAGATAAACCCCAGAAAGTAGACAGAAACAATCCCATCACACAACCCTTGTATAATCGCTCAAAAACAAACACATACCCCAGAACACCTTCAAGAACTCCTCTCGATCCATGTTCCGACCTCTTAACCAATGATCCGTGCGATAGATTGCCTCTGTCGGGCTCGGATCTTCATTCCCAAGCAAGTCATATATCCTCGTTCTCTTAATGACCAACTCTTCAGTCGTGCGTTTTCCCTGCCGCAAACTCTCAAAGTAGGTATGCGA